TTACAGTTTGTTGTCATTTGTTTTTTGCAGTTGTGTGTGTGTGTGTGTGTATGTATGTGTGCATAAAAATAAGCACGGGTGATGCTTTACATTGCTTAACCTCGCCGTTGAACAGTGCGATGTTATCGATGGGAGCTGCTCAGCCACAGCTTTAGGAGCACAACAAGATGTTGATATGCACTACAACACTATCTCATAATAAGGACGTAGCTATCTCATGATTATGACCTAGCTATCTCATAATTATGAGATAGCATACAATTTAGGTTTTTTCTTTCATCAGAGTGGCGGAAATGGGCTTCCATAAGGAACCGCTTTGGGAACTCACCAAAAATTCTGGAAAACTTTCAACTTTAAAGCCTAACCTCGTCCTTCTTGAACTTTCACATGACTGAAAAGTTATTTTCAAAAAGCTTACCTGTTTACAACAGCAGTGTTTCCTCTTCGCAAATAATTTTCTTTTTAACATGTTAACATCGACAACTTCTCCACGCTGAAAACACCAAACAGAGTCTGTGATCTTTGGCACACCAAAAGGATTGTGGGATTCCAGTTTGGGAACGACTGATTTAAGGGAGAGTAAGCAAGCCCTATCGACCGAAATCAGTCAGTTTCCGAACTGTTTAAAGTTCGGAGCACTGGGTCAGTCAAGGAGAAATGAATGTATGTGAGGGAAATGTCCCCCAAAGTGATGGAAACACAACTGGTGCATCCTTGGAGAGGAACGTGGGGGTAAAGGTAGGAAGGGGAGTTGTGGAAGCGTTGAAGTTAAGTGAAAGACCATCTGGTCAAAGGAACCACTTTTCAAACATGTCAGACGTGTGGTGACAGAGGAGTTAGCTCCACTTTTTTCAGACTTGGCATTGCCAACTCAGTTATTCTCAGTTATTAAACAAGTTTTCGGTGTATTTAGTGTGTGAAAAAAAACAGAACATCTCAACTTTTAATTCACCCAAATGGACAAAGAGCTATCCACAGGGGGACTGGACACAGCATCATAATGACCAGGCCAAATATTTATCTGGTTTATATTCTGGGAGCATAATGAAGTTCTTTTACACAAGGCATCGCTGGAATCTGGACACTGATTTTATGCCAGAGAGAGAACAGGTTTCAGTGGGTCCTGCTGTTTCTACTTAGGCTGCACTGGTCTCTGGTGGCCCTGTCCAAATTCACTACAGAGCCCTGTGTTCAGAATAAGAATGAATTATGGCTCTGTTTGACAGATGATAAGCAGGGAGTCGGAAATTGAAGCTGGATTTAATCAAGAGATGAGTTGCACCCCGAGGTGGGATTTCATTATACTGTGGATTGCACATGAACTTGCCCAGAATGAAAAAAGGGGGATTCACCTACTGTACATAGTCATTCAGTACTGTACAGGCAGAGCACCTTCACGGCCTCCACGTAACCATTATCCTATTGAACCGTCAATTTTCACTCCTTAAGACAACGTAAGCTGTCTGGAAAAGGTTTAATTGAGGGCAGGAAATCGTTTGATATCTGTTTTTCTCTCGACTGCCTGCCTTTACAGAAAGACATTCCCACAGAATGAGGCTGCCATTACCGTGCATCGCTTTAGGGTTGTCTGGTTTTATCTGCATGATATCTGTGATATTTACCAAAATAGTTCACATATTTTTACGGACATTAGAAAGTTTAGCTCCTGACGGACTTCTGCTCGAGAATTTTTAAGCCGGATTTTTGGGAAATTCCACTCGGACCAGCTTTTACTGAGTAATGGTTTCTGCTTGCGCATTAAATCACAAAGATCTGACAGAGTGCTGCAGAGATGGTTGTCCAAAGCAGCGTTTCCAAATCCTGCTCCTCCAAACACACGCTGACCTGAAAGTCTTCCAAGTTTGCCAGCACGAGCCCACCTGATTCAGATGAATGGGACAGCTCTGCAGAGGGCTGATGGAGATTTATTTATTTGAATCAGGTGTGCTGGTGCATAGAAACTTGCAGGTCACGGACAACTTGGTTTGGTCGTTTTCTGCTGTTGTTTTTCATAGATGTGTTTCACGGCCTTAAACCTACTGTTAAATGATAAAGTGGCAGAAACTTTTCTCTTTGCTACAAAGTCAGAAAAGCAGATGAGGTTCTTTTTCAAACATGAGTGCTTATTATGGAAACATAATAATGAAAAGAAGATCCACTTTTCCAAAATTGTCCAGTTAACTTATCTCTTTTTTTTTTTATTAATAAGAGCTGCCGTTTGACTTTTACAGTTCTGTTTTTTGTTAGAATACGGGTGTGTGCTGACATATGATGTCATCGTTATCTCCTAACAGATAGAACTGAGCTATTTATCTCTGTAAAACAATGTTGGATTAATCTGCCTTAAGATAAGAGAAAATGGGTGTCATTTAAAAAACTTTTGCTTTTAATGACGCCCACCCAAATACATAGTGCACAATGCATCGAACACAGTGTGTCAGTTTAAAACTTCTCATTTTAGCTCTATTAAAAAAAAAAAGCATCAACCTGCAACTCAGCACAAAAAAAGGGGAAAATCTGCTGAATTCAGTCTTAGAATAAGTGGAAAACTCTGACTCCATATTTCACACTTCAACAAGGACAGTTCTGTGTGATGTCGACGGTCCAGGCCTGCCTGGTCTGAGAGGCCTGCCCCCAAAAGAGCTCGTCTCCCCCGGCAGGTTATTCTGGTGTTATTATGAGAACTCAACATGCTCATTATGGTTGTGGCTCTGTTTTCAGGGTGGCTGTCTTCTCTGGTGTGCCAGCACTGGAAATGCTTGTGGTGAAGGAATAGGAGGGAGAAAGAGAGAGAGAAAGAGGAATATCGAAGAGAGAAAAAGACAGTGGGAGGTGAAATGGACTTAGCAGAAAAAAAGTGAAAAGGCGAAAGAGATGATGAAGCAACAAAAGGGAAGGACAAAGTGGGGGCAGGAAATAAAGACGAGCAAATATATGATTGAGAGACACGGGAGTTTGGTGGACCGCTCTCCATCCCACGGAGCATCCTCACACAGGAAGGAGACTGAACCAGGAACACAAATAAGTGGACAGAACCACCTGTGAAGGGAAAAAAACAAACCACAGAGACAGTCAACATAGACGCACGTGCACACATACACACACACACACACGCATTCCTTTCATCAACAGTCCTCTTGTGCTCGGCGGAGCTGAGAGAGACAGCACTGTCTGGTTTTTTTGCGTCGCCACCTCCGTAACCTCTGCCACTGCCCACCGGGAAAACATACCCACACAGAGATGGCTGTATTTAAGACCCGGTTATTTGTTGGGCGACACGATGTTATCCAAAAATCCAGCCCTGTTTAAGGCATTAGAACGACGTCCTAAAGTCACAATTCCATGTAAAGTCAATGTCGAAGCCTGTTACGAGTTTTTTTTTTACGCGTCACTTGAAATATCGCTGGAAGCAATTATAGACACGCCACTTATGTCAAACAGCAGGGACGTTTGGACAAATATAAACCATGAGAAAAAACATGTCAACACCCGGGCCAAGCCCAGCTTCCCAGTTTTTCTGAAAACACTGTATTGGTTTTTCTTTATGTGCACGTACAGTTGGTAGCTCGCTGTAAACACCGATGTCTAAACAGGCCGCGCCGCTGTTCCTCTCGCCGCTCATCAAAGAACCGTCTTGTGTCCTCACCAAGGGCCCAGGCTGCAATTTGGGATCAAGGCGTGGTCCGGCACCCGTTGGGCTGTGTCCGCCCTGCGCACCAGTAATGACCCCTTCCCTATGGGGAGCGTTTGATCTGGGCTGCCTGTGTGCTTCGGCAAAGGCCTATTTCTGGCGTGTGCGAGGGGGGGGGGATAAAGGGAGCTTTCAGACGTGGTGCCAATGACCATAATTAAGCAGCTTTAAGGGGTGGCAGTGAGCGTGCTAGCGAGCATAAAGTTTGTAATTTGGAAGCAGGGGCAGAGCAGCGGTGGCTCATTGGAAGCGCATGGGAGGGAGGGCTGGGTGGCACCCGGCTCTGAAACACAAGGCACAGGGACTGTAAAGAGCATGTTAATGACCCGCGTCCATTATCACCCACCCCTGAGGGCCGGCCGACCAGCGGTCAGAGGTTGAAAGAGGGAAGACGGCCGTGGCCAAAGCCTGCAGTGGACCACCGCCGACACAGAGCGTCCTTCAAGTGCTGAGAGGCCGGTGACCGGTCGGAGTTCACACTAATGGAGCCGGCCACTGACATCCGTCAAATCAAGTTGTTTATCCACTCAGGTTCTGTGAAGCATTCATCTGGCGATTTGCTGTAATAACAGCTCCTTTGGTTTGCCTACATTCACTCATAATTAGAGTTTAATTATGGGAGAAAATTATCAAAATATTACCTTTAAATGAATTCAATTACAGCTAAACTAGGCGGCTAAATCAGTCAGCCTTATTACATAAATCCATATTACATTAACAAAAATCTTTCTTACAAGTCACAGATGCATGAAAAGAGCTTTGACTGTATTTAGAAATCTTTTCATTTTTTCTGCCTGTGCCTCGGGTTCGACTGAAATGAAAAAATACAGGGATTAAGAACCAAATTGCTGCCTCTGGTGGCTGTGTCCTGGTCCGTGTGCATCAGGCCATGACCCCTATGAGGTTAAGGTACGCTCACCAAGATGCTTCTTCTTCTGCCTTTTGTCTCCATTAACAGTTCAGCATCATGGGCAAAACTGATGTAGATGCAGATGTTCCACATGTGGACGGCCTGGAAGTTCCCCTGTGAGGTGCTCCAGTTTGGCATGCTGTTTGAACACACTGTAACAAGCAAATCCCTAACATGATTTAGTTTATTTTAGTGTATTATTACAGGAATAGTTTCACATATTGATCACAAAAAGGAGAAAAAATAAACACCTGTACATTTCAGAATGAAGAAACCAAGTTAGATTTTCAACAACTTTACGAAATGTTGTATATTTAGGAGCAAGGGACTGCATAAAAGAACTATTTCTATGCATCCCTGTTCAACCTACCTTGTAACTGTGGCTCATTCAGGTTAACCGGATCCGAGGGGCCACCCCCTGGAGAAAGCGTGCAGTTGCTGCGCGCAACCGCTGGGCTTGTAACTTGACACCTGGCTGTGCGGTGTGTTTGCCATCGCTTTACCCACAGAAAGCCTATTTAAAAAGGAAAGGGATGAGTCCAACGCTCCTGACTCTGAAACCCACCGTTCTCTCCGGTTGTGCGTCCCCCTCACTCTGGATCTGGCATAAATGAATGAAACGCGAGGAAATATCGACAAACAATCGCACTGGGGAAACTCTCTGTCAAACCGGCCGACCGGGAGGAATTTATGTTGGGCTTGACAGGCAATTCAACATGAGTTTTTCCCTGTGGAACTTCTTCTCAGGACTGTCAAATGCGTAAAACGGCGGCCAGTGTCTTTTGCCACCTTGCAAAGGAGTCACGCTGTGATTAACGGATCAGGTTTTTGACTGCCAGGACAAATGAATACAAATGAATTTAGGCACCCGAAGGAGAGATTGCAGAACCTCTCATCTAGACACAAAGTAAGTCCCATTTATTCATTCTTTAGGCAACTTTTGCTCTGACGAGGATGGGATGGGTGTTTATGGCCGGTGGGGACTGAGTTTCATTTTTAAAGACCTGCGTCCATGTGCGTACCTGTGATGTGCCGGCTGGCTGGGATCCAGCTCACAGGGTTACAGTTGTCCACATGGGGACGACTGGCTCTAAATAAGTCCTGTTGGGGACTTTTATTCGCATGGCACATAACGATGCAGTGCATTTATTTAGGCAAACAATAACTCCATTTAGCTTGTTTGGTTTATTTCTGAAAAATTAAATCAAATCTACAAATGTGATCATTTGCTAATATGGCTTTTGATAATCAACTAAATATGTTTCATACACAATACATAGTACGATACCAAAAGAGCTTCGAAGCATTTATGTGTCTGATTGTTTTCTCTGGCATGTTATGTTTGCTAAGATGGCTTATTTGACCAAAAAGCAAGCAAACGAGGCAATCATCTACACCTATAAAATTTCACGAGATGCTCATCAGTGTGTTTCCCACCTTCCCCCTTTTACGCATTTCCACGGACACCTTTACGCGTCGTCGTTAAAGGGGGATTTTCTTCATGCGCTTTAACGAACGTGTTAATAAAACTAACACGGGCAATAACGAGCGTCTCGAGGGCAACGCCGGTTTATTTAAGAAAACATCTGGAGATTTCTGCAGAGCTTTATCGCCTCGCGATGGCCAATAAAATGCAGACGTTTGTTGCAAGTGGCTCGTCAGGATTCCTACAAACAGTCCGGACGCATGGATTCCGTTCGAGCTGTGTGGTACTGGGGAGGCTCTAGTGGTTAACGGTGCGTTTCCACACCTTTATGCTGACACAGGCAGTAGTTCATTCATCCATGTGTACCATTGATTCATCGGTTTAATGCATGTGTCTGGGATTTTACTGCTCTCTTAAAAATCTGGCTAATTGAAATAGGGGGAATTAGGAGAAATATCCGGGGACTGAGTCACCGTCCATTTGTTTTTCATCAACATAATTGTCACCTTGTGCCAGCAGTGGACGTGAAGTTTGCGCTGCCCAACATGTTTTTAAAAGCTAAAAAGAAAGATAGATAATAGATTTTCATCCCCGGACGTTTTGCTTTGCAGCAGCAATATTTCTGATTTCAGACGAGGCGAGGATTTAGGAACAGAGAAAGATTCTACCTGCTGCAGGTAAACTCGTTTCACCACATGTCCACACGGTGGCGCCCCTTCTCGTTTCAACAATTCTGGAGCGAATTTGTGTTAATTTGAATGCATAATGTCTGTATTTAAAATAAATAAATAAATACATGAATATATAAAAAGCGATTGAAACAAAATAAAATTATCAGGTTGAGATAAAGATTGTCGCTTTTTTATCACAGTCCCTTTACCGGTCTCTAAATCTATATATTTTGTGCCACCCCTTCCCACTTGAAAGAGGACATATGTAAATCATTTTGGAAATTAGTCATGAAGTGAAAAGGCAGAAGTCAGGGACGGCAGACAGAACAGATGATGGACATGTGAGTGTACCACAGGTCTGTGCCCCCCCCCCACCCCCACCCCCCATCAGCCCTCATTAGTGTCAGCTCATCCGTAGGAATTTTCCGCTGTGTGCTTTGTGTGCATTCACGGGTAGGATCACCTTTGGGAAACTTTTCAGGGAACCAGTGAGTCGTCCCAACATGAGAGCAAAAACAGAGACTGTACATGGCTCTGTCTGAGTTTCCCCTGTGTGAAATCTTCCACTGGTCCTGGCATGGGGAACATGTGGCACTGCGGGACATGGTTTTGTGTGTTTTTAAAAAGAAAACACACACACAGACCCAACCTGAAAGGGAAATCTACACTCTATCTTCTGTAGATAACTGCTTCCTGTCACTCAGGGTGAATACTCTACTTTGTTGATGGCTTTGGGTGTCAATTTGACGTAGATGTTGGTGTGAGAATCACATTTTTTACCAGTTGCTGAACAGAAAGATGCTATCAACAGCAAACTACAGTGTAATTCCCTTTCTGTCTCTTATGCACGTGGGTCACATCTCAAAATCCTCTGTCTGGTTTAATGGATGATTCAAGAGAAGCGATTGTTCATACAGGCTATTTTCTGTCCACTCAGCGTACCAGAGAATTCCCTGGAGGAGTCGTGTCATAGCTCACAGTTGCAGCAAGAAAACCGCACTTGTCTGAATGTACAGACGTCAGCCCTTCTGATTTAAGCCCCTTACCCCCCCCCCCCCCCTTTACATATCTCTCCCAGTGCAACGACCCCTCAACTGCTCCATTGAAGAAAAACCTCAACCTGTCACACACACTTCAAAAGCGAATCTGATGAATATCCAAACAAACTACTGAGAACTTTTGATACGGAAAGCCAAAGGAAACAGTTTCCCGGGATACTTGGCCCGCTTTCAACGGGCTTTTGACAGCCAGGGGGGGGGGAGCGGAGCAGAGCGGGGCGGGAGCCGCTCTGCTTCAGTTCCAATGGCAGCATTCATGACTCATTTTAAGAGCACGAACCTCTCGGCTGATAAGACGCTGAATCAGCCTGCAATCACCCCGGGGTCAGGGAAATATCCCCAAACACACATCCTCCGCAAGCACAGCCAGCTGTGTGTGTGTGTGTGTGTGTGTGGGTGTCTGTGTGTGGGTGACTGTACTGAAACTTTATTAGTATCTTGGAGCGGGAAGACCAGGAGACGCAGACACCACAGACATCCGTGTTGCACACACACTCACTCACTCACACACACACACACACACACACACACACTCACACTGATTAGAGTAGGCTGCTGCCGCTGGTTCAGGCTGAGGCTATCTGTAGCGTCACCTGCACAGAGAGACAGGCCCGTCTTTGTCGGGGATGGCGCAGGTAAATGTATTTACGCCACCGTTCCCTTTCATTTTCCACGCCGATGTATTTGGAAACCTTATTTGGCTGCTTCTCTGTGGCCCTTCCAGACACAGCTGCTATACACATTTCCTCCTCCAGTGTGTGTGCGCAGCCATGTGTGTCTGGATGACCTCCAGCGGTAAACAGTGGCTCCCCTGGCTGTCACTGGATCTTGGTCCCCCACTGAGCTCTCAATCTGCCCACCAGTCCTGCTACACACCTGGTTGTATTGAGAGATTTTTTTTTTTTTTACTCGGCTTTATGTGTGCATGCGGTGCTATGTTGGTTTTGGATGAAGTCGGTGGATAAGTGAAGGATAGTATTTTTGTCTCACACACACCACAACACGAGGCTGTGTGTGTGAGTGTAGAGAGGGGGTGGGGGTGAGATAGAGAGGTGCTCTAAGTGCTTTTGCAGAATTCAGCTCCCATTTGTTATTTTTTCTCCAGCTCTTCTGCAAAGCATGTGTTTTTTTCCCCCCCACTCTCTTTAGAAATCTGTGTTTTGGTTTGATTCTGGCGCTATCCTCACACTGATGTATACCGTTATGGTATTTTAAGACTCATACTACAGATTTCTTGCAGACAGATTTGCTGTGTGTGCAAAATATGATGAAACATTCCTCTCAGAGTTAAAAGATCTGGCATGAAGTTTGCGTTTTAGCATTTTGTGAGAAATCCCTGTGACTGATCACCCTCTTTTCTCTTCCCCCAGGAGAGCCCTATTGCTCTGTACAGTTTTATATTGTACTTGTTACCTGGGACTTACACAAGTGCACTCTGAAGGTAAGCCTCCATCCAATTCATCTTCTCTCCTGTCTGCGTGTGTGTGTGTGTGTGTGTGTGTGTGTGTGAGTGTGCTGAAACGTTTACCCCTTTAGAAGAGCTGAGGAGTTTCTTTTCGGCCATTTGGTCGTGGCCCAAGCACATAAACACTTTTCTATCACAATCGGGTAAGTTGCTATAGCAACTGGTGTTGACTAAGATAAGTTGAGTAAGCCAGGGAGCGATTAGGTTATAGGCTGTTTCTGTAAAATTTTTCCCATCTCTCTTTGGTGATTTACAGCATTCAGCTGAGAGGATGTAAAAATCGCAGTATTAAATGTCCAGCCTCTGCTGGAGCCTCATCTTAGCAGAGTATTTATGAGGTTCATGCTCAAATGTTTTCAGAGAGGGTTTCAAAAGATGAAGGAAAACAATGCATAAGCAATTGTTGCACATGTGCCGTTCCTCTTGGATGAGTAGAGCAATTCAAATAAATTGTGCTCAGACCTTCTGTGATAGCAACTCTGGCCTTCCTACCCAGCAGCAAACAGCGGCCTGGCACTAGTTGGATCGAGATCCATCTTTCTGGAACTGCTGCACAGCAAAACAGAGTTAAGGGAGAATGACATTTTGGCAGAAGCTCACAGACCAGAGGCACGACTTCAAATGGATGCTATGGTTGCTGCATAAGTGGTTAGCTTACCAGCTATTTGCAAACATGATTCCTTTAAAAAAGAAAAAAAAGCCCAGTCTCATAAGAAATTGTGTAATACAGACAATTGTCCACTTGGCTGATTATATTTCAATGGGCAAAAGTTTAAAACTCTGACATGGCAACTGGTCAATAGCCTGTTTTTTTTTTCTTGGACAAGGTTCATATGACACGGAACATGAATAGTACAATATGTTAATAGTTGCCATGTAGATTTTTAAATCAGTTTTACCAGACATTTCATGATGTACATTTACAATTAATCTAGCTCTAATCATTTTCAGGTGAGACCACAGTAGACGAGAAAGGATTCACAAGCCACAAGGATGTAGAAGAGAGTAGAACAAGTCTTGCTTTTGCAGGCTCATGCATGATGGGGCTGTTAAAATGCAAGGTCCATGGATTAGCAGCATAATCCCCTCTGACCCTACTTATTGGCATTAGTGGCCTACAGAACAACAGCGAGTGTTGAAACATAAGAACATGGATGGACGTGTAGGATGTCGAATCTTAAGTTGCATGAAACGTGGTCAGAAACATGTGGGATCTATCAAATGTTTTGCCTTTCATGTGAGAACGCAGCATTTTACAGCGCCGAGCGGTGGAAATGTTTCCATGTTCTGCTGTGAGATCAGGTGATATAATGTTAGTTCTGTGCTCACAAACTGTCCCAGCCAAAGCAGCAGCAGGGTTAACATGCTGTGTAAAACCCATCCTTCTATAACAAAGTGGGCTTCAGTGTCCACTGACAGCATGGAATTATTGATGGTGGATGAGCTGGAGGCTTTTTTAACCCAGTTGTCATATTTTTATTAGATGTGGTTTCCATGTTTTGAGGTAACTTCTAATCATTTAGTGGTTTTTCTCTAATGAATCGTTAGAAATGCAGGCCAAGGAAACGGCCACCAAAATCCTTGGATAATTCTTTGAGTGCTGATGTCGGAAACAATCAAAGGTCTCCACAGATCCTTGAATTAAGTCTGAGTCTTGTTTTTTTTCTCATTATGTTATGTTCTTGGAATCCTTTCTTCTTCCCTCAAAAAGGAAAGCGGTCTCTCTTGAGCGTGATACGCTCAACAGGGACTTCTCCAGTTGTAAATCTTGGAGCAGCGCTGTCATAATCCTTTGCTAATTGTCAGAACGTGAGTGCATCCTCCTGACAGCTGAGGTTTTTCCTAAAAAAGAAGCCCTGTTTGCCATGCACCATGACCCTGCCACACACAGTGAGAACTGCGGTGACTCCACAAGTTAGGTAAAATGATTTAATGATACCATTTAGAAAAAGAAAACTCTCTCTGGACACCTTGTCAGAAAACGGAGCCCCTCACTGGACCACTTAAAAGATAAATGGCTTAAGACTTTTTTTCAGAGCATGAACCCAATTAGTGAGTTTAGTTTTTTATTTAATTGCAGCTCTGCATGAGCATAAAGCTAGTTATATTTTTCAGCCTTGAAGACCCTGTTCCATCTTCCCATGTCATGTTTTTATGTTTTAGTCTCTACTGTCAGCTCCAAATCACCAACACAAGGAAAAAAACGTTTCATACTTTAAACAAGCATCTCTTGTCATATTTTGTCTCTCAATGGAAGCGCCTTGCCGTGGGAAAAATAGGGTTTTCCGCTTTACGAGTTTGTTAACATGTAATTAGTTTTTACAGGTGTCAGTCCCAAATGTTTCATAGTGGGAAATGCAATGCTGTGGGGAATGAGGAATATCACAAATGACTCATTGTCGACCCCCGCCAATAAAAAAGAGAAATCACTTGTGTGTGAATCAATGACCTCATCCTGCACAGTGGATAAGATTACAGACTAAAGTGCCTTGGACCTTCTGTCTGTCCTCCTTGAGTGACTTGGCTCAGAGTAAAACTATGAGCTCTGGCCATGTGTTCAGCATACATCTGTTCAGATACATGCTGTAAAACCACAGGGTACAGTATGCCCCAATAATAGCACAAGATGTATTCGAATAAAGACATTGGAAACAGAAGGTTATGACCAGAGCAGACACATGTAATGAACACCCTGCCTCACTGCAAAGTCATGCTGTCCTTTACAGCAGGAGAGACCACACAGAGTGGAAATGTTATTGTAGAAAGGTGTACAATACACCCAATGTAAATCTTACTTCCATTTTATGAAGCCCCAGCGTTTTTTAAGGCGCAAAGATGTCTTGCAGGCGTACAGATGACATGGAGAGACCGTAAAGAATTGAGTGCGTGAAAGAGGCAAACCAAAATTTGGATCAAATTCTGCTCAGCAAAAAACTGTTTTTGATTTATTTGAGTACAGCGTTGTCTGAAATCAGAACCATATTCAGCACTTGGTTCTAAATATAACACAAAATAAGAATGGATTTGGTTTGACTAAAACAAAAAAGACCTCTTTCTTCAACTTGGTGTTGACCTGTCTGCTCTCTGTTCTCGTTTCTTTCTCCAGGAACTGGAACGCTAATGGGAATTCAATTTCCATTTTTTTCTTTCTTTAATAAAAAAAGTTTCCGTGCAGTTTGTGTGCATTTCCAAAGTCCAATTTCATCAAGCAAGCCTTGTATTTTTGAAAGACAAAAGTCTCATTGAAGGCAAAAAATGCTAAGGGATGGCATGTCAACTTTCCCCTTTCTATACGCATGTCCCCGTTAGACAAAGAGCAGTGACTGCAGGTCAGAGTGAGCCCAGTGACAAAAAAGATGGTCAGGGGCCTACGCATCACAGGTCATGAGAAGAATGAGAGTTGGGATTATTGAAAGTGAAATGCTGAGCCGAGGCAACACTGTATGAAAGACTGGGACCTGTATTCTGGCTCCAGGGGGGGAGATGATGTACGCACTTGTTGTCACTCTTGCCATGCTTTTAAATATCAGATATGGCCCGAGTGGTGTAAAGGATTGAAACCATTTCTAAGGCATGTATTCAACATGTTGCACACATACAGAATTTATCTTATGCACTTCAGTTTCAGATTTGAAAAAACAAGAATAGCCTTCTTTTTTTATCTTATTATAGTACAATATTCGGTCAATTCTGCGTTTTCAAATGAAAATGTAGTTGAATACAAGTCAACTGTTCAATGAATATAACTTTTACTTGACTTTACTATGAGTTTTGCCATCAGATTTGCGTACAGAATATTAGCTCTGTACTTAATACTGAATGTATTTTATCAGCAGTATCAAGTATCCGGTGCTGTTTTTGTGCTTATGGAGAAATGTGTTTACTTGGTGGCAATCATTGGAGGATTAGGCCTTTAAGCCTGCTTGTGCATTCCTTACACTAGCTACTTTGGCCTTAACAGTTACCTCAACTCCTCATAATGTTTTCAAAAACACCAGCCTCACACTAAAAATATGGCCCACAAATTTAGATTTGGATCTTGTTTTTACTCACAATCATCATCCTGACATGATTATTCCAGAGTTTTCCCTGTTCATCTTCCTCTCCATGTCGCCAGAATCTCATTTAGAACTTGGATGACTTCATAGGATAAGCTGCTGAGGAAAAACCACATCTTACTGTTGGACTGTGCATTGGGAATCATGCTTGGATTTGGTTTCAGAAAAGCGAAAATTCAAAATGATTCTGCAGTTTAAATGTGCTCACTGTCACCTCGCAGCTCGGGGCTTCCCAGACTGGACAGGCCATGGGCCTTTCTGTGTAGTTAGAATGTCTCTCAGTGGCGAAAGTGAGGGTCCTCTTAACCCTGCTGCGCAGATGGATGGTTGTGTTGTGTTTTGCTGTTCGACAAACTTCAACTTTGTCTGAAAAAGTGTGGGCCTACTCCATTTTAGTGTGTGCCGCTCCTTTGCTGAGGAGTTGTGTATGAATGCATGAACACAAAGAGTGTGTAAGTATCCCAGATGCGTTGTGCTCAGTCGCTCTACTGAGTCCCCGAGGTGATGTTTTTAGAATTTGCTGCTCTTTTCACAGCTGTGTTTCTGTGCAGAACATGAAGAGGTTGCATGAAAAATGCCTGATACAAAGTGTAATTGTGTTATTAAGATAAGATTAATAGGATGTACTAGTGTCTACATCTAAAAAAAAACATTTTCTCAGATAGTAAAGATTCTTCACTCTCTTTTTTTCCCAGATGTGGACATTCTCCAGAAGTTGGGGCTTAAGGGAGAGAAGCCATCACGCTCTGTGCCAACAGGGGTCATTCCGTTCAGATCGGGGATCATCCTCAACCAGCGGGCACACATCGAGGCTCCACTGCGCTCAGTCTTTCCAGCGGGCATCTGGCCCAAGTTGGCACTGGTCCTGAGTGTTCGCTCGCATCGTGTCAACAGTGCTTTCCTCTTCACCCTGCTCTCAGGCCAGAAGCGGCTCCTTCTTGGCCTGCAGCTTGTACCGGACAGTCTTGTCCTCCACACGGGACCAAACACCTCTGTTTCACTGCCCTATGAACCCCACGATGGCCAGTGGCACCAGCTGGCCGTGGGAATTGATGGCCAGACAGTGACTCTATATGCCTCCTGCGGAGAGCAGAGTGTTCAGGCAGACTTTGGGTGGGACAATGAGGAGGGACTGGCTCCAGAGCTCAAGGGCTCTTTCCTGCTGGGGCGGACAAGCCAGCAGCATGCGTCAGCGCATTTTGAAGGAGCCGTTTGCCAGTTCGACCTGGTCCCTTCTGCACAGGCAGCTCACAACTACTGCAGGTACATTAAGAAACATTGCAGGGAGGCTGACACGTTTAGGCCTAACCTTTCCCCTTTACTGCCCATCTTACCAGGAGGAAAAAACATCTCGGCTACTGCCTCTACCCCTAAGCGCAGTGGCCCAGAAGCCGCCAGAAAGTCCGCTGGCTTGAGCCTTGCCAAGAGCGCTGCTGCCGCTGCATCAGCTGTCAGATACGTGGCGCCCCGCCAAACCATAAAGCCAAATCCCGGGACCATCTCCACTCCCTTGCTGGTAACTGTGGCACCAGACACAGTCCAGTTCGGTTTGGTCGCCCCATCTCCCAAGAGACGGACCGAAACCGTAACGGCACCCCTCAGGACGGCAGCACCACCCACAAAGTCACCAACCTCAAGACCCGCCACTCCTAAAGTTTCAACACGGAAACCCTCCAAACCCACCACCCCAAAGCCCACTCCTCAGAAGGCAATTGCAGAAAAAGAGAGCAAGAAGAAACCTGCTGTTCCAGCCACTGCCAGCGCCAAACCCCAAAAGACCAAGCCTGACTCGGCCTCAGTAGACCGAGCTGCATCCCCCAAGGATCCACAGCCTACCACAGCCAAGAAACCATCTCCTAAGCCTAAAGTCGCATCCACCCAAACCACTCTGTCCAAAACTAGATCAACTACTGTCAGAAATGCAACTTCTAAGCCAACATTATCCGAAGCTACATCCTCAAAATCAATGATTGCCAAAACTACATCTAGTATGACCTCGAAGCCTGTGTCCAAACATATTACCAAGCCCACAAAGCAAACCAAAACCGCCAATGCTCCGGTCACCCCACGACCCACCAAGCCTTTCTACAACACAGTGACACCACCTGCGACTGATGGTTTCCTGAGCTGGGAAGTGCCACCCACACAGTTCTCGCTGCTGGCAGGACCTAAGGGTCAGAAAGGAGATGAAGGCTTGCCGGTAAGAACATCTGTTTATCCTGAGTTGGTTAATGAAAGTGCAAATTCCACAGAAAAGCCAGTTGTGTGTTTGCGCTGATAGTGAAATGCTCCAATTCAGGTAAAAAACGTTGCAGTTCTTTGTCATTAGTGAAAGCTAAAGTTTCTTCAAATGCTCAGTGATCAGCGTAAAAAAAGCCCCAGAAGTCTACAGGTTATTGCCACCATCTCCTCCCCTGCACAGGACAGATGTCTGTCTTTTCCGCCCGTCTTTCCTCTTTCCTCTGTGCATTGAACCCTCCAGGCTGGGTGTGACGTGTCAGGTCAGACGCCTTGCCGTCTCTTCAACAGATTCCTCTGTCAGCAAGTGCTGGTGGAGGTCACATAGCCCCCTTTCAAAGCCAGGTCAAAGGTCAAAGGCGAAATGTCAGCAAACATTCAGTTTCCCAATGCAGGCGCAAAGATAGGCCGGGCCTTCAGCGTGCCAATTTAAGCTAGATCTTCGATTCCTGTTTTTTTTTTTTTTTTCCCAGACATTAGTCCTCTCCCTTTTCTGATTAAACGAGTCAGCAAAGCAGGTGTCACTCCTCTAATTATGAAGTGAAAGGATAAGGTTTGCCTCAGTTTGGTTTGTGAGAGTGAGAAGCCCGGCTCAAATGTTAACTCATCGAATCAATATGTTGCTGACTCCTCTTTAAATCTTATACGTCAAGACTCAGCAGCAATCACAGCTGAAGCCTGATTTGGCCTTGTGCTTATTTTTTCTCAAATTATTTTCTTGCTGCACAGATCTGTCGAAGTTCCTTCTCACTGTTACTTAAAATTGACCTCCTTTGGGATCTAATAGGGATCTAACCCTAACTCCTCTGCACCAGAATACAATTATTATGTTCAGAATTTAGTCAGATATGAAAATTCTTGTTTGATGCACTGACCAAAAACAAACCTAATTTAATATAAACTTTAAACTGATTGTTTTGTTATTTGATCATATACAGACTTTGTGTTGAGTTGGGTGTCCAAGCTGTCTGTGATTAGATTTTAACACTTTAAACATTTCTCAAATCATCCCGATAAATGATAGAGAATGTTTGGGCCATTTTAGGCAGAGTCTGCTGCTAGTGTCGAACTGTAATCTATTAAAATAAAAACCAAGCATGTAAAGTGAAGTTTTTCATTCACTCTGAAGAAATGTTTCCCACAGCTAAACATACCTCAGACTGTAAAAATCTGCTTCCATCATGCTGAATCTGAATTATAGTAGTTGGAAAATACTTTGACCGCAGCAACAAAATTAAGAACCACTGACAGAGTTGTGAAAATTGGACAAAAACGGTGGCAGTAAAAACAAACAAACATGCTGGGATGAAAGACTGAAGCAATCGGCGTGTGAGGACGGACTGGAGTGTGTGTTGACGGGTATTCAGGCCCCCACGGTGCACGCCACCTGCAGCAAGAGGGGTGGTCTCAACTGTGGAGGTCATCCTGAAGGAGGCAGTGGGGATCCAATTATAATCCGTAGCAGGACATAAACCAAATCACATGCAGGGCACAACGTATGCAGGAAGTGAGAGCCACCGCCATAACCCTCACAGTCAGGGATGTGAGCGGGTTGCTGTTGTTTGGAGGGGTTAAGTAGTTTTTCCCCTTGTCTCTTAAAGTTCATAGCCTTGTGAAAATTGAGATGAGGAAACTTCATAAAAGGTACAACACTGATACATCAATAACTCGTGCTTTATGGCGCCACATTCGCATGTCTTTATTATCTCGACCTGACGTCTAATGGCGCAGTAAAGGTGCAGTGACCCGTTTTACAGTGACCGAGCCATTTTAAGAATGCCGTGTGTATTCTCTGACTAAAATCTGCTTCTGAATCCGGAGTCCCTGCCGGCCGGTCTGAATAGCCAAAATAACCACGAGTGTTCTGTTTTTCCTCGCTTCTCGTTTTCCTCTTTTTTGATTAAAAGAAAACGAAGGCGCGCAAGCCCGATAAAGACACACAGGGGCATTGAGTGGCACAGGAAATGACCTGTTATTTCGAGTGTTTCTTCAGTTTCCTGCCACGCAGGCTCCAAACCTCTCGATGGATAAGGCTGAACTCTCATCACCTTGAGATGGAGTTACTTCACAGGGAAGGGGTGTCGTTTTTACTCCACAAACACTTCTCCCTGTGAGATGTGAACGGGTTCCCTTTGTAAACACAAAAAAAGAGGCTTAACAATGAGATGGTTTTGACACATGCGATGGCGGAAGTTTGCTTGTTGACAAAGATTTGGTGTTGACAAAGATCATTTGTGTGTGTGAGTGTGCGGCACTGACTGAGTTATTTCTCTCCAGGGACTGCCAGGACCTCCAGGGAAGCCAGGCCTACCGGGCAAGAGGGGTCCTCGGGTAAGTCTCCCGGGTCACTTTCAAATACCACACGAAAACTTTTCCATTTGTTGCCTCAAAAAATCATTCTTTCTATTTGGCTGACCCCCAAACAAACTGACAAACATGTTGTCGCAAATGTTCATATTGTGGGTCTTAAAAAGCACGTCTAAATGTGGTGTTATGGTGAATATTTGTGTGTTTTGTGTGTCGGTTTCGGCTACTGCTGCTGGTATGCGTGTTGACCGAAATCTCAGACACAAATAGCCTTGAGATCCACAGACAGACACATAAACAGAAGTACGCAGACAGAGAGACAGACATAGAGACACACAGACAGACACACAGACAGACAGAGACTGCTTGTATCCACGCGTCCCAGCCAGGAAGCCCTGGACTGTTTTCTGCAGTTACAATAATAACCTGCTAGGCCGGGCTCACACATCACTTTAAATCCCTCCCATCAACCAGCTGACACACACACAAACCCTCTCATACTCTCGCACACAAAGTTTTCCTATGCAGGCGGATTGACCATATTCAGCACAGGGCTGCGAGGGCTGACCTCCCACCCCTAAGCATAAACAGGAAAGCTCCTATAAAGACAGCCTTTCAAAAGGCTGCCTGTGCCACAGGATGCCTAATAAAAGCACTGTAAACAGACACAGAACACATGGCTCCTCTGGACTTTCTTCCCCTTGCTGTGCTGTTGCAGCAGGCAGCTCCATCACTTCGTGGAATCCCCCCTTTAATCGAAAAGCCTCGTTTTCCAAGCCCTTTAAATGGAAATCGCCCCAGATAATGTCCAGCATTTATGTGTATTTGGGCGCACATGCTTGGATCTTTGTTATTCAGTTTTAAATTTGAATCAATTTGTGTTTGAAAGACAGAAAGCACTGTAAATCGCCCTTCTACAGATGTTAAAGGAGGTGTGTTTGAAGCCCTTTCAGGTTCCCCAAATTAGATTCTGGTAGCCGCTCTGCAGTATTGCCAAAAAACTAAGTGCTTTGCTTGTGATCCAAATCAAACTTACCTGAAATAAACTTTAATTGGAGCTAAATATGCAAGCTCAGTGCTGAATGAATGTGGTCAAACCGACTTTACCTCTGAGTTAAATAACTTCTGTGGAACTGGGCTGCTGGCTTTTTCCAAAAGTAACCCCAAATGCACTGCAAAGCAATACTATAACTCTAGTCCGGCCTAGAAAGAGGTGTCTTGTTTGAACCTCATTCATAAGCACTTTATATGCACTGATACACTGATTTACATCGCCATTGCCTGCCCCATCTTAACCGGCTGTGGAAGTGTCACTGTCACGGAAAGTGGCCTTTTTTGCAAAACACCAAGCAAATCAAATCAAGTCTTTTCAATTAAAGGGGCACATGTAAAACCGTTGGTTTATATGAAGATTTAACAGGGGTCACTTGCAAACACGCAGCCAGTGTCTGTGTCCAGTCTCGTTGTTGTTTTTATTGAACACACACTTGTATATGGGGGTGTACACACTGAAGAGCGCTAATCTCACACCGTATATTACAGACACATGTGGCAGTTTTTATGGTCTGCCTATATAAAGCGGGAAATTATACAGAATTGCTAACGTGAAAGGTAAAAAATAAGAAACATTTATCGATTTGAATTTCTTCTCATCTGCACATGTGACCCTGAAAGCTAATGTCAGGTTTTGAGATTCTTCCTTTTCTGACCACAAGTCGAGAAACATCATTCGATCATAAGCACTGAAGTGATAAATGATATCCCCATCCGAGAATTTTGTTCTGGATAGAGACAATTGTATCCCTGCCAGTTTTTTGCCCGGCCCTCTGTAGCCACCGATTACTGGAGGCCTGTTTGATGACACAGAGCCCCATTGAGCCCGAGAAGCCCCACCCATGAACCTTGACCCCTGATCCCGCACATGTGAGTGTGAGATGCCGTCGCCATGGCAACAGATGCCTGCCCAGAAGCTTTTTTTTTTTCTAGGTGTCCATTAATAGCCAGACAGTGCTTTTTTCTCGAGTCTGTTTGTGGGTCTATAATGACGACGGTTGTAGGAGGGTGTGAGCGGAAACGCTGATGCATCGCGGGCGCACAGACCTACAACTATCTGAGGACCGGCTGCACAGATTCGCCCGGAGCCTCTCAGGTCAAAGGAGTCTTTGTCTGAGTGAAGAAAAACCTCTGTCACCCATCTTTCCTCATGCCTCCGCAACACAATGCTCCTCTGTCACTGGACAAATTTTCCCCCAGCCTCTCCTCACCTGTATGGATTCTGACATATAAAAAGTATTGAGAAATGTACAATGAAGCAGATCAACTGAAGTGTGGAGCTGTTTTGGTAACACCTGGCGACAGATCAGCTTTTTAAGGGTCTTTATAATCCCTCTGTGTGTATGTAAACTCTGTGTACGGGTCTCTGCTCTGGAAAGTTACTGTAATAAGTTTCAGGATTGTAAAACTGACTGACCGTGCTCTAATTCTCCACGGTTGCTATCCCGTTTCGTTTTTAATGCATTTTTAATAACATATTTTAAACATGTTGGCGTAGAGATACCTCTAGGTTTCCGTTATAATTCTCAAATATGTCATCACCTTTATGAGCTTTTAATATTTTTGTTTTAAAAGCTAAACCTTGGATTAGTTACTATTTCCCTTTTTTAATACTGTAGTCATGGCATGATGTACTAGCTATAAAAAATATTGGCTGCCAAAGCAATTGAATTCATTAACTTTCTCACCGTGAAGTTTTACCTTAATTTATGTCACATCAGGCTGTAAGTTCCAACTATCTTTTTCAACAATGACACGGCTGGCTCCTAAATATTTTTTATTCATTTATGTGTTATCATATTCTTTTTAGTTTATGGAAAGTTTAATTATGACATAGAAAGGTTAATTATGTCCATGACCACATACACTTATAATCATTTGTTACTAATCAGAAGAGACACCAAAATCTCATATTTGGCACAGCATCATACAGAATCTCTTTTATCTTTAATGTGGTGACTGTATAAGCATTAAAAGCATCTTTTACAAGCTGTTTTTTTAAGTCAAACTGTGTTTACAGCATAGCCCATTAAGAGGCTTTTTTTTCTCCTTTTCCTTGTGGGAATGTAACCATGGCTGTGATTTAAGGACCCACATGTACATACTGTATCATTTGTATAGTTTGTATGGCATGTAAATATGATTTTGGAAAATTCAGATGGAAGAGCGTTCAAAAAAAGTCATGAATCATTGGTGATTTCATGGTAACTGGTCATGAAAACTGGAAATGTGTACAGTGTTTCTTCCAGTACATGCAGAGATGGAAATACACTTTACAAAGATTGAGTTAATTTCTATGGAGACTGGTTCATTCAATATTGTTTAATCCAGGTAACTCAACAAATTTAAATTTTTTGATTAGTTTTTAGAAATAGTTCTCCAGGCTTCTTGAAAGGCATCCCAAAGCTCCTCTTCAGACGTTGGCTGCATTTTATTCCATTTTCTGTCAAGATGATACCTCACGGCTTCAATATTTTGAAGACTGGACTCTGGGGAGGATTTATCATTCTGATTTTTAGTCCAGTTCTTGTGTCATTTGGCTCTGCATTGACTCCCTGATTCCCTTTTTTAAAAAAAGGCTTCTTGACAGCCACCGGAGAGCATTTCTGAAGAGGCTTCTGTGAACAGTGAATGGATCAACTCAAAGACCAGATGCATTTCTCTGGTCTTGTGTCAAGTCATTGCTGGAATCCTGTACGGCTCATCGGATGTCGGTCAGGTTTTTAATCCTGATACTTAGAGCTTCCATTATCCCTACAATTTTACAGCTTTTGGCTAATATCAATTTGGGAATCTTTTTGTTGGTGAAAAACACTATTTTAGTACTGTCAAACTGTATTATTGTTGGCAATCATACTATATTTCAAAAGACTGCCAAATATCAAAATATGCTGAATTGTCCCATTGACAGTTGTCTGGTATCTGGTATGTTTTTTTCTTGAGAACCTTGAGTTATGTGCCTTTTAATACTTAAATGATTCATAGTTCATTGTTCAGTGGACACACAAACAAATTCAAATGTTCAAGACCTTGAATTAAAATTATTCAAAATCAGCAAATGCTTAAATAACAACTTTGAAAACCCCTCAGAGAGCATGACTGACCATTTCTTAAGTCAGTTTAACAGATTTCAACAGTCTGGCGCATTACATCAGGTTCAACTTCAACTATTTTAAGGTGCACTGAGAGTTTGACTGAATTTTTTTTCCTAAAAATAAACTGCCACTCTAATTACTACTGTTGGCAGAATCCCATTTCACTCTTTATTTGATAGCAGTCCGATGCATTCGCCCCACCCAGGTCCTCTCTAATTAGACACCTGCTTTTCAAAGAAAGGGATCCAACATGGAGGGTCGGCGCTCAGGACCCAACGCTGGTGCCAGCCCGTGCTTACTAGTGTACTGCCCAACCTCTGGTTAACCGCAGGGCTAATTTTGAAGCATGTAATTCCAACATGTCCAGTTTGTTTAAGTTTATTTGGGGCACAACAGCGTTCCTTAACACAGTGTGGGCAGACCATTTCATGTGGAATGCCAGCTGCATAAAAACCACGAGTGAAAGAGGAGGTATGTGGGCTGAACATTGAATTTTTTTTGTTTTGTGTTTAGTTGTAAGGAAATTTTTTGAAACTCGCGACTCAAATAAGGGATTCCAATGTCTGTACATTACTCAATGAGACATGATGAATTGTACAGAAAGGGCTGCCTTTGGGAACATGTTTTTCTCAGTGGGATAATAGAGATTTTACAGCCTGAATATCTGTAGAATCTGGGTTTTGATGCTGCAGCGCAGATCTCTAAGATGAAGCCTTCCTGATTTGCTTTGACTCACCTCAATGAAACTCACTGACCCACCTCTTAAAGCACTCTTGGCTCTTTTTCCACTCTCTACTTGCTCAACCCCTTGACCTAGGACAGGGGTGGGTTAGGGGCCCATGGGTGCCACACCACGTGGAGGGCAGGGACGAGGTCAGGGATCCACAGGAAAAACTCACTCAGCGGAAGAGAAGGCAGACAGTCAGGCCGATAGATGAATGGCGCAGGAACCCACCCCCTGCGCCTCCGTCTGCAGGCTTCTGTTCAAACCGAGAAAAACTGCTGTACATTCATTGCCTGGCTTACAAGGTTTCTCCGCTAAATCTTCCCCTGAGAGCCTCTGGACAGAGTGCGATGGTTCACATTACCAGTGTGCCGCCACTGCTGAGGTTGCTTTGTTAGTGCTCATTTCCTCAGCAACTGCCAACGCGGGGAGAGAAAAGCACATCAGCACAGGAACTCTGGTTCGAAAAAAAGGTTTGACGCGAGGCGATCTGCATTAATCGTTAAGATGCCTGGCACTCGTGTTTTTGTTTGTGCGCTTGTATCTGGCCCGTGCTGCATTGTGAGGCAACATGGGCCAGGAAACCACAACCATCTGGTTAAGCAGCTCCACAGAGCCCAATTTTCCATGAGCTTCTACCCCCCAATGCAAACCACCAAATACCTCACACACACACACACACACACACACGCGCGCGCACACATGCACACACACACAAAGTTAATGTATAGGAAAATGCATTAAAATAGCATGAAAGCTGAGGTTCTCCAGACAGTCTTTGATCTGTTGGCCTGTGATTTTATTCACACAAGCAGAAGGCACCGTCTGCATCAGTACCTGATGGCAAGTGGTGAATGAAATCCATCACATTTTAACTTGATCTACCAGTTTCTGATGTTTTTTTTTTGTTTTGTTTTGTTTTGTTTTTGAACACAGGGTGCCCCTGGTCCCCATGGGAACCCTGGCCGACCTGGTCCACCTGGACTCAAGGTACACAATCTTGGTCTAACTTAACTTAACGTGGTCTAACAAATTCTCTTCTTTGACCGAACAAAATTTTTCCAATCATGACCAAATGATGACCAAATGAGTAAGCTTTAGCATCATTTAGTGTCTTCTGCTGCTAAGTTAAGAATGGCCCTTTATAGCCTCTGAAAGACTATCCAGCTAGACCTTTGACTTTTTTCTCTTTTTTTCAGTTTTTGTATATTAGCTGGAATCCATAAAGAGTAATGAGGGTAATGGAGTTTTATGGTTGCTGAATCAGGGTCATTTAAGTTCATAGCAAGTAATTCGTGGCAGTTTGGGACAGCGCAAACACAACACCGCTTATGCTGAAGAGTGTTAGGATTCCAGCCTTTGGAAACACCGCACATCCAGTTTGCGTTATGTTTATTAAGCGCGTTGCATTAATTCCCAGTTCTGGAGTAAAGGGAGCGAGTCTATGCTTCCTCTGCTGCCTGAAAAGAGAGGAAAAAAGTGGTATGTTGACACCAGAGGGGGGTCGGAGTGATTTATCAGAGCATCAGGAAAAGACATTATGAGTCGGAAAGTGAGAACTGCAAATAAATCTGTCCAATTTTAACGTGTGAACAGGAGATGACCCTTCCAAAGACAAATTCTCTGCACCCCCCTCGTGATTGTCTGGACTGATGTACACCTTTGCAAACACCCTTGACCTCTGACACTGTCTGTTTGGAGCAAAGAGTGCGGAGCAATGCCTTTATTTAAAGTTCATTATAGAAATGCCTTAGATAAGTGACAACTGTGGTCACACTGACCAGCCCCACCACCCTGACCAACAGCGATTGTGATGAACTTTGGCCAGTAGTCCTTCTCTTTCCAAAAACTATTTGAAGTGACAGTATTTTCAGAATCTCCTGTTATTTGCTTTTAGTCACGTAATCAGAAAATCCACATATACACATTACTACTTCAGAATTAACATTGACATTATTAATATTCTGATTATTTGGCCCCAATTGCAGCTGGTTAACTGGTTAACAAACAATGGAGGCCGGTATGGATTTGATCTCTTTTTCATAGTACTAGTTGTTCATTTCTGAAGACACTATTGGATCTTCCTTATTTTATAAAATATTGTCTCCATTTGATATCTTTTAATATATTTACTGGCGGACATGATTTTCATCATGTTAATAATTTATGTCGGGGCAAAATCACATTTACAGAAATTCACCTATTCCCCTGCCAACCACTCATACTCATCCAGCCATAAACTGATAAAGGTTGTGGTGAAAATCAACAGTTTCCACTATAGATGGAGAAAAAACTGCTATTTTCTTTAGTATATACCTAATGACCTCAAAATTTAAACCATGTGCTCAAAATCGTGCCGGCTTCCTGTGCCACCGAAACGGCCCTGCCCCTTCAGGGCAGCGTCCTGAGCTGCCTGAGCCGGGTGTTGCGGAGGGCCTCCGTGGATTGGGTTTCTTCAACACATCTTGCAGATTCCTAATCTGATTAGGATTTTGAGAAAACCTGGAGGTCGGGTCATCCTTGTTGTGTTGTATTCCTGAATAGGTACATTATGCAATGTGGCAGCATCCGTTGAGGAATGCCATTCAGATTGGGGGTGCATGCATGGTCTGCATCAAGCCTCAGTGGAAACTACGTGTCAACATGTCTGCAGAACGCTGCAGTATAATAAGACGATCAGTGATGCTGGGAGTAAACATGATGCAAACAAACTAAATCTTCTAGTTCTAAAAGCGAACAACCTCTCGGGAACTTCGTAGGATCCTCACAACTAAAGATCGTGTCCGTGCTTTGGGGCAAGTGTTGGCAGGCTGGTGCCAAACAGGCTCGCTCTATCTGGCAAGTGTGCTGAAAGGAAGATTATACAGCGTTTGATGTCCCAAGGTGCACCGCAGTCTTTGCTCTTTCATCGTTAATAAATGAAACAAAGCCGTAAATGGCATCGGCCTTTAGGGGGGAAAGAGAGGTAGGCAGCGATCTGTGTAATTTCCGATCCGTCGCTTTGAAGTGCTGCAGCCTCATTATTGTTACCTGCTGACAATGAAGCATGCTGTGTGTGACTGGAGGAGCACTGAGCCCAGGAAGAAAAGCATCTGTAACACAGCTCTGAGTAGTGGGGACTACATCTCTCACTCCCTTCTATGCATTGTTTTTATTTTCGGTATAATTCGGTGATGTGTGATTTATAGATGAGGGCCTCTTCTACAGCCCAAATAAAGTGTCAATGTGTAATAGATTGATAGTGAAACCGTACAATGATGCAACTCTTAAAACTTAGTTGCATGTTTTTCTAAAGTTGTTTTTTGTTTTTTCTCCAAGGGGAACAAAGGAGACCCCGGCATCTCACCAGGGCCTTCGCCTAAAGGAGAGAAGGTAATATATCTTCTTTACTTACACGCTACATCCATTTATATTGGCACTGTGCTGACTAGCTCCTATAGTAGCACATTTATTATGGCTTTTTGTGCAACCTGAAATTCTTCCATTCTTGCCCTTTGACATTATTGTATTCTGTTCCAGGGAGACCTGGGGATTATTGGCCCTGTTGGAATGCCTGGACAAGCAGGTCGAAAGGTAAAACTAAACAACCCAAATCTCTGCATTAATCATTCTTAGATTTCTTTCCTTATGTCATGTTAGAGCAAAAAACGTATATCTGCGTTCTTAGGAAAGGGTCCGCAGGGAAATTTAAAAAAGGCAACACATGAAATAATTCTCGTCCTTTTTTAGAAACTTTAGCTTGCTGATAGTGTGCCTGTTTTATTGTTGTTTGTGCGTTCAAATCTCTGCTTGTTTTCCCCCTTCCTGATTCCCTCCATCCCTCTTCCTCTGTTTTTGCTGCGTTCACCATTTCTTCCATGTGTTCACCGGCTCCTGCACAGAGAAGCCTTAGAGTTTGCAGACGGGGTTTAGCAGAGATGAAGGGGAAAGTTGGCTGGATGGGGATCGCGGACACACAAAATGACCTGTGTGACAGCTGTTACTTAAGTCGCACTTTGAGCGATTCGTGAGTTTCGGAGGAAAAAGGGGGAAGGAGCTTCTGGTAGGCAGGACTGCAACAAGCACATGAGGGAAAGTCTGAGCAGGACGCATGCCACTGCTCACAAATGTGAGCGGATTCCTGTGCACTTGTGTGTGTGTGTGTGTGTTTTTGTGTATGCACATAAAGCAGACATCAAAATATAACTGATTCTCATTAAAAATGAATTCCCCGAGGACACTACAGCAGTTAGACGTTATGTGGAAAAACTGAAGTGCGGCTCAGCATATTACAATTATAGTTGCATTACGAGTCGTCTGTTTTATGAAATGCCCCGTTGTATTCAGAACTATGTGTTTACTGAGCCCAAATCTTGTGAGAGAAAGAAGTTATTCTGTTATGAAGACACAAGCCTTGGGAAATTTGGCAACGCAGGAAGAGAGGTTTTTTATCTTAATCAAAACCAAACCTGCTCAATGAAGTTTTGACTCCTATTCACGGTACAAAGAACTGTGGCATGTAACCTGTAGGGGCGCTGCAATAAGCATGGCTGCTCAAAGACCTCTTATACGTCAGCCAGAGGAGTTGCTCGGGAAGATGTGATTAATTTACCATGTGAGTTTGATTAACGGGACTGTTACATGAAAATAAAGGCTGACACAGCATAGAATGGTTGATTGTAGACTGTTTGGAGGTCTGAATTCCCCGAGTTCCCCTCTAATTGCTTTACATAACAGTATTAAACAAACTTTAGTGGATATCAGTAAAGTGAAGTGAAAGCATGTGACGGTTAAGCTGTCAATTACGGGCACTTGCCAGACCAGAAAAGCGAAGATCAAATAGTATAAGCAACAATTTCCACATCTCTGGTGCATCTTTTTTTTTTCTTCTGTTTGACATGTTTTTTCTCAATTACACAGCACCAAAGAAAAACTTCCATTGTAGCTGAACTATGCACACATGACAAACTAAGCTGTGTGCTTATAAAATAAGCTGAAAGAGTGGGTAGGTTGTGTCCTTTTCAGAAGATGTGTCAAGCACTTCTGCGTGTATTAGCTTTCTTTCCAAACCCTGAATGTCTGAGTGTTGGACTCCTTCAGGATTTCTACCTCTGGCTTAACATATGGCTTTTGTTAGGAGTCTGCTTTTCTGTGTCTTGTGTGTGTCTGTGTCCATTTGAATGTCTCTACCTCTTTCTTTCATACAAGCACTTAGAAGGGGAAAAAAAGCTTGTGGAAAACACTCACAGATTTGCCCCTCAAGGCAAAAGCGATTTGAGGGTCTGTCGGAAGGGGAGTCGGTGACGTGTGACAGCTGATTTACCTCTTTAACAACTCAGATGGCACCACAATGCTCTTCATCACCAACACCAATTGACACTTTCATTCTGTGATGAGCTGTGGAGGGGCTCCGTAAATCCCCTTAATAAAGCCCAAGAGCATATTATATCTCCCACTTATCAGAATGACATCATTGCTCGTCGTCTGGAAGAGCCGCTGCCATAGAAACCTCATCAAAACAAACACACACACACACATGGACTGACATCATCAGAGCAGCCCTCAGGTATTGGTCAGTGACCACAGACATGTTGACTGTAAAGGGGAACTTGTTAAATTAACCGCAAGGAGCTAACATGCTTTCCACACACAAACACAAAGAAGCTTGCGCAGCACAAAACAATACACGGGAACTTTCTGCGGTTCTCAGATGTGCCTCACACCGAATGTGTTGGTGGATATTCATCCACTAAGCAGTTCTGAGGCCGATGTGTGAGTCAGTCGCCAGACTTTGCCGTAATAGTTTGGCCTCAAACAGACTTTGCTGTGCTCCTCAGGTGGAAAGTACCAGGCGCTGTCTGCCCTGAGGCCCGCCTCTCCATAGAGACACACCATACGTCCAATATTAAGAAGGAATAATGCCTTCATAGCTGCAGTACTCTAAGGCCACCCTGAAACTCTCATGTACTGCGTCTTCCTCGTCATACCTCTCCGGCTGTTTAGCTTGTGTCGTTTGCTTGGATTTCTGTGGTTTAGGAAAACGGGACAGCAGCAGCTTTTCCTGTGTTTTCCTCTGTATTTTTCCCTTTTCCACCTTCCCTGATTTTCTCTCACACACTAACCTAAACACACATAGCTGTACAGGCTCTAAATCAGTCACAGCTTGATGTTTCGAGCGGGATTTCTGGAATTTGGCTGCCTGTTTTCCATGGAAAACTTTAATGGAGAAAGCAGTAGTGCTTTTAAAAGCATGATAGTAGAGTGTGATTTTACACTGTCAGTCAAGCCAAGCATGTTCCGCTCTGTACAACATTTGTTCTACTAAGCAGACCTTGAATGGCTTTTCAGTATGGCAGGCAGGGTCAGGGAGAGGAGACACACACGGAGCCAAACCTCAACTACAAGGCCACATTACAAGCCACAGGTCTCACCTTACTGCCTTCATCACTGCATCTGTCGTCTAACTGCTAAATAATCTCTTTTCCCACTTTCTGTACGTCTATCTTTGAGAAGTCTGTCATTTTTTCCTCTTAAAAACAAAGACTTGTAATATGATGTAGCACTGCAACTTTCATTTTTCCAGGTCTAAAGTGCTGATTCTCATATTTAAACCTCAAAGTGCTGTGAATTCTCTTGTCTAATTCTTGGCAGTAAATGGAATGTTATGGAATGTTATCACTCAAACGTTTTGGCACTTGATTCATCTGCTTTCCCAATGCGGCTTTTCTCCAGATGCAGAATTATACTACCAATTGTTTATAAATGGGATCAATTTCAGAAATAATTTGCTTTTGGCTTATTTTGGAAAATGACATTGCATTTTGTTTTTTTATATATATATTTCAAACTAAATATTTTATTCAATAGTTTAGAGTTTTAGTTATAGAATGAGCAATGTTTTGGTTTTCTAAGATAGTCATGTGAAAAAGACTTAGACTGTATTTGAAAAAGACTGTATTTGTACTGTATTAGGACATACTACTAAAAAAAAGTTAAGCAAATGTTAAATAGTGTAAATACAACCCTAGGTGAAAAAAACATATTTTTTTTACATATTACTTTCTGTGATTACATACAAATCTGAACCAAAATGCATAAGTAATATTAAAGCTGATTAGCAGCAGGTGCTGCCAATCAAATGTATTTGATTGTTTGATCATCAGCAGGTGTAATCGCTTCTCTTAAATCATATCTTTTTGAAAATGTGCACGTTTCTTCAGAGTATTATGAATTCCTCAAATATGCACGTCTGTATTACAGCACATATGGTTAATTTATAGTCTTACTGGTTAAGTAGTTTTGATTTATTGAGACACCCAGCTAGATTTTTTTTTAAAGCATCCTATAAGCACAATGCAGAACATGGTGATATTCCTTCACAGATGAGGCAGTCTGTCGTGTTTTCTTTTTCATGCCTTTCATTAATCTGATGTAGTCTGCGAGATGTTTTCCAAACCAAACTCTCTGCATTCAGCTCCTGCACTCCGCTCAAACTAACGAGTCCTCATCATCATTGTGGAAATTATGAGATAATTCAAATCAACCATCATTTTCTTTGCACGTTTGCTAAGTAGCGCAGCAAATCACTGCCTGTCTCCCTCCAGTTGTGGTTTAACAGGGATTCTGCCTGGGAGCAAAACATGCCGTTGAAGTTGTGGTTCAGACAGGGATGAGGAACCTCTCTTTTCCACGGGGTAGATTTAACCCTAATTGGCCATTTATGTTCGTTCGGTTGTTTGTTTCGTCCCATCCTGCCAAACATTCAGAAGTGCTTATGTTGTACTGTATATGCAACATGTGCATGTAGCCATCAATTACTGAGCAGTCCCTTCTGGCTCTGGGCTGCAGAAGGATTTTGGACAGTTCAGGGTGGGTGAAAAGATGAAAGTGCAGATTGATGAGGTGTATTTCTGCTACCAGACACATTATCCGTGGGGCATAACTATTAACAGTCATGAGATCTCCACTCTTTTTAGCCCCCACAATGTGAATCGTGGTCATAGTTGCCGGTAACTATTGCAAATAATGACGCGCCATTGGCAGGCTCATTGTGTCCCGTTTTAATGCTACCAAAAGTACACATCGGAGGTCCCCAGCTTGGTGGGGTGGTGCTCCTGGGGTGCTACCAGGGAGTTGTTGTAAATTAAAAGCATTCTGGTGGGTTTATCTGATCGAACACACATGCTTGTTAAACAAGTGGCAGGCTGTTAGGAATAGTTGCTCTCATTATTAAACTCATAATGAGTGAGATAAGGATCTTTGATGGCCCAGCTGAGGTTGGAGGGCTTTTGTTAATACCCAGGACCCACAGCTAGCTTATGTGTGTATGAAAATACTCATAGCATTGATGGGAACATAAGACTCACATGTTTGTACTATAAGCAACTCATGCAGAGAAAGTATAGTGAAGTACATGTATGTCAGATAATGAATGTCATACATGTGTACACATGTTGTAAAATGTTATTAGAATTATGGAGGAAATGATCTACTAAAGGCGCAAATGAGCTGATGTAAAACCCACAAAAATATGGGAACACAAACATACTGTTGCTTGTTTGACTGTCTTGTGGCAATGATTTCTTTCAAATTTATTTTTTTAATTTATTTTTTAACTTGGTGATTTGCATTACTATCCAGCTCTAAGACTCATCTCCTGGTTATATTTGATAGTGTGCATCAAATGATATAAGATGATAATCAGGTCAGAGTTTATATGTTTTTAAATCAAAGATAAAGTTTGTGAAAAAGCTACTAAGTCTCATTGCGTATGTTTAATTTCCACCGTAAAGCTGCAAAATTAATGCATTTTTGACAGCTGCTGTACCTGAAGTAGTGTAAAATGTGAAGTTTATTCCTGAGGGGGGGAGCTTGTGTGAAGCTCGTGTAGCTTAAGGGGAAGCAGGGTGCTGCATCCTCCTCTGCTGCAGTCAGATGGTTTACAGGAACACTGGGAGTCTTGGCTTTGTTCTCTGGAGCTGTGGTTTAGGAAAATGGGACAACGGGGGAACTTTTCTTTCTTTTTCCTCATCTGCTCTTGCTTTCTTTTTTTTCCTCTTTGCTTTCTCTCTTGCTCCATCACTCAATGAAGCTGTGGTCTGCGATGGCATGCTTTCCCACCTTTCTCTCAGTTTTACTCCACTCTTTGTTGGGGGTTTGTGCTGCTGGAGTCAGCAAAACTGCTGGAAAGCCGAGTTAGGTTGTCCCTGGTGCTAAAGCCTGGCCTGCATGCGGTGGGAGGGACCTGCTATCTGACTCAAACAGGAAGGCATTTATATCCTCAACATGCCATGATCCTGGCACAGATGCTATGTGAACAGAGTCAGTGGAAAGTCTGATCCTTTGACAGGAGGATAGATTGATTCCCTGCATATGGCACTGAATATGTCTGTTGGTGCTGTTAGTTTTAACATCCATATTTGACTTTGCAAATTTCCCATGCAGTGTTTTTTTTCTTTATTCAATAAATTGTGTATCATCTTCGATTTCTCCTTGGCTGTCATTATTTGTATCTAAACTAATATTTCTCCTTTTTGTTTCCCAAGGGACAGAAAGGTTACCCTGGACCGCTTGGACTCCCTGGAGAGCCTGTAAGTGTCTCCTTTAGCTTGCATTTGCATTTCTTATAATCAGTTCCTTGTTGCTTCCTCTTAGTCACTTGCATCCTCCTGCTGCTCAGCCCATTATATGCTCCATATGTAATAACACACTTCACGTGCTCCCCTTGCTGATGTCTAACCTCCCACTCTCACCTTATTCTCTACATTTTCAGACACCATCCACTCTCAGGATGTCTGACCTCTCAGTGGGTGTGTGTGCTGAGCATGCCGGCAGGCCAGACAGAACAGATTAGCCTATCATGAAGTAGTGTGAGGACAGGCGTCTGGCCTTTGTACAGTGCTGCAATGATGTTGTCTGGGTTATTAAAGAAGTAGAGCCAAATAGAGAGAAAATAGAGAGAAGAGAAACAGAAAGGAGCCGACCTGGCCAATAGTGACACACTTATGGCTGAAACGCGGCAGTTCGGAGGAAAATTTCCCTCTAACTTTGCCAATCGTTGGCATTTGACACGAGTTAAGTCTCAATTACAGTAAAATAAACTGATGCAGTTGTTATCGAACACGCACTTTGTTTCTACTGTCCATATCTGTTGTTCCAGTGCCTCTCTTAAACTCAGGAAATCGATTTCATCATTTCTTTTATGCACAGCTGAGAGGGAGGAGACAGGAGGCTCGCTCTCTTGTCCAGCACAACACTACTTTAAGGGTGGAGCATCCACCCATGCACCCAGATTCTGCTCATGTGACAAGACCACAATCATCAAAAACATAGTGGAATATTTACCTCGGACTTGTTATTTTTACTCTCAGTCAGCAGTGAAAGAATAAGACTCAGATTCATGGTATGCACACACTTATTTAGCAAATAGCACTTTATTGAGTAAGTTAGATTCATCAGAATTACATCAACACGGAGTTCTTGGTCTACTCATCATGAAGAATTTTATTTTTTTCCCCTTTCACGTTATTGTCCATCTTCAAACGCCCCCTTGTTTCCCACAGAGCCCCCGCTGATGATTACGATCACAGCCTTGGTTCAGAGTCAGGATTACTGTTGCACCAGTCCCTGAGTAATAAACGGACAATGTAGAAGCTACAACTGGGAACTCAGTTATTTTGCAAAAAGCATCGATGTGTCTTTTTAACTGTAACACACCATTAGTTGTGGTCAAAGCCCCGTCTCACCGTTAGCCTGTTAAAGATTCAAGGCACCCTTTGCCAATTTCCTGTCTGGTTCTAACTTGCAGCATTATGCACTATATTCATCTAAGAGTGGGAATGTCAACTAGTGCCTTTGGCTGTGCCACCGCAGTATGTTAAAGCATGCGTAGACATAAACACTTCTGTAGGAAATTTGGAAACGAGTTGCCTCTATTTGTGTGTTTGTTGTGCCCTGTGCCAGATACATGTGGGTACATAATCAGCATCTAAACATATTCAGACACACTCTTAGGGTGTTGAGAAAATAAACACTTTAAAGCATATTGGTGTAAAACAGGAGGAATGCAATGTTATAAATGCAATTCCTTTTACATAATTAATTTATCTTTAAACCTTCCAAACAGTGTCACTTGAGGGCTGTGTCCGTAATTCAGGGTAAGATTGGGTAATGTTAGAATCCAACTTTTTGTAGATAGTGGAGATGGAAATAACAAGGGTCCAGTAGAGAAAAACATTTGGGAGATGGTTTTAATTGATGCACACACTATTTAAAAATCTATTTTGTTAGCCTATTCCTACTATTTCTCTGATCATTGATCTTTTATTTCAGTTGCTATACAGTTTAGCTCCTTGAGATGCAAATGTACCCATATGAATCCCAACACTTTTGGCAAAATTAATATCTCTGACTAAAGATGGGCTTGTGCATACTACTTGTAGTCTGTCATCCAATTTTATACAAAACAGGATCAGGTTTGGCTCATGTCAGTCCCTCTTTGAGACCATTCCCAACTGCTCAGACTGCCCTCGCTGTGTATTCATGTTGCTGTCATTCTGTGCATGCACCCTCTCTTTCTCACCCTCTCTCCTCTCCCTCTGTCTCCCTTCCAGGGAGAACAAGGTCCAGTTGGAAGCCCAGGTGCCAAAGGTTATCCTGGCAGGCAGGTGCAGTAAATCCTCTGCTGTGACTGGTACAGTTTTGGTCAGGGCCGTAGTGGGGGCAAAGAGCCAAGTGAAATTAGGTTATGCTGAACAGATGAATTGGAAAAGAATGTGGGAGTCCATGCTGAATAGAATATGTGAAATATTTGATGATAAGAGTGACAATAATGTGGTTGTAGCATTAAACATGACCAGCTACATGTAGAAGGATGTAGCATTTTTTTATGTTTGAATTTGTTTGTACATTTTCTGTCTATTCTGAAGATTGAAATAGCTAAGTTTGCCTGTCTGTAGAGTTTGCAGTATTGATGAAAAATGTAGGCCTTGCTATACCGTGGTTAAGTTCTCTCAGATGTGCCTTTGGAAGTGTGTTGAGTTGTTAATGAAAAGTTCCCCTTCTTATTTTTCAGGGTTTACCAGGGCCTATAGGACCTGTGGGGCCAAAAGGCATTCGGGTAAGGAGAATCAACTTAATCTCTGCCCAGCTTTGGTATTTTCTGATAAAATGCCTAACACTGGTGCTGTGAAAGGATCAGAAACTATGCTTATCAGCAAGGCCGTCAGTCCCATGGCTTACACGTCTTACTTCAAAGTGTGCGCAGAAGTCTTTAAATCTCAGTTAAAACACACAAACAGTTGTTTAATGCAGGGCTACAGAAAACTACCCTTTTATACTGTAAACCTGCTGCATGAAAGCATGTATGTCTCAGTACAACAACATCCACATGCATGCATGAATGCATAGGCGTACTTCAGTGCACCGGTATCCTCCTTTTCCACAAATAAATACATTCACACACACACCCATCTATTTGGCATGACTATTAATAGAATGCTAAAATTGTTACTTGCAGTGTGTTATTTACTGAAAGACTGGGTGTTGATAAGCCTCTGTACACAAGCACACACCCTTTAGATACACAAAGTGGTGGACACAAGCTGATTTCTATGTTGCGTTCCAATAAAGGTTCTTTATCAGCTCTCCTCTGCTGTTCCAAAGTCTCCCCTGCCCCCGAAGTCTGGAATTTCCTGTTTAAGCTCTGTATGAGGCCCTGCTCTCTTAAGGAGGCATTTCTTGTCCCCTCTCTCCCCTCTCACTGAGCCACCTTTCCACATTCCCTGCCCTCTCGTTTGCGGCGTATTCCATATTGTACAAATGTAATCTCTGCTCAGCTTACGCTTGTCTGTAACTCGCATCTCTACTGTTCCCTCCAGAGTTCAACTGTGTCGGTTGTGCTTGTTTTCCCTCTGTGTGTGTCTCCACTGCACTGACAGCCCAGTGTGTGTCCCTGGTTATCTTCAGAGATCCCTGGCGTGAGGGTATGTGCCCTTGGACTACATCGTGGAAGCCAGCACCATGCAGTCCATGGGCATATACACTTGCCTCATGGCTTGGTTCTTCATTGAAGCCCGTCCTATCCATGCTGGACCGTCGGCCCCTGAAACCCAACCTTAGAGCCAGTGGGAGTTGCTGTTGATCTCGCTGCTTGCGTTGCGTCCGAATACTCACCACTGTGTTCCTCCTCTCTCCTCTCCTCTTCTCCCGTAGGGTTTTATCGGAATCCCGGGCCTTTTTGGCCTGCCTGGGCCTGATGGCGAGAGAGTGAGTTCATCTCAAATCCATATTCTCTTCAGCCCTGTCAATACGTGACAGGAGCATACACTGACCAAGTCAACACAGCTAATGTTTCCTATGAAGTGACAGTAATGCCTCTCCTGCCAAATTCATTCAGCTGTCTCATAGTTATTATGATATGAGAAATAGTCCCCAGCTGTTCGAATGTTGTTGTGTAAAGCCGCGTGGGAGTGTTGATGACTCATATGATAAAAGCCCCCTCTTGGAGCCTTTGAACTGTCTGAACTTAAAGTCTCCTCCTTCTGTACAGTGTGTAGAACACAGAGCCATTAGCCTACTTATGACATGCTCCAGGGGCTGCGTCAGAGCATGGGAGGCTATAATCAAGGCCCCTCCATTGCTGGCCCGCAAACTGGCTCATAAAACTGATGGTGTCTGCCTCTTTACCTCCATAAGAAACCTGTTTTTATTTTACATAAAGTACAGAAGCGCAAAATCTCTCATGACAGATGGTAAAGATGTTCAAAAGGCGGCAGTAAGTTGCTCCTTGCCGAAGAGCCTTTTGGGTTTTTTTTACGTCTCGTTTTTTCTTCCCTCTCTGTTTGTCTGTCTTTTTTATTTCCTGTTTGCTTCTTTCTACCCTAACCCTGTCTGTGTCTTTTTTGGACTTTCAGGGCATTCCCGGTGAACCAGGGAAGAGGGGCAAGATGGGTAGGCCGGTAAAGTTTTGTCTCAACATACTTTACAGAAAATCATTCTAACGTGTGATCAATTGTGCTGTAATTAATGACATTTGAGTTTGAAAATGAAGATGCCTGATTTAGTCATGGATTATTGTCAATACATGTTCGCCAACCAAAGGTACCAAGTGGTAATTGTAACACATCCTATTCCTCGAAGTCAAAAGAAACTTGAAGTCATGACACTGAAGCAGAATTTACAGCTAAATGTGGAAATTGCAACCATTCTGTCTTGTTGATGTGGTCCAAAATTTACACCACATACAGTCTATGGCTTACACCAGCCCCTTAGCCTGTTCCATATTTTGGATATGTGTCATAATGAGAAACTGATTATGTTGATGATACTGCATGATTTTTACACACATTTTCCTAATATGAAATATAATAATATACACATTGCATATAAAAAAAATTGTCCTTGATCCAAAGTGTTTGCAGAGATGTTGTGTTAAACTACATTTTTAGCTCATTGCCATTGAATCAAATATGGCCATTTGTGTTTGTATTAGTTACCACAACCCCCCCAACTATATCTGGTAAATACTGATGTAGTGTGTACGTTACTTACATGCTGTCTGCTTGGAAAATGTAAGAGATTCATTGTTGCAGTTGTCCTCAATTTCTCCTTTGAACACACATTTTTCTCTTTAATGATAAATTCCTTTTTTTTGTGCTCCACATTAAGAGCAAAAACTTCCAACACTAACATTCGAACATTTATAAGGTTTGCATTTACGTCATCCTTTGAGTCGGGTCAATATTTCCATGGTTGTTGGAAGGGTTAAATGCAGCCTGAGTAGAGCGGAGTCCCAACAGTTGCATGTCAGGGTCTTGGATGCAATAGAAAAGGGCTTTTGTTGGAGTGTGGGGCTTTCAGCCGCCTCAGCGTGGAGCCAAGGCATTTGGAGGAAACCGTTCTCTGTGCTGTGTGTCAGATAGTGTTCAAAGTCAGTTTGAAAGAGCGTTTCAGAAAGAATGTGTAACTCCGAAACACACAGCTGAGATCATTTTGCAGATGTTACTTATTGGCTTTTCAATAAATAAGGCATCCGTGGGCCAAAATGTCTGAACACATGCAAGCCAGATATCATTTAGAGTAGTGAGTCTGTTGAGAGGGGAGCTCATGCTACAATTAGGGAACTGTTAAGGATATAGGTGTGGATGTGTGTGTGTGTCTTCTGTTTACATTTGAATATTGTGTGGTGTGTGCTGTGCTATCCTCACAGCTGTGTTGTCATGATCTGACATGTTTCTGCCATGGAAATGTGTTTCGGGTTATTTCACAGGCCATATAAAGCTAAAGGTAATCAGATGGAAATGTTGTCATCACTTTTGGGTCTTTTCTGGCCCACATCATATTCTGGATGATATATATGACGGCAGCAGCTCTGCTTTTTCGGAGCAGAATGAAAAGCGATGATCATGACTCCCAGTGCATAACATAACACACGGATATTTATACTGAGGACCTTCATGCTGAGATGGAAGTTGATGAAGAGTTATGTAATTTAGACAGTTTTAGAATCTGCATGTTGTTCCTTCCGCACAAAAAAATACAGTGCACGGACACTTTAAAAGATCATTCCCGGGAGATCATCCTTGCCTCTGCGGTGGAGGGAAAAGAACAGGAGAGCTGTACGAACCCGTGCCAGACATTTTAAAGGCCATAACCACAGTGCTTGTTCTCTGTCGAGGAAGCACACACACAGACACACAGTCTATCATCTCCTAAAGAGCAGAGAGGGAGCAGTTATATGTAAAGCAGTGGAGAGCACAGAAAGTTTCCAAAGTGCTGTGCCAACACTTCTCCATTTCAGCTTAACTTATTTCTTCTTCTTTCTTTTTTCTTTTTTTTTGGGGGGTGGAGGGTGGGGGGTCATATATTTGGCACTGTTTATCTTAAGGCGGTTTTCCTTATCAGCCTCATCCGTTGTATTTCTTCCACATCGACTGCGGTTCTGTTTGAAGTCAACGCAGACCAACAAACTTGGTTGACATTACATAAAAGCAGAGTTACACTTAGGGGTCATGTGACTGTCCTGAAAAGGCTTTTTTTTATGTGCTTGGCACAGCCATGTTCCCGCATTTGTCCGTCAGCGGTAGCGGTGACAGCAGTATGAGTCAACTTTCTGGCCATCGTCACGCTTCACAGATTTCTGCGGTACATCTGCTTCCTCAGTACCATGAGAAAAATCATTAATCCTGCTTTGATGTGTTTCTTTGGGGATCTTAAACCTTCTCCAAAAGCAAAGTGTGAATACATTTTTTTTTCTAACCAAGCTTTAACGGGGAGATTTTCTGATAGAATAAAGGAGAGGCGAGACATTTGTTACCGCGTGTAATTCTCCCAGACCAATTTCCTCCAAGCAACAAACTCAAATTTCAAATAAAAAGACTAACTCTGAGTCGACGGATTGTATTTCTAAGCTGAGTCAGTGATTAAGATAAATATACACGCTGTTTATCTAAATCATCTGTGCTCCAGCAGAAATAACTGACATTTTCTGGAGGTAACGGTAATTAGCATGTAGAAACAATGCATTGAGGGCGGAATACTAGAGCCTAGCCATTATGAGGGTTTGTGAGAAGTCACTAACGTGCCTTGGCCCTGGCGCTTTATGCAATTGCGGTTTTGTTCTCCTGCACCACCAACTGTTGGAGTATCTGAGATTAGCTTCTCATTTACTGTTAAATGGACAGAGTAATTACTTGGCTCTCTTGTTGCAGAAAACGTACCAAAAACAGTTGACTGAGTTACCCCACAGTTGATTGAGTTAATGCGTTTAATGGCAGAATTATGCAATTATTTTGTGCAGATTTTTGAACGACTCTATAGTTGACATTACATTTGGCTCTGTGGCATTAATGTGAGTTCTGTGTTATTACAGTAGCCATTTTATTGGCTGTGTAAAAAGATTAGACATAATTGTTTAGTTTAGACACTCCCTTCCCTAATGATGATGATATGCGTGTGTGTGTGTGTGTGTTTTTAACTGCTACAGTATTTGTATGCCTCTCTTTGTGAGCAATGCATGTGTGCTGTACATTGAAATGTTTTCAGCCAAATATTTTTATATTAATGGTGCTTCATGGAGATTTACCATCCAGCTGCAGTTTACACATACTAAAAGCAGCTTTGTTCTGTGCTTTAGCTCATTTTACTGGTTTTCTGATCCATGACTCAAATGTTTTGGCTTTCTCTTATCATTTCTCCAGTTGTGTTGTAATATGCTGTCATGAGCAATTTGTAATATTGAACAGGCTCTAGCTGTTAAGCTCATAATGACAGACAGTTACAGTCATTCAGTGAAATTTTGGGACACTTTGAAGAACGAATGTCAGGAAATGTGCTGCATGAGTTATTGAGGACCAAATGCGAATAGATGATATTGCGCTAGAAACCCAACGTTGTTTGATGATAAAGCTGTTCCGTAAATGCTCTGCACACATTAGATATTCCAGAACCGTTTGAACCAAACTAAATGAAATTCACTACTTTTCCGTGAAATTACTTATTACATTCACTTCGTGGCCTCTCGAACATGACATCAACATGGCTGTGCGTGTGCAGGGCTCACGTTTTTATTGCAGCGATGTCGCATCCTACAACCAACAGGGGAGCCAAAGAGCAAAAAAAATGTCGCTTTAAACGCCTCTACTATTTCTTTCTGCTGCCCCCAAGTGGTCAGAAAATCATCTAATTGAATCAAATAGACTCTCCTTTTCGTGGACAGCCAATCCTGAAAGGTTTTTTTTTTCCTTCTGTTCTCAGGGGTTTCCAGGGGACTTTGGGGAGAGAGGGCCACCTGGACCAGATGGAGAACCAGTATGTCAAACACTCCCACACTCACGCTGACGCACTTTACCACAACACGTACTCAGTCACAAACTCAGAGCTTTGGTTCTCTCCGCCGTGTGTTTTTTCAGAGCTCGTTCTTAAGCTATGTGGCTGTTCAGCACTCTGTCTTTGTTTGAAGTTGCTCAGGACAAACTTCAGTAACAGATCCAGTTACATGCGGTGCCTTCCTCTCTTGTAAATGCAGATTTAAGGGTAGAACAGTATCAGGATTGTTCCTTATCAAATTAAAAGTCAGAAAACAAAGTCTGCACTATGCTTGTGCATATGGAAGACATCAAATGATTAAATCCCAGCATTTTTCCTTATTTTGACGATAAATGTGACCCCGCATCCATCGTGTGGCAAACAAAGACACCAGCAAACTGCTCCAAAAACTGACCACTGAGGGTACCTTAATCACTCAACCATTAATTCACCTATGTAGAATTGAACTAAATACATTTTTCTTTGCTCAGAAATAAGCTAAATAAACCACTTAAGCACAAAAGTGGGTACATTTAATTGGTTTTGCTTGTATTGTGTTGAAGATGCTCGAGGAAAATGGACCAAATGATTTCTTATTTTAAAAAAAATACGACTAACATTAGAATATGGAGTCTGCAAATGTTGGTATGAACCTGCATATTTGAAAAAGCCACAGTGGGACGATGGGCTCACATCCCCCGCCACCTTTACCTTGCAAGCACACACCCATACATGCACACAGGCCGCTCTCATAAGCTTCAATGAACACTGAGCTGCTTTTCTGAGCGTGTTTGTTTAAAAAAGGGCCAATAACCCAAGAAATTTGCTGCTTCTCTTTCGGCCCTTCATCTCACATCATCTTCCCCCCCTCTGTAGGGTAACATGGGAGCCCCAGGTCCAAGTGGAGTTCTTGGACTTATTGTGAGTAGAACTTTCTGTGTTGCTGTTCATGTTTTTTATGGGTTTTTTTTGGTTTTTTACTTTTTAATTGATTTTACTTTGAAAGTATGCAATGAAACTAAACTGTTTTCATCTAATTTTGTTTAAAGATTACTGCCTGATTGAAAAATACTGAATTAACCCTCATTATTTATACTCCTAGACGCGTTGTGAAACATTAACTTCAGTCTGTTAGTTTTTATCACTGTAAACATATTTTGAATGTGAAAGGGCATAAAACTTCTCCGTCAGGACGGATAATCCGCACTCCTGTCAATCAAACAGAAATCCGCGGCGCGTTTAATTTTCTTCGTTAATCATCCTCACCGGTTATATTTGGATGAGAACTGCCCCATGCCCACCCATCACCTTGCCCTGCGTGCCTCCTTAGCCTGACAGCCGCATAATTATGTCTGATTATAACGTCTCGCTGGTTTCTCTTGTCGCGTCCCATCTTCCCGGTCTATTCTAGGCCACCAGTGGTGGTGGTAGGCCTGTAATCGGAGGGCCCTCTGATTACAGCTCTGCTCTGAGCTCTATGTCTTCTACACCCATCTGATCTGACAGTATGATGTACCAGCAGCGCAGGGCTGCACTTTAAAGATTTAAATATACAAACACCCTTCTCTAGGGATCCAAGGCCTTTAGCCTTAAATGAAAGACGACTGATTTGAGGGGAAATGGAAGAAGGGAAAAGGTCTAGACAACAACACTTGTTTACACAATACAGAAGAGAGACTGTAGAAGAGAAAGGGTTTTTTCTCTTTGTTTCAGTCCTGTCTTCAGCTCAGCTCAACAAGTTGTCGTATTGTTGCTGGTTGTCACTTTTTGGAGGCATTTATAGACCTGAGTTTGGTTTAAAATTGTCTTGAAAATAAATAAATGTTGGGGTATTTGGAGCTGCAGAGCAGATTCTGCTGTTTTGAAAGCAAGTCATTCCAACAGGTGATTACTTTACTGTATTGCATTCAGGTTTTAAAGCTCAATTTTTGCAAGGGATATTTTTGTAACAGTACCAAAATGGTATGCTTCATCTAACAAGCAGATACAGCACTGTTCACTAACACTCTGCTCCAAGGCCACTCTTCATTTCAAGCCTGAGATAAATCACAATTTAAGCCCTTGGCTGTTCATCCATTTCTTTGTTTTGCACGCAGATAATCTGGAACCAATGAATATATTCTTCCATTTGATGGCCTCCGCTTACAGTGTGTGCGTTAGAAGAATAAGTCGTGTTCTTAACTGTACTTTGTGCATGTGCTATCACAAAATATTTATTGATTGTTCCCTCTTCTTTCTGGCACCAGGGTGATATGGGACCTGTGGGAGAAATGGGCCTTCCAGGACCTGCTGGGCTGAAGGTAATCTTTCAAACAAGCAGATGGAAATTGTTGCCTTACTGTCTCGCACTGTATTTTGAACTACCTTGAAGAAGTTATTTATTGTTATAGAAAACCAGAGATTTAAAAAGTGGGTTTGGACTTGTCGAATTGGTGCCATTTGGGCTACTTTTAGAGTTCACGACTTTAACTCATCTGTTGGTGCTTGTTCCAGGGGGTCCCAGGAAATCCAGGAGAACCAGGACTGAAAGGTGATAAGGTGATCTGAATATTCCTGTTATTGGCCTGTGTTTTGAGCAGCATGTGATGAATTTGTATGCCTTTGCATCCCTCTTTAGTGATATCTGTCCAGTCTTTTGACACGGAGCATGCGTGCGTTAGGTTTTAACTTTGACCTTTGACCTTTGTTGTCAATTCAACTTATTAAAGTCATGAATTTTCCTTCTTTATACTTACATTTGCCATCCTCACATTTTAATGTTGCTAAAAACATTAGTAGATGTTTCTAAAATGATCGTCTCTGCAGATGTATTTGACAAAGATAAAACCTAATAGTTTGGTAGAATCATTTAGACACTGTTAAAGGACTCAAATGTTTTATGTTTGTGTAATAACTGTTTTTGCATATGAGCTCACCTGCCGAAGTTTTGCTTCTCAAGGAGCCTGTGTGTTTGTTCTGCTTTGACAAATGGAGTTTTGTGATCTGCCCGAAGGTCCCAACAGTTTCTCAAAATGTCAACAGACATTATATAAGGAGATATAATCCTGTATTCTGACGCAGATAAAGGAAAAAAAGCAAGATCTGCAAAAGATCTGTCTTCTGTCAGCACTAAGAATATCTGAAAGTGAAAGTATTGAAAGTCGGGCCTTAACCTGTAAAATCTGTGGTCTAACTGTTAATGTAAAACAGATTGTCAGCACATGAAGAGCTTGGCTAATTGTTTGAGCAGCATTAATCATGTGCCAATGTTCTTAATGTACAGACTCCTAATTATATTTGTCTGTTTAACAAGCCAATTGTGATGGACAAAGTAGAAAGTTACAGACCCCCCCCTAATTTTCTACCATTTTTTCCCCCCTTTGTCCAACCCTATCTCCATCTCCCTTTGTGTTTGTGTCCTTCTGTCTTCGTTAGGGGGACATAGGGATTCCTGGAGAGCAAGGGGAGACTGGGTTCCAAGGAGACAAGGTAGCCCACCTGTGTTTCTACGTTTCTATATCATAGGTGCCCTCAGTCCAACATCCCACTCCCTGACCTCATCACCCTCTTCCCTTTCCACAACCTCCAAAACGCACATATAATGTGTTACACAATCTTTGTCTCATAGCTGTCTTTGTAGCATTACTGAGTCAGATGTCTGCTGTTGTACTTATGGGAATACTCACATTAATCCCTCACATTTGTCTGGTCATGTCAGCTAAATCTAAGACATCTTAGAACAAAGCGGCCCCATGAGAGAAAGAATGCTGAGCAAAGTCCTGCATGTCTAAAATTCGCTAAAAAGAAAATCGAAGTTCAGATTTTTTACTTCTCGATCCTCAACGCCTGCCTTAGTTTTTATGTGCTATGCTTGCATTGGACAGGGCATCCAGGGGGGTCCAGGGTTACCTGGCATCCGTGGGAAACCAGGACCACAGGTCAGTTCCGGTCAGATCAACATCATGGCCTGAAGGAAAATAAAGAGATGCTGTGTGTTTGCCATAATTGTTGCACCAACTAGCCTCACATTTTGGATCTAAATGGCCATTTTTAAAACATTTCATTAATAGATTAAACACATTCAGTCACCTTTTTCAATTACTCTCTTAACTGATGAACTATTTTTGTCATTTTTTAAAGTTCTCTGTGGACTGTATAAGAGCAAAAGACTTATTAAAGAACCTCAGCAGTGCTAGAAGGTGGATTTGTTTTCTTTGGGCAAATCCAATCCAGCTGTTTTCCATTGTTTCTAGCATCTGTAGTAATCTACCCCTAAACAGTATGAACAGATTTACAAGCAGTGTTTACTTGTTAATTTAATTCTCATTAAAATGGCAAGTTTTTTCCTTTTTTTTTTTTTACTGAAGAAAAAGTACTGCTATCACACAGTTACAGCAAGCCCAACAACAAAGTAATGTAAAGAACATAGTTAAGAATTGTCTTTTAATGCTAATATGAGCTACTTTGAACAGATATTATTTTCTTTATAGATTAAGCCTGTGATCATTTTCCTGTTTAGTCCATCGACTAAATTCTTTTTAGACTTGTGAAAAGTCCTTTTTGTATTAGCACGGCATTTCAGTATAACTACTTAGTTACTATGTATTGCTGGTGTTTGCAGGGAAAGTTGGGAGATAAAGGTCCTGATGGTGCACCTGGACCACCAGGCCCTGAGGTCTGTACCTACACTTCTACTGCAAAGTTAAACCTGTTCATCTGTGTTAAACATATTCGAACAGCAATCACTGAACTTATTACCCCGTGACAGGGTTTCCCTGGTGACATGGGACCACCGGGAGATAATGGCCTTGAAGGACCTAAGGTGCGTTCAAGCTTAAATGATATTGATTAAAGTGTTCATTAGCATATCTCTTAAGGGGAAAAACAAAACTCAGCTGGCAATCGGCTGTTGTGCTGGTTGGAGCACAAAAGCTTTGAGCTAAAGGCTAATGCCAGCATGCTAAAAATATCTTCTGTTGCAGGTATCATCCCAGCTATGTGTTTGCACGTCTTCATTTAAAAAGTTCCCTTTTGAAATTATGAACGTCTGTCATAAACTTTAATGGCAGTTCATGCAATAAAACTCACAGAAGCACACTCTTCTCCTTACAGCTGTAGCTAAAAAAAAGCAAAAAAAAACTATTAAAAAATCTTCAAAATGATAAAACCTTTGCACCGGGGCATTCATTTTTGTGCATTTCACCCATCAAGGGAAAACTAGGGGCCAGAGGTTTACCAGGGCCACGAGGGATGCCCGGCTTGGAGGTAAGATGACTAGACATCATAAAAACCCCCAAAGCAGCACCAACGCATTAAATTTTTATGGCACAAGGCTCGCCTTTGCTGAGGGACGTTTTATGTCTACAAACACTAGTTGCGCTAAGATCAATATCATCTGTTTCCAGGGAGATGAGGGTCCAATTGGGCCACCAGGACCAACAGGACTTGAGGTGAGATATTACATAAACACATGGTATTTTCTTTAAACAAATGGGAGGGATGGCAGATAAAAGGGACCACAAGTTCTTTATTGATGTTTGCTTATTATAGAGCAGTGCAGGACACACATAGAGTGTCCTTCTGTGCATTTGGTCAAATCAGAGTGGTTGACTCTGTGTCTCGTACAAATGCAATGTTTGTTCGAAAAGTATGGAAGGCAAGACAATGAAAGCATTTATAATGTGACCCGCTGTCTCTCAGTCAGTGGAAACCAGAGCTGCACAGAGAAGCTGTTTGGCATTCAAACTGATTCATAGCGTTGAAGTTAAAAGCTAAGTAAAATATTGGCTTATGTTCACATCCCAGAAATTCACTTTTACTGCTCCTTTGGCACCAGACCACCCAAAAAAGAAGAGATCAATTTTTAGTTTTCTCTAAATCACATCTTTCACAGTAGTCTGTATTGTTTGCAGTATAATTTTATTGCCAAGCTTTAATTATGTTTCCCCGGGTTTGTTGTACCGCAGTGTTTTGCTTTTCTTTAAGTGGCTCTGAGGTGTTAAAGCAGGTCACAGTTTTCTTTGTTTGCACTAATTTATAGATATGCATCCTTTGTGTATTTTAGAAGATGTTACTGCTTATTTTTTGTTGGTTGGTCTAACTCGAACCTGTGGCAGCAAAAAACTGTATGCTGCCCCTGATTCTCACCAGCAGGGGGCGATAACTGCCCCAACCATGTTTATGAATGGTTAGATTTATAGATGCTGTAAAATGCTGAATATGGTGACAGGCCACTGCAGGAATATATTTGCTGACCTTTTTTCCCCCCTATTTTATTGAGTGATAAAGAATAGAGATCATTTCTTTTTTTTTATTCGTTATGCTCATTTGTCTAAAATCATTATTCCAGATGCAGCTAGCTTTTCTTCATCTTATGCTTCCTTCCATTTTCGTTACTTTTCTCTCTGTCTAACTCCTACCTTGGTCTCCTGATTCCCCTCCATCTGCCTGTCTCATTCTCTGATACACTCTTTATCATCTGATGATGGAGGTTAGTGGTGTGTTAGTCCCCTGAAGGAAGTGATGGATTTCTGGACATTTGCCACGGGATCTCCCACTCCTCCACTTCATTTGCTTCACTTAATGTCCACTTCGCTTTATTATTTTTATTTTCTCCACATACAGTATTTTTTCATTTGTTTGTCATCACTCTCCCCAAACATTACATAAGTGTAGTGTCTTACTTTACTTTTTCAGTTAATCTAATCAGATCTACAGTGAAAAAAAGATTGAAATATCACTCGTCTTTACGTTAACATACTTTTACCGTGTTTACGTTGCTAAAGTTACCTTTCTCACTAAAGCTGACGGTAAAACTGTGGACATGTTGAGCCGTTCCTGACATGGAGGTATTACTGGTTAAGAGGAAAGAAAAACGTTTCCTTCCTTTCCGTCCCCAAAATTACAGGAACATCACAACCACTGAACACTTTCACAGGCTGCTTATTTCAGCTGTATGTTGTCAGCTGCAGATACAGGAAGCAGATCTTTTCCCTTTTCTTAAGAGCTTCTGATGGAAGTTAATGATGCATTTACTGGCAAGTGAATGTCTGTTATTCACCATTCATCATTCTATGCCTCATCTTTCTTCAGGGCAGAATGGGGAGAAAAGGATTTCCTGGGAAGGTTGGGCCAGAGGGAGTTAAGGTGAAGAAAGACATACTCATTTCCCAATACTTTCATGTTCTTAAAATAATGAAGGACACTAAATTTTTCATAATAACCTGGTAACTAACAGTAGATCTGCATCTGCAGGGTGAGCCCGGTATCATGGGAAAAGTTGGACCCATGGGAGAAAGAGTAAGAAACCTTGACACAGCTCGTTCCTGTACTGAGTTGTTTTTTTTCCTTCACTTTAATCCAAAAAAGTCTTTCCATCCATCCATCCAATGTTGGATTTCTGTGTTTCAGGGTTTGGTGGGTTTCATTGGACCTGTGGGAGAGGCAGGGCTGGCAGGAGAGAAGGTAAAAAAAAAAAAAGATGTTCCGCCAGTTCATTTCCCCATAAGGTGACTATGAATGGTGAATTTTGTGGTTTTGTTTGTTAGGGGGACCGAGGGGAGATGGGCCTTCCTGGACCCCCTGGAGAAAAGGGATCAACGGTATGAAAGATGCATGCATATTGTTTTTCAGGGGATGGACAGGCATTTTTTCCTCAGAAAACAGAACAAGAGGAGTTCTGGAGTTCTGTTTGTATGTGTCAGAGGCTTTAGAAAATGTTACCATTTCGATTCAAATTTAGAAATTCTGAAAAAGTTTCATAGAAGCTGTAAAAAAAATTTGACTTTCCTCTCCTCTCAAGGTATATGTTCACCTAAAGTTTTTATTTGATTTATTTCTTTGTTTTTTTAGTGTTGACCTGACACTGATTTGTTGTTTCTACCTACTGCAGCTTTTAAGAAAAGCTGACCTGTCATCCTGAACTAAATTTTGTCTATTATTCCCATGGGAATTTGCAGGTTTGGGAGTTCAGGTCAATAAAACTGTGTCAAAGGTGAAAAGTGGCACATCACCCCATTGGGCTGCATGAGAGCAGGCCTTCTTAGCTGTGGTTTGGCACCCAGCAGGAGAGGCATAGCTGGAAAAAGGCTGTAACACTTACTGAAACAAAAAGGAGGTCGTGGACCCCTCGAAGTAATTTGCCTCCTTATTTAACTGCTCAAAGACTAGTTGACTCCTAAGAAATGCTACTGGGTTTTTACAAAAACAAACAAAGAAATATGACACTTTATTCTTTTAGATCTCAGCTTAATCCTCTATGTTTTATGGTGTTTGTTCTAGCCGTCACACACTTACCTTCCACTTTCAAGCTGAGCAAGGGGCCTCTTTTTGTTGTGTCTTTATCTGATATGGACCATCTAGCGTTTAAGACGGGCTGGGACTGATAACAGTTTAGTCATCACTCTTGCTGAGACAGAGGGAGATTTCCTGTTGGCTCCCGGTGAGCTGGATTTCTCCGAGGACTTTACTACTGACACACACCTCTGAAGAAGTTCTCTGTAGGCTCACTTCCTCAGCTGCAAAGCAGAAACAGACGCTCTGGAAAAGATGGCATCATACAAAGTGAGGGGAACTGACCAGCATACATTCATAGCTGAGAAAAACAAAGAGCTCATACTGGAGGCGTCCATGTTTTACTTTTGCGGCCAAATGAGATCAGAGCCACATACGGTGCTATAGGCTTGCTCACTGAAGGAATTTTATTTGTACTCATTATATAGTTATGCTTTTACAAATGGTGTGGCCAGAAAAAAAGAGGTCCAATAAAAGAGCCAGAAAGGCAGCCAGAAGCAGTATGTTTTCTGATATAAAATCAGCTCCTCGGACCGATGTCAGGCTTTTGTTTCCCCTTTTTCTAGTTATGTGCTTTCGAGTATTTCTGCAGATGTTTGCTCACACTGCCAGTGTGGATGTGTGTGCCAAAGGAAGGTCTGCTGGCTTTAACAAATTCAGTCCAGCATTATGAATAGAAAGTGATTTTGTGCTTACTTGTCAGCACTTTAACAAAATCGCATTTGGAAATTCCAGTAGGTTAAGACTTCCCTCCAGTTCATTTAAGAGTTGCAGAGTAAATTTGATTAAACCAAACAAGCTCTTTAGTGCCATTACTTTTCTGAGATCTTAAGTTTTTGTTTGAGTTTATTATTTGAGTCATCTGTTTTTATGGCAGTTGGAATATATTGTTTTTTGGGTTTGTCTGTTCAATTGCAATAGGGTCATCCTGGGATGCCAGGTGAGACTGGACCTACAGGACCACCAGGAAGAACAGTAAGTCGCCACTGGTTTTGTTTTCTTTTTGTTTTCTCAATCAGTTTGCCTGTCACGTTCCAGCTCTCTTTTTACCAAAGCTAAAGTTTTAGCGATTGTGGAAGTTAATATGAAGGTCTAATATTCTGAAGCGGGCTACAGAAGCTTTCTGAGCCTAATGAGACCCGACAGCCTCCTGCTGAATCTGCATTATGCTTCTGTCAGTCAAGAACCCAACACCTACAACCAATTAGAATCTGCCACTGACCCCCCCACCACCCCCCCGTCCTTCCCCTCGCTGTGTCTCTGCTGTCTACGCCTGGCAGAGATCAGGCCCAGCACCGGGCTGGAGTGGGGGCCACTGAGCCACCAAAACAAATATAAATATAGGGCTTTGGGGTGCAGCAGGACAGGATTCCAGAGCAGACCTTTTAATTGGTGTGAGTGACAGATCTAACAACAAACCCCATAGTATGTTCCTGAGGTCAGGCTGCCCCCCCCTCCTAGGGTCAATAGCCAAGGGGCCCTGTAGTCTGTGAGTGTAAACCTTTGTTTTATCTCTCTCATTCCCTTTTCCTGCCCCCTTTCTTTCCCTCTTTATCCCCTTTTATCCTTTGTTTATCAGGGACCTTCTGGTGCAACTGGGCCAGCCGGTACCAGAGGACCTAAAGGCTTGCGGGTAAGTTTTTTTTTTTGGGGGGGGGGGTTCGCGGCGGTTCTTTTTGCTGCTCGTGACTACTCCTCTGGAGGCATTGTTGCATAGTCCCCAGCCTGAAGACCAGATCATAAACTTGGCAAAAGAAGAGTGTGCATCGTACGCTGTGATGTGTGTTTATGTGAGCTGTGCCCTGCTGCTGTGGATGCACTGTTTGAAAACATTAGCGGGTGAACATAATGAGGAGATGTGGAACTGCCTCAGAGCTGATGTCATGCGTGCATGCACAGCTCATGCAAGAGGAAGATACTAAGTTCGAGAAAGAGGCGCTTTTCATCCGTCTCAGAATCAGTGTCCGTTATAGCTACTGGAAGAGTTCCACAGTCCTTTTATTCTCCCATTGCATAAATCTAACAATGGCTACTAGCTGTGGGAATGATCCACTGTCTGTCCAGCTACAGCTCTGTGCCGGTTGAAAAAATATGACTCGGTTTTTGCGGCTAATCTGGAAGAACAGGATTTATGAGAGTATTAACGATGGCTTTGTACAAGTTTTTGGATCATTCCAGAGCAGAAAGCTCGCTCTGAAAACCCTTTTAGACCTTTGAAGTAACAGCTTTGTTTTTTTTTTAAGTTTTATATTCTAATAGTTTTAACTTTTTTAATTTCTCATTAAACGCCGTACAAACATTTTATGTTCGGAATTAAATGTCCAAGAAGGACAACAACACTACTTTTTCCACATGTTCATTTTCATCATGTTAATGTGTGTCGCAGTTGCCAACACAGGAGATGGTAGATTTATTTAATCAACTACAAGTTTTTAAATGTTCATTGCATCAGAAGTTTTTTGTCACAAATATAACAGATCAAATATTAGCAAACTGCTTCACAGAGCTAAGGGATGAAAAGGTATCATGAATAATATATAAATTCTGCATGAATTTATGTAGTGAATGAGGCTACTTGTGCATTCGTTGTATAATTTGCAGTCATTGTGAATTTTGGGAATGGCTTTTGGCTTTATTTATTTGCTGCTCGAGGTATCTCAGCTTCTGCTGATATCATGCTCGTGTCAATTGAAAATCCCACCAAAAGTGAATTCCATCTCTGTACTCTGCTAAATCAGACAGAGCTGGATTGACCTGCACCGACCTTACATGTGTCTGAAGTGTTCATTGGAAATGGGCCTTGCTGGTGTTGACCTGGGCACAAGTATATTTCAAACTGTGTTTTCACTTAATAACAATGTCAGCAGCCCTGACTGTAGATATGCTTCATTACTTACACAAAGTAGTCCAAGATTCGAAACCCTAAATAGCCACGAGCTCTGTCCCCTTAAGAAATGCAAACATTTTAAGGCAGTACTTTCTATTTTCACCTTCTTTAATGTAATGAATTGCAACAAAATTGCATGATAATAAGGTTAATATATCCCGTACACTTGAAATGAGTGTACAGTTGTACCATATCTTTCGATGGTAGCTCCTTAGAGACACAGAGACTTAATGTTGCCACATCTGTCTTAACTTTATTTATCGTAGAATCAAAGACTCCGTGCTGGCATCGGACCATAGGAAGCTGGTGCCACTGTGGTCTTTGTTTTTTGTGTCTTGGCATCATTTTCCTGCACGAAAAGTATTTAATCTTGTTGATTCAAATTCTGGATGTCAGATGTGAGGAATCACCTGTCAGATGCAATTAGATGCATAGCACCATTAGTCATGCAAACAAATCCTCTGTTAATGCTTTCCATGCTGCCGAGCAAACTCATTCCGTCGTCTCTCGCTCTTAGCAACCTGTGATTTTATTCAGGTGTTTTAAATCGGCGTCAGTTATGTTGATTGTTTTGAATTCATCGGCCCGGAGTTAATTTCTTCTGCTTCTGTCTAAAAAAAAAAAAAAAGGCTTGGACACTTAAGTTAATGTTCCATGGTTTGCATCAGTGGATGGAACAGTTGCCCTACACATCAGCTAATCAAGCTATGTAAACGTAACCAGCGGGTAGCAGGTACCCCAGACAGGAATGTTAATGAGCACTGCTCATCCAGCTCTTTGTATAATAGGCTTACAGCACTTCGGCTAGTGGTGTTTTCTGTGGGCCAAACTCCCACTGCGCACGGTCATCAATCACCCCGACAACAAGGCCTCTTTTGTGGCTGTGTCATGTTTTGTTTGATTTTTCTTAAAATAGTTTATTGTCCCGAGAAGAAAGCGCAGTTTACACAGAAAAACACATTTTTACAACTACTGTAAGACCGAAGGACTTTCCCATTTCCATCCATCAGAGAGCCTGTTGTGAGGGTCAGTGAGCCAGCATCTTTCCGAGAGTAGATGAGAAACTGGTCTTGTTTGCAGGTGCAAAGCAGATGGACGGTGTTGGGCCACTGCCTAGCTTCCATTTATCATTTCGGCTCTCTGGCCTGGGAGGCCTTCTAGCATTTTAGATGAACCATGTTTGACAGTTCCACCCATGTAATCTAAACAGGCTGACTGTTCTGACAATCCGTGTGTTTAAGTGCAAAATATATGCATTCTGTGCCTTGTGTCTTGATTTTGTGTGTCATTGTCTTTGTCACACGGGCTGGGTTGCTGGTTTTTCACAGCTGTTTTTCTTCACTTCAGACTTTGCATCCCTCCAACAGCCTTCCTCGTGTGTTTGCCGACCGGTGTCAATCTATAGAGCGGTGTTTGTTTACGGGCCTGTTGTGGCTGTCTGGCAGTATTACAGTGACCTCTGTTGGTGAAGTGACAACAGTCATGTGTTTCAGGGAGCGAGAGGCCCTGACGGTCCAACAGGAGAGATGGGGTTAGAGGGCAAGAAGGTATGTCTTTAAATCTAATTTAGTTGCTGAATTACTTTTAAATACCATGTAACGTGTTTAAAAAGGGTTCCATTGTCCACACACAACCCTTAGATGTGAAAAAATAAAGGAAACTTCACTTCTGCTTTCACTTGAAGGGCAGGAAATGTGCATTACAGCAAATTGACATTTCAAGACATTAACTATCTCATATAATTCATCTCTCTCTACAGGGACTTGATGGCCCTCCAGGAAAAATAGGATTCCCTGGATCACAGGTGAAACTCTCTACTTTATCATTCCTCCCTCTCGTATATTTTTCTGGCACTTATATTCCTCTGGTGGGGTGAGACATTAGTATAATTTAGAATACTGATGTGACACTGGCATGGTCTTAAGTTGCTTTTTACAGGTCACAAATTGATGGGATTTGAGAATCTTTGCTGGAACCCGCCCTTAAACTCCTAGAAGAAAAAGAAAACATGCCACAGTTTTAAAATTATTAGTGAATATATTGCTGACACATCTGTTTTTTTTATCGAACATCAGAGGAGCATGAAGAATAACTTCCAGGAAAATAGAAAGAGATTAACGAGGTTCTGAATTGCGTCTATGGCAAAGACGGAGAGAAAGTTTTGTTCAAAGAAATGGAATCCACAGCATCCCACAGCTCCAGCTTTTTGTTCATATTTGACTTGTATCGTGAAGATCAGACATTCTCTTCAAGCATCGTTATGGCATAAACACTAACTCTTGATGCGGAGAGTTTGTCTACATTTGATCTGGCATATGTTTAGATTAAGTTTGAACTCTTATTTTGATGCTCATGAGTGCTGAACTCGTTAATCCTGTGTTTTTCAATGGATTTTTTATCCTCTCCCTCCAGGGAAAGATCGGAGAGACAGGAGAAACTGGGCCAAAGGGTTTTCCTGTGAGTTCCTTTTGTTGAAACTCTGACTAATATACACATTTTATAAAAGATAAGCAGACAAACTAATATTATACACTGTGTTGTTTTGTTGTGATGTTTTACAGCCAGCGTTTTCTGAAAAATATCGCCCTCTTGACATTTAAAAAAACTGGAAATTAGGGCTCATTGTAATGACCTTTACTGTGTATTAGATGGTCTTTTTCTCTAATGGTATCCCAAAATGTGATGGTGATGTGTTGTTGCTCACAGTGCCTGAGATGAGAGCTCACAAACATTTCTTGCCATGTCTCCAGGGTATCCAAGGACCTTCTGGACCTCCAGGGGACAAGGGAATAGCGGGCGAGCCGGTATTTCCCGCATTTCAGACATTTATCTCCTGTTTCCTCATCTTGATGTCTCCCCTGTTGTATCCTGTTATCTTCAGACCTCTCATTTAACTCTGTTGGAGTCCATTCTCGGCTGTTATTATCCTCTTTTTAGAGGGTTTTATTAGATTCCTTTGGGTATGAAAGAGAAAACCTGTTCCATCTGCCCAGTTCTGTTTTATTCAAAGTATACCAGCCAGAAGGCAGTTTATGAGACGTATATTTGTTCTTATTAAAAACATATTTGTCTATTAAATGTTTCCTCCAGAGCAGCCAGATAGTTGTCTCATCGTGCATATACTTGCACTGTAGCTTTGAGCTGCAATAAAATGGGAGTTTGAGTATTTTTGTAGCAGATACACATTTTAAATGTAGATGTACATGTTCTGAATATGTAGGCGTGCATACTGCCAAAAAGCGTTTTCAGAGAAAAATATTTTGCCCGTTTTTCGCTGAAATAGGAGCATTATGTGCTAGTTTGCATGCATGTTGAACTTAGCTTCACCCTATTATAGACTGGACCCAGTGCCTCTTTGTTTTCATTCAATTGGACAAATCACAGGCTGATCTTCTCCTGTTTCCATTTGGATCAAATGTGCATCTTTTTCTTTGTCTACCACATGCTAAACCTTTTCCCTGTGCAACTGCTTTCACTTACAGACAAAACTCTTCTGTCCTGTTCTTGTCTTCTTTGGGCATGTAATCAGGAATATAAGACCACAGGGGCTGTTTCAGTGATGTCGCCTCTATTTATTTATTTCTTTTTTAAGGCAGGTCAGCAGGGCAGTTTTCATCGTTCAGATCCAAAACAGTCATTAGTATTCATAGCTGAACATCACTGGTTTAGAAGCACACTTGGTAACTGCATTCAGAACCAAACTGTGCAGATGGCTGGCAGATTTATCTGTATTTGGCTTGATTACAAAAAAACATTAGCTAGACATTTCCTTCTTTTTGCAGAAATTAAGCCAGAGGCATTTGGGGTTTTTTGTTTTTTCAAACAGTTTTAGAATAATTATTGTTCAAGCACCTGTAATGTCATTCATAGGGACCATCTGGGCCACCTGGAACTGTGGGGCTGTTAGGAGAAATTGGTCAAAAGGTAAGCAGCATAACAAATACACTCATACACATATTTGCACATGTGGATAAACATATGCATGCATCCATACTGCACATGTTGTGTTCATCTGCACTGACAAACAGGCTATTGTGAAGACAAATGATCAAATATAAGACATCTGTTTTTTAGCTTCCACCAGTGGATCAATAACAGTCATTTCAGTGATCAGTCCTATAAATCTAATTAACCCCATTATAATACATCTAATGCTTTTCTGCACTCGCACGTTATAATTCATAAAGGAATGCATCTTTGAAATATTTCTCGTATGAACTGCCAAGGAGCATTTAGCTCTTAGTTTTTTGACACAGCTCAGTCAGCATTTTCCTCTCGTCGTCTTTTCAAAGGGTCCGCCAGGAAAAGTGGGTGAACCAGGGCTGCCCGGTGAGCCAGGAGAAAAGGTGAGACGCCGCATTTTTGTTTTGCCTAAATGAATGTTTTCAAGTTCAGGAATACAACCCAAAGATATTTGTGTTTTTTAACATCAGGGAGCAATTGGACCTGCTGGGAACATTGGAGAGCAGGGCCTGATAGGACAGAGGGTATGTTTGAAATCACAAAGATTTGAATATTTGAAATAAACTATCCGATATGAACATTTCCAGCTGGAGCCCCTGTTGACTTTATGGTCTTTAATGTTGTGCGAAGGGAGGGCCAGGCCTTGAGGGAGAAGCTGGTCCAGCTGGTCCTGATGGAGTCAAGGTGAACATCTTCTCAAAAACATCCTTGGGTGCTGGGTTGTTAAGTTAAAGATGCGGCTAGTTCAAAACACAGCTGCAGCTTAGGGTTAAAATATTCAGCATTGACTTCTCTTTATGCGTTTGTGATCAGGGTGAAAAGGGTGACATGGGCCAGGAGGGTGACAAAGGTGAAAAAGGTGTAACCGGGCTGAAGGGGAAAGAAGGTCTGCCTGGTAGTCCTGGACTCACTGGCGTCAGGGTAGGTCAACTGTCTATCTGTAGACTTTCAGTCTAACCTAGCAATTTCTTTATATTTTGGTTCGTTTGTTCTTCTTTAGGGTTCTGAAGGAAAGCCTGGGAAAATTGGGGAACGAGGAAAACCTGGACTAAAGGTGTTAAATCCTTTGATAAAACAGCAAATTTAGAAGGATTAACAACATAATTTGTTGCTGCCAGATTTTTTTTGTAACATGTCTGTGTGTGTGTCTAGGGTGCAAAAGGCCATCTGGGTCACCTGGGAGAGACTGGACCAGTGGGAAAGACTGGACCGCCGGGTTTTGTTGGGCCAAAAGGGTCCAGAGGAACTATTGGACATGTGGTAAAGTGGAATATTAGTGATTTCGATACAGAAATAACTTGAATTGACTATTCATTACATAACTGATTGTGGGATTGAACGTTATATTTTGTAGGGGGCTCCTGGTCGAATGGGTCAACAAGGGGAACCTGGTCTTCAAGGTTATGAGGTATAATAACTTTCTTAAAGGTCTTGAATGAATGACTGTGGTCTGTCATAACTGTTTGGTGTAGTCATTTTACATAGCCTGATTTCTGGATGTCTGTCTTACAGGGCCATCGGGGACCACAGGGGCCCATGGGGCCTCCAGGACCAAAAGGTGAAAAGGTACACCTCATTCATTTTATATGGAGCGTTTATCTTTCATTATTCCTTTTTATCTTTATTCTGTTCATCAGTTTGGCCCTGGCACCAACCAGAAGTGTGACATTGTACAGTTCAGATGTTGAAAAGCATCCAAAATTTGTGTCTCACATGAAAAAATAGAAATGCTCACTGTTCTGATTTGTGTCTGCAGGGCGAGCAGGGGGATGACAGGAAGGAAGAGGGTCCCCCCGGTCCTCCAGGTCTCATAGTAAGACTACTCCTTACTCCTTTAGTTGTTTGTCTGCAGTTACAGAAATGAAATCATTTGCAGTTTACTCACAGGTTTCCTGTTTTATCAGGGACCCCCTGGTGACAGAGGAGAGAGGGGTGAACCAGGAGACCCAGGATACAAAGTAAGCACCATCATTTTTAGTTTTTTCAAAATGATTTTATCGGTCGTTTTTTTTTTCTTTGCAAGTCGAATGTTCTGTTTTACCTTTCAAGGGTCAAATTGGTGTTGACGGAGAACGAGGAAGACTCGGAGCTCCTGGACAACCAGTGAGTGTCAAAACATGGAATTTCCACTGGCAGCTCTGGCACGAAAACTACACAAACAAACCTCATGTATATTAACACAAGTTGTTTTGACATGCCTTCATTTACACAACTGCAAATTACAGGGCCAGCCTGGACCTCGAGGCCAGCAAGGACCCAAAGGGGCCAAAGGCGATCAAGTAAGTGTGTCAATGTAAAATACGTGGCATGGGTTGACCATCTGTAATATTACAGCAGGGTAGTTAAGCTTTGTCCTATATTTGGCCTGATATTAAAATCCTTGCATCTTAAATACATTTCAGCAGTTACAAAAAAGATGCATTTATTAAACAATTGTTAAATGTCTGCATTTTCAGGGCCAGAAAGGCAAAAAGGGTCTGTCGGGACAAAAAGGAGCCAGAGGACAAGAGGTACAGAGCTTTTAGAGTTTTTGCACTGTAATATGTAAAGCAGTTTTGAATACATTTATATTCCTGACTCGACACATGTTGAAAATCAGAAATAAAAAAGACAAAAACAAAGTAGAATAATGTAAAACATGCTCAGAGATATTTTTGTTCCTTTTTTTTATTTGGAAACAGATTTAAATAATGCTTCAGTGAGGAGGATGTGGTTATCACTTGTTCTAAGATGAACCACTGTCTCCCCTTAGGGTGTAGGGGGTCCTCCTGGTCCAAGAGGTGTGGTCGGCCCAGAGGGGCAAGAGGGTGCGCCTGGGTCGGATGGAGTCCTTGGAAAAGATGGCAGTAAAGGCATGCCGGTGAGGCTTCATTAATCTGATGTACACAGCTGCTTGTCTTTACCTTCTACATGAGCAAATCCGTTTTTTTAATATAAAAATGTGTTGGACGGACCCTTATTTTGTTATTTGATCATTAGATTCTGAATAGTTTATCCCCCTGGAACTATGGAAAGCCATTCAATTTAAATAAATCCATGGCTAAGTGATCATTGTCTGTATTTTCAGTTGGCTTTCTGTTTTGACTGTTTCACTAGAACAGAAGTTGCAAGTGTCTAAAAAGAAAAAAGGATTAATGTCACGGAGACTGTAAATGTAGTTTGTGAATTCATATCCTGGTCTGGTGCAAAGTGATGCATATATTCTATTATTTTAACGCCTCCCTTTCTTCTTGGTAATGTTAAAGGGAGAACATGGGGATGATGGGGAGGCAGGTCTTTCTGGTAAAGCTGGTGCACCGGGTAAAACTGGTGTCCCAGGACTCCCAGGAGGTCAAGGGGCAGTTGGACCAAAGGTAAGAGAGCAGTGTGGCATGCCTTGTAATCTAATCTAAACAGTTCTTGTGAGTGAGGTATGGCTGCATTTGTAACCTTACCAAAGGAGCATACAAGCACTACATTAGAATAATGGTTCAAATTCTGTGTGTCCAGGGTGAGCGAGGTCTTCGAGGACAGAGTGGCCCTCCAGGAAAAAAAGGCTTCAGAGGTGGAATGGGAGAGCAGGGCAAACAGGGAGACCGAGGGGCCAAAGGGCAACCTGTGCGTATTAGCCAAATATACTCTGTTTGCAAACGAAAAGGTGAGATCTTATTGAGATACCGTGTTTTCTCATCCTTGATTTAATTTATGTTTAGGGCGATACAGGGGAGCCAGGTTTTCCAGGAATTCTGGGACTTTTTGGACCAAGGGTATGTTCAACACCAAGAAGCAACACAATCTTCAACAAAAACATAGAAGAAAACATAGATAATTCTTATTAGAATATGTGCTGCCATGAGAGTTTTTAAAGCCCAGAATGCTTTAAATACCTTTTGTTGCCGTTTACAGGGGCCTCCCGGAGACTTTGGGCCAAAGGGCATACGGGGACCTAAGGGGCCACTGGGGACAATGGTTAGTGGATTAATAATGTAAAAGTGTGCTGGCAAAATGTTCCCTAGTTCCTTTTGACACTGATCTCTCCATTTTGATCTCTCCATCAGGGCAGAGGAGGAGGGGCTGGCTCTGTGGGAATCATAGGTCCCCGTGGAAGTGTGGTACGTCACATATGACAGGAACTTTGACATTTGTCATCACTGTTGTAACTAAAACGCTGATTAGATTGTGTACATCTGTTTACAGGGTCCTCGAGGAGAGAAGGGCAATCGTGGGGAGAATGTAAGTCTTTTTTTTTCATTGTGTTTATTGTGTTTAAAGAATGGCTGGATTGAAAATCGGCTAAAATCTGTCTTCTTTCTCTCCAAACAGGGATTTCAAGGTCCAAGGGTATGTTTTGTATAGTATTGAGTTTTTTCATTGTTAAAGTTGTTTGTTTGTTTGTTTTACACTCAAATAAGAAATAAATGTCAATAAAGCATGTGCATGCATTTTTCCTTTTTAGGGTTCGCCTGGACCACGTGGCCCCCCCGGACTTCCAGTATGTATTCTACTGTTATGGTTAAACCAAATTTAACTTTACATTGCATGAATAATTGTCCGAATAATTATCTTTCTCTCTTTAGGGTCCCCCGGGAGTCCCTCTCTCATTTGTAAGTCATGTCATGTTTTCAATTACATCTAATAGGTCCTCTGTAACATGTTGTAATCAGTTATGTGAGTGACACTGATTACAGAAGTAAAAGTACCTTCTCCTACAACAGAGAGAAGATGGTCTTTTGTTTGTCGACTCGGCCACCTCTCGTAGGACTGAGGTTGGTTTAGTAGGATGTTTCTCTCTCATATTATGTCCTTTTATGTATTGAAAACCCTACAGACTTTGTTTTTCTGGTCTGTTCTCGCGTTTTTCCTCTAGAATAAGCCAGTGATGGACCTGCCAATGCTGGACCAGGGCGCAGAGATCTTTAAGACCCTTCACTACCTCAGTAACCTGATCCAGAGCCTGAAGAACCCGCTGGGCACCCGGGAAAACCCCGCCCGCATCTGCAGGGACCTGCACAGCTGTGAACAGAAGTTAAATGACGGTAAGGGGCCATTTCTGTGATGGGTACAGGGATGATTAGTACATCCATTCCAGTTTTTTACCCAATGATCCCAAATGTGTTTGCATTTTCAGGCACCTATTGGATTGATCCCAACCTTGGTTGCTCATCTGATACAATAGAAGTATCTTGCAACTTTTCTGGAGGTGGACAGACTTGCCTTAAACCAATAACGGTGACCAAGGTATACAGTACACAAAAGAATCCCAGTTGGTGTTGGTCTGGTGGGCACAGACCAAAACGTGTTAATCGCTTTCATTTCCGCAGCCGGCAGTGACTGTTGGTCGTGTCCAGATGAACTTTCTGCACCTGCTGAGCTCAGAGGCTGTTCAGCACGTCATCATCCACTGCCTGAACGTCTCTGTTTGGAGGTCAGCTGAGAATCAGCCGGTTCCTCAGGCCTCTGTGAAATTCAAGGCCTGGACTGGGGAGGTGTTCGAGGTGGGAGGAGAGCTTGAGCCTGATGTAATGGAGGATTCTTGCTGGGTAGGAATTGGATCCCTTTATGCTGTATCACAGCAGAATTTAAGTTTTTCGTACACAGTGTTATTGAATAAAATCTATTGTCACTTTTTTTTATACTTCTAGGTGAAAGATGGGCGATGGCACCAGACCCATTTTATCTTCCATTCCTTGGACCCCACTTTGCTCCCCGTTATCGATGTCTACAACCTTCCTAAAACTAGCCCCAGCTCACATTATCACCTAGAAATCGGTCCCGTTTGCTTTTTGTGAGCGCCACAGTTTTTAGCAGGAAGAGTCGGGAAACAAACCCGCGCAAGACACATTAACCTGGGCGCGGGATCAGAGCAGGCTTGAAGTCGTAGCCAAACACGATCAAAGTGAGAAATAGCCAGCACCCAAACGGATCTTGCTTCAGTACCAAACTCCCGTTGGACTGTTTACACAGAGGGAGGAAGCATGAGGGCGAGGGGCGACAAACAGGAGCTGAAGAGGAGCAGGGGAGTTCTTGCACTAATGGCTTCTCAGTACAGAAAAAGCTTCATCAAGCTTCTCAAGAAGGATCTCCACATGAGCGCCTTCTTGGGGGAAAAAAAAAAGGCCACACAATGTCTCCAGAACATTTAGTCAAGGGAGACCAAGGCTAAGTTCAGCAGCGGACACTCATAGTAACTTATTGTTTTTTAACTGTATACAGTCTGTATCAGTGTGTACTATTTTTTTTAAATACAAGAAATACAATTCCGACAAAAGAGAAGAATTTAAGTAATTGGATTAATGTTAATGTACATATATATATGTATATCTATATATGTGCTCTATTATTAACTTTTATACATGTATATCTTATGTAAAGAATTAATCTTAAGTGCAATAGAAAATGAGAGGATAATTAAATATTTGGATCTTATATGGAAGGATATTTCAGGGCTGCCTGTTTATTTGCCTTTGGTGCTCATCTCCACATGATCTTACATAGGTGAAATAATCCAGAGAAACACTTATTTGCCTAAACTGAGCAGAAATCACATCTTTGTTTACAAGTGCTCCTAAAGGGAGAGGTCAGTTTCCTCCTTGATAGGGGAAAAAAATATGGCAACCGGTCAGCTTTTGGTAAAGGTCCACAAACTTTTGGATGTTATTACTCATTTATTATTGAAACCGTATGCCACTGATGTTTGGGGAGGCCTAGATGGAGATAAAATGTCAGATTGAGGAAGGAGAAAAGTATTGAGCTCTAGTTCTCAGCAGCGTTTCACTAAATCCCCTCTAACTGTGGATTATTCTGTTAGTGTCTTGCTCTCTCATTTATTATTCTAAAGAGAGGTATTATTTTCGAATCAGTCACCTACGCTATCTACAGCAAACAGACTACAGGTACGGGCAATCTTTAGAGAACTGAGCCATGGGAGTGAGGAGAGTGGGAACAGGAATCAAAATGAAACTTTCATCATCTAGCCCTTCCTCCCCCTTTTCCATGGTGCTAAGTAAATTACCTGAGGTGCTATCCATAGAGCTGTTATCACACCACTTTGCTTGAATATTCTGTTATGTTTATAGTGCATGCTTGCTTTGACTTATTAAAAGTCCATATCAAATATTACCATAGCTTTCTAATGCACTATCGTGGTAATGTCCCATCAAACATGATGTAGTTTCCAAATTCTCAGTGACCCCTTTGTTTTTTACACAAAACCTTGTTTTTTTTTGTTTAGTACTGCAATTTAAGGGAATGCTTATTCCTCTAGAGATGATAATACAATCTTAAGACATATTTTTTGTCTTTGTATCCAGTATAAATCACAGGGTTTAAAGGATTTTTAAGAATATCATTTTCCTTTTTTGTTCTGTACAAAGTCCCTTTCGGCTGTTTGTAATATTTTAGAAACAAGCGGAGATACTTTTAATAAAATAAAGCATTTCTTTGATGTAGCTGGACACAAGTGTGTATAATTGTGCAAACCTTGCTGTATACAGTGGATCCCCTCTTGCTAATTTAATGTTATTTAATGTCAATGTGGTTGCTGACTGAGCAAGTTTCTCTCAGTTGAATTCAAACTACTCTTTCTGACAACTTTATATATCAGTTATCCCAACTGGTCTTGGAGTTTATAGATTATTTTATGTGTAAATTTGGGGCTCCAGAGAACAAATTTATTGCAATGCTAATTCTTTTATTTTTTTATTTTAATTATGTTGTTTTTTTCCTCTATGATAATCAACCATGTACTGTAACAGGACTGTGCTATACTATAACTTGTGTTTTAAGGAATTATTCAAATATGTGAAAATTGTTTTTCCTTTTTGTAAATCTGTTTTCACCTTAAAACAAGCTAAGAATACCTCACAATTTTGAACAAAACTTGGAGCAAAGATTTTCTGTCAGCTTTATTATCCACACCTGCTTGGAGATATCAGCCAAATACAGCAAGTCATCAAACTTTGAAACAGACCATGTCTGGTACATTCATCTTTTATCTGTCTACTCTTTATTCATTGTTCAGTCTATATTTGTTCAATAAATACTTCTAATTTGTGTGTGGATTTTTACTTTTTGTATTTTTAAATTAAATCAGTAATTCCTACCATGACATAAAACGCACAATATGAAGCATATAACACAACAAGACTGAGTAGTTAAGAGATTAGCTCTCATATTCATGCTACTCTCATATCCTTGCGCAGTAAAAATCATGACTATAAAGTCATTAAACAGAATTCAAATGGTCATTCAACATCCATGTTTCCTATTAAAAACAATGACATTAAACGGGGTAAAACAACTAATTTTGCATATGTATCATGTAAGCACGGCACAAACTATTGCTAGAAATCTAAAATTACAGCTTAGAGGGTCCTTCTCCATCAAAGAAACTGCTAAATGTACTAATTGCGCAGGTGTTGACTGCTGAGTGTTTGCTGTATTTGGACGAAACCCCTGACATATATGTGACAAGGCAACTTATAAAAACCAAAAGGCGTGCAGAGCATTTACAACTTTTAAAATTGAGGTTCTGTATGTCCAAGTGTGTATTTTCATGCATCGCCTGCTTCTTAATTACCCCAAGTCAAAGACAATTACCTAAGATCGGGGAGGATGCATCACAGAAGCCTTTTCGTTGCAGAAAAAAACTGAAAATGATAATAGAGACTGTTGAAGGTTTACTGGAAAATGGGAATTGAAAATGGATCACAGGTGAAGTTGGCTGTGCTCTCTTTGCAAACATTTACTTTCGGTCTTGCCAACAGCCAAACCGTTGGCCTGCCAGGGTCCTGCTGACGCTCATGCTTTTGGTTTCCATTTCCCCCATAAATAGACTGGATTATATTAGCCTGTGTTGGATAATTTGACTGGCATGATGTAGTTTTATTGGGCGTGCATACTGCCAAAGAACATTCACATTCAGATGCCTTGTTTATTGACAGTTATGTGCCATAGTTTAAGGTATCATCATATGAATTGTAATGCAGATGCACTTTTGTGCAGTTGTTCCCTATCGATGAGTGCTATATCTTCAATAATAACGTAATGACAATTATATTTTTACAAGTAGATGTACTGTATATGTAATGTAATATAATATGTTTATGCTCATATGTAGTCATTGTACAAATATATTCATATTGATAGACAAAATCACAAGTGCATATAAATTCCCATGTAGATATATTCATGGGTAAAACACAGTGAAAGTATGTGAGATAAGGGGAGTTTTTAGTTTAATAAAGGCACTGCTCTGGCTGATTTTGGTTCAGGACACCAGCTCCAGAGAAATGCATGGTGCGTGTTGCTTAGACTACTATTCGCCACATGGTGTCGCTGTTTTCCCATGAATGAGTTCATGCTGCTTTTCCACAGAGGTCACTTGCTTGACAGCTCTTTCCTTAATCTGTCTTAAAGTGATGAAATGTCTGAGCTACACAGTCATTAGAGCAGAGTAGATATTTAGTGTTAACTAAATATTGTAATTAACTCTTTTCCCCTGGAGCCGGTGCTAAATATGGTACAGAATACCCCACAGACCTCACTCATTATGTTGGAAAATATTCTTGTTGAGTATGTATTTGTTCTATTTGTTCCAATATAATGTCATTCTATGAAAAAACATGTTATCATTTATTTGGATTTTAGTTAAAGTACACCGAATATTTGGCAAAAAAATTTAAATGAAAACCTTTTTAATTAACCTAAGACCTGAAACTTCCTTGTTTTGGTTCATTGGATTTTTTTCGACAACGTTTATGCTTAGATGACAGGGATTTGTTAAAACCACTGAGGAATAGCTGTAAAATGTTGTGGTTTCTTGTCAAAATACTCAAGGCGTGAACGTCTACAAGAACTTATTATTCAAACTGACAGCGTAGATATTTTTAAGCCTTTACGTTCCTCCCCAAGTTGTTTGCTTTGGCCAATCGCTTTCTGTCAGTCTCCACCTAGTTCAGTGTTGCCTTTGTAATCCCTCGAAAATTCTTAAATATGAGTTTCCAAACAACAATTTCGGCTCTAATTGTCGTTACGAAAAAATATATACATGGAAAAACCATAAAAGTGTCACGTTTGTATGTTTTTATAAAGCTTTTAATCGAATAAAACGTTTCAAGGTAAGTGTTTTAGGGTTTTGTTGAAAAACATGTAAATATTTCCCCACAGTCCTTAAACGAAGCGCCAGCTTTCCAACGTGCACAATGGTGACGTTTACCATATTATAATGGCGGTAGCTTGGACTATTTTGAAATTTGTCCCGCTTTTCGAACTTTATGCTGCTTCCTGTCGCTAAAATGACAAGTTTTTCTTTTGGAAACACACGCAACTGACTTGCCACGATGGATTCTGTGGTTGGAGAAGATCTGACGCTCCCCGTTGACATTAACGGAAGGTAAAACTAACAACGACAGCTAGCTTGCTATCGCTAACTAGCATGTCATATCGTTGTTGTATGTTTCAGCTAACCCGTAAATCCTACAGCAGGGTTATATTTACCGTACGTTGTTATTGTTGATTTTGCTTTTGTTACAACATGAAGACGTTTGAGTTGACTTGTTTTACGCGTTTGTGCTGCGAAATTGAACTAAGTTGTCATGGACCGTTACTTATAAAGGCTTAAAATGTTTCTTAACGTTAGAATTGATTAATTAAGACGCATCGTGTTAATTGGATGCTTTCGTTGCTCCATTTCAAACATCAAAGGCGACGTTTGCTTGGCCTAAATTTTAAATAAAGCTATTCAGTTAGGTATTAAAGAAGTTTATTTAAGAACTCTCTGCTTTATCAGATATCAGATAAAGACCTAACCTGGAGGAATTGTTGACTTTCTCTGATTTTGGAAAACATATTATATATATATATATTGTCTAGTAAAAAAAACATAACAGTGGACATAGAATACTCTAATTACCGCCAGTGGTGTCTTTGTATTATTAACTCTATATAGATCAGTGGTTGCCACTGTGATATCAGTGGGCTGGCTTCTTTGAACTGTCATTCAGAGTGTATTAAAGCGGAAATTATATGAGCCAATGGGCTCAGACTGCATCAGAGACGTCTCTGCTCTCTTTGCACAAGTCGCGTTGTTAACATGCTATATTTGTTATTTTTTCCCTCGTGTGCTCTGCCTGGCACGAGAGAAGAATGTGAACGTGGTAGGTGAACTTATTATTAGCTTCGTTCAACACTGCTTCTGCCTGGTGTTACCTCCAGGTTTTAGCTAGTTTGTAGTTTTCCTCGCTTCAGTGAAAATCTAGTTTGTTTGTTTTTTGCATCTCTGCTGTTTAGTTGGTAGTTTGTCCTGGTTATTTGTTCTCCGAGTGACCTAACCCAGCTGTGCTGTGTGGAAGAGCGGTCATCCAGGTGGTGAGCGCCTTAGGTAATCCAAGACGTTAGCTGATATGGATGGTGTGTGTTACTTTTTGGGTAATTCTGAAACCTGATTCACTTTATGCTTTCAGTTTAACACGCTGGGACTTGCATTCTGACAGTGCCTGTGGCAATTGCTATGTTTTTCTATGTTTTGGGCTTAGCTGCTTTCATTTCTGACAGTAGCAGCTGAGCAAAGTGAGAAAAGAGGAAGTCATTGTTTACAGCTTCTTGCTTTGTTTCCACTGGCTACTGTAGAAGTTACTACAGCTGCATTACTGACAACATCCTATCAATAACAGGAACATTATAGATATTTTCTCTATTGGATCAGTTTGAAACAGCTTTTTTAAGGTTTTAGGTAGTTTTTTAAGGTCGTTTTTTTTTTTTGCTGCTGTCAGAACTCATGTTGTAAAGTGCTTCCTCTCCATTTACACAGGAAGAGACTGCTTGGCATGTGAAACCTCAGTGATGCAATGAATGTCAGCACAGACATGCTGACCTTCTCTGTGTTGTTGAGTAGCTGTGGACCCTGTTTTCTGTGTGCTGTTTTTCACATTAGTTCAGTAAGAGCTGTTGACCGATGAACCATGAGTCTTTGTTGATGGTTTCCGTTTTGTTTTTTTCTCATTCAACATTGAATCCTCTATTCACCAGTGCAATGCTCTTTGTTTTTGTTTTCTTTAGCAGTGCTTGCTTGGTATTGAGGCAAAAGGAGATGGAGATCTATAGTTATGAAAGTCAAAATGTTTAGAAGCAGTAGACTTCTTTGTAATTCAGAATCTGTAAGTCACCAAAGAATTACTCAAGCTGGAAACTGGATGAAAGATCTTGCTGTTTCTCATCAGAGTCCTCCCTTCTCCACTCCAAAGACATAAATCCTGGAACCTAAAGGTTTTACATATACCAGTGTCAGTCCTGGTAACATGTAGATGTGTCATGCTGAAACTAAGCAGTGACGTGGTAGACTTTGAGAGGAAGTTATTCAGTGCCTCACATTGAAAGAGGAAAAGGTCAGGGCTTTGGACCATGCAGCTGGGCCCACATAATTCTTGTTTTCGTCTTCCACTCTCATAGGAAATTACTCTTAAACAATTTGGCCTTACTAACATCTCAAACTTTTAAAATATTACTGTTATTTCTCAAAGGGCATTATCATCCAGATGTGTGCTGCTGACGTTTTGTGCATTGTACCGTGTGAGTAGCACCACTGTTTCATAACACTGTGATGCTTAGCTGAAGTGATCCACAGTGGTCCACTTGTCCTCTCCTCCTCCCCTCTGTTAACATTAGAGCGATGCTGCTACTGGCACATGGCCTTGCACACACATCCTTGTTTTTCTATATTTATTGGGTCCTGCCATTCACAATGTGCATTCCAGAGCACGATCGTCAAGCTTTAAGCTTCACAATCAAATGCCAAAATTTGCCCAAACTTTATATTAACTCCAACTACAAAATCAAATCTAGACCTTTAGAATAATATAACATTCAGACAAACCCCATAACAGAACAGACTTTTGTGGTTTTTGGACCCTAATAGAAAAACGCAACAGCACATAGAAATGAGGCTATGTCAGAGTGGATGTAAATGAAGCGGAGTCATTCTTAAGCTATTTATGGAGTGTCCTTAGGGCTCAGTGGAGCTGGCCAGCGTGAGTAACACAAGAACATCCTGGATTTTTTCCCCGTTTTTTTTAAAGTATCCATAGAATTCAGTGTAAATCCAGAGCCGAGTGGATTTGATTCCCATGTTGATTAATTTGTACTTACTTTTTCGAAGAAAAACCCTCCCCGACTTGGTGGAATGGTAACCATCTTACTTTTACCAGATATTTGTAGCAGAACAGAAGAGTGCATCACTAACTAATAAATCTGTGTCCAGCTGCAGACTGCCGGATTCCATAGATGGTGGAGAATATTCTACTGACAGCATGGCAGGTAAGGTGAGCTTTCTTCTCCCTTCTGGTCTTTTCTCAGTCAGGTTTGTTTCTCTCATGTGTATTAATTAATTCTGCAGCTGAATTCTGTCCTCCCTCAGCTTGTCTTCAGAGATGAGAAACTAATGGGCTTCAGATAATAAGCAAAGCCCAAATCTCGCAATCATTTGTCATGCTTCTTTTGTATGTCAACAATAAATGTAGATTTAGGCACATAACGTACATATTTCAGCGAATTTTTAGTTAAATGTATATGTATTAAACATGTAACTATGTTCCTTGACCTATGAACCAACAGTGACAGAACATTATTACCTTAATACAGTAAGTCATCCTTTGTAGTCATCCGCTTGATTTTATTATTAAACATGCGTATTTTCCATCATTCTCATCTCATTTTGCTTTACTCTTTTCAGTTGACATTTCATGTGACAGTTTTCTTTTTTATCTTTGATTTCTGCATCAGGTAGATCCTGTTTTTTTGTAATTGTCATGTTGCGCTTTACACTGTTATCTTCCTTATGATCATATTTTTTATAAAGCTCTATTTCCCTTTTGATGATGGTAGTTTTGGAAAAACAATCTAATGTTTGGAAGCTTGCAATCTTACTGTGAGCTTGCATATCATTCCTGGTTCAGTTGAGGCAAACAGAAATTCACACCATATGAGGCTATTCAGTGATGGAGAAACTTTTTTCTCAAGAATAAGTTCCACTTTTAACCTTTTCTTCCTAATGATATTTCATAAAGTGGAAATTGCAAGCTGTGGCTGGTTTTATATCCTTTCCCCTACTTTGTAAGCAGCAATTAGTTTTAACACCCGATAATCACTATATGGTCGTTGAGTGGTGCTAAAAGGTTGGGAGTAAGAGTTTATTGAGGCCTCGAACTTCCCTCTGGGTTGCTGATGACAGATGTCACATTTAAGGGCGTTGTAGTTGCAGAAAGACGCTTCAACTTCATTACGAGGCACAGGGTGTTTCTTTTTGAAGAGGAATGTTCTTTAGCCTTTGTTTTCTTCTTACTTTTCTTACTCAATTCCAGGAATGTCACTTGAGTCAGTCAGGCTTTATTTTAGCCAGCAGATATAGACTTATGTTAACTCTACAAGCTTCTGTATACACTGAAGACAAGACAGAAACCTGCATGATGTTTCTTTTATTGTGAAATACACGTACATTAACCAGCAAACGGGACTGTAAGAGAGACGTGTTCTGAAATACTTCGTGTGAAGCAGCAACAAGCCATGAGTCAGGAGTTCATGTTGTGAAAAGTGTGCATGAATAGTGTTACATGATCAGCTGTGCTCTCCAGTGGATCTCAACTGAGCAGCTGTTCAGAAGCTAATACATCTACAATGAAAAATAAGAGTATTTTTTTCTTTATCCATCTTAAAAAAACAGGATAAGTGCAGGGTATTACCGTAGTTATTCTTGCTGGCAGCATGAATTTTCTGAGCTCTGACACAAGATTATTTCAAAGAAATAAAAACACGTTTTTATTGCCTTTTTCATAGCTCCATCTTTTCCTGATAAGATGTCCCCCAGCAAAGCTCTGACCATGAAGGACTATGAGAATGTGAGTACCACGAGAATCAGCTGCACATGTGCCAACTATGACGTATAGATTAACATATGAGTCTGATTTTGCATTTGACTGCCAGTTAGGTTAATGATTTCATCGAAAGGCTGAGCTTGTATGAGAGATGAGGCCAGCAACTTGCCACATCGTAACAGAGTATGAGCTTAATCCATAGTCTGCTTAAAACCAAAACGCACCATTTATGGACATTTAGTGATGAAGTTTGTGAGTAGGAGGAATGGGAGAAGGACCGAGGTGGGCTCAAGAACATATTTCAGCATTTGATAGGAATGTATGCTGAGATTTTTTTGGGCTGTTTTATGCTGCCTGACTGGCTGCATGATTAGAGGTTTACAGAAGGGTCCAGACTTCTCCCTCCTCCCTTTGACAGTTTACCCCAACCCCCCATTACCAGATGTATGCAGCTCTGAGCCTGGAGCACAATGATGCACAGTCTACTTCACACACATGCAGGCCTCCCTTTTTTTGAAAATAACCATAGACATGGCCCCTTTCTGTGATTTGAACATGTCTTCCCACTTCTTTTCCATTCAAAAGTGCTTAAATGCATTTATTCTTTGACTTTAATATTTTGGTTTTGTTTGAATATCACCTAATTAAACAAAATGTATACATTGAATATACATAGAAAATTTGACCAGATAGACATGTAATTACTATAACCCAGTTTTTCATCCTATTTTCATTTTATTATCTCTTGTATGTCAAAATGGTTTTCTTTTGTTCCCAGCAAATCACAGCTCTGAAGAAAGAGAACTTTAACCTGAAGCTGCGTATTTACTTCATGGAGGAGCGCATGCAGCAGAAATGCGATGACTCCACTGAGGACATTTTTAAAACGGTGTGGTATTTGACTTCGACTAACTGAGACATTTTTGCATCACAGTACAGCTCTGTGATTAACCGGTAGTTTATCAGTAATGTTCAATGTCATTTGGGATTAAACTAAAGTATCTTCTCTTGATAGAACATTGAGCTGAAGGTGGAGTTGGAGTCAATGAAGAGAGAGCTGGCGGAGAAACAGGAGCTGCTTGTCTCTGCGTCGTATGTACATTTTTGTTGCCTCCATCAAAATCAATGAGGCCTCACAAAAACATGAGCAAAACGTCAGACGTCTGCAGGTCGTTGAGTTGCCCGGGGGTAAAAACTCACCCAGTTTCATCTGTGATTGCTTGTTTTCCAGTAAAGCACTGGAAAGTTTGGCTGGTAGAGAATCAGGGGAACCCCAGCGGGTGAGAGAGCAAGCTCAGAGGGAGATGGACGCACTCAGAGAGGCATTTAACAGGAGGATTGCTGACCTGGAACAGGTAGGTTAAAAATGGTGAGGGTACATGGAAGTTGGAAAGTAGAACATTTCATTTTTTAAATATTTCTTTTATAAAGTGTTGATTCTTATTCTCAAAACCATGACAGTGTTGTCTGAAAGGCCATTTGTTGAAATGTGCATCACAATTTAAGAAACTACTTTCTTTATTTTCTACTCTTAGAGTCTCCAAACCGCAGAAGAGGAAGTTGAGAAGATGGCATCCATTGCTGAGCAGGAGAAGCTTAGGAATATAAACATGGAGAAGCAGCTCCAACTCCTCGCTCCACCAAATGCCTTCACCCCTGATAATGTCCTCAGTCCAGTCCAGGAACTGCAGCAGGCTCTGCAGGAGAAAGACGAGTATGGAAAGAGCAACCTAAAGACAGCATGCATCCACAATACTGTATAGATTAAATATATGTTTTGTTTTTTTTTTAACTCATGACAGCATCATCAAGCAACTCAAGATCACTTTAACGAACCAGGAAGCTATGATCCATCAGAAAGGCAGCGGAGACCAACAAACGGATGCACTTACAGCCAAACAGCTGTCTGACCTCATCGCAGAGAAGGACGAGGAACTTAAGGTGTGGGAATGTGCTGTTTATAAAGATATTTTAGCTGCCATGGCATCAGAACTGATTTAAAGTTAGCTGTTAGTGCAACTTGCCTCTATGTCTCATGCATACATCCAGGAAATGGCTTGATATTTTACTCAAATTTTGTATTTTAATCACTTGGTCTCAACAATGTTTACAATATAAAAAAACGTCTGACAAAATGCTGCCTTTGTTAACAGGCGCTGAGAGACGAGTTACACAGAGAGCAGGACAAAACGCAGCCAGAGCAGCAGGTTGGTGGTTTTTGGACCTATCCACTCAAGATCACTGTGAAGTTCTGTTGAATTACTTCACTGAGAGTCCGTTGTCCTCTTGGATTTAGCTTTTCTGAGCTGACAGACTCCTTCTGTCTTTTTTTTTTTGACTCAGACGAAAAACTAACTCTTAACAGTGCATTTGTGTGTGAGATGATTCAGACTCATAGAGAAACAAGGACACAGACGGCGTTCACTCCTGCGCAGCTCAAAGCGGCGTTAACTTAAAAGGACTATCTGTGTTGTTGTTGTGACCCTCTGGGAAACGCTCATTGGAGTGTAATATGACTTGTCTTTGTCCTCTGCGTGCCTCTTGGGACACTTCTATTTTTGTTTCCTGGATCAGAAAGGAGGGAGGTTGCTGCCTTTGTTGTGGTAAATTCGGGGTGTCAGTGTGTTGCTACTAGTTACACTTACATCACCATCACCATTCAGTGAGGGGTTGGAGTCCAGACAAGGCTGCATTGTGTCTGTGCAAAATGTCACAATAAAATAAGCAGCAACATAAACGTGTCACTGTAATGGCAGACTACAGATGTTTTTTCTTCCTAATGCTTCTTCTGTAGTTATTCTTTCTGATATTTGACAGGTATCGCCACCTACTTAGTGAATATGTGTGGGTAGTTTAGAAAGAAAATCAGATTCAGTTTGAAAACGATAAAGCATTGTGGCTGAAGTTTAAAAAAAGCTGTTATTTGGAACGGGTCCATAGTTCCTCATCAGTTCTTGGCAACTGTGCTCAGGTCAGGGTATTAAGACTGGATTACCGTGCTCTGGTGGTTATTTTTGATCATCCAAGAAGTTAAAGAATTATTGTTGCATCAAAGTTTTAAAAAAATATTTTTTGTCTTTTTTTTTTTTGTCTTTATCTTTGTAAGGATTGAAAATTCCTGATTATTTAGAAACAGAATATGGAAACTGTCTTCCTAATGTTTGTTCAGTAGTGAATTGTAATCCATTGTGGGACATAAAATTAGTCGAAAAGCACCTTCCGTAATCTCAAAGTTAAATATTGTTATTGATATTTTTTATCAGGATGCACATTTTAGGAGGGATCGGCTGCTGCCATCACCAACCTCTGCATCGCACACGCCTTTATACCTGATGTCTTCATTTAGAGAGTTTGATGAAGGATTTTTCTGAGGATGGTTAGACATCAGCCACAACACAGATGACTGCAGTAGTCTGACAGGATTAGATCTGATTGAATGAGTTGGGGAGAGTGCCATAGAGGCGGAGGCAGGGATTATTTAGGCTTAGGGCTTATAGTGCTTTGCACTCAGTCATTCTGGTTTGTGCTTCGCTTGTTGGAGCAGTGAGAAAAATAGATGGATAGCTCTTCTTTGGCTGGCAGGCCGATGGCCATTAAGTCACTGGACACTTGGTGCGTCGGGAAGAGATTTTTTTTCCATCTGTTTGATTGAGTGAGATCAGAAGATCCACGGTGCCATGAGGGACCCCTGTCGTATATGCGGCGTTCGTCTGGTGGGAAGCCAGTGTCGCTGGATCTTCAGTTCATCCGGGCAGAGGAAGTTACAAGTCATCCTTTCTCACGTGTTGGGTCGGGAGGTGATTCGCGATGGTCGCGGAGAGTTCCTCTGCGGGAAATGTGTGTTCCAGTTGGAGAAAGTGGTTCAGTGCGACATCAATATCAGCCGGCTGCAGGATGAACACAGCAGCCAGATCCAGAAACTGCAGGCGGACAAAGAGAACCTCATCCAGTGCATCGTTCACATTTATAGCAAAAACAACCCAGGGAGCAGTGGCAGGGGGAGCTCCAAGATTCCAGTCAGGTCCTCTGGGGTGGGCAGTCCTGTTGATGACGCTGCAGCTCAGCTGGCTCACGAAAAACAGCAGTTCAGGGAAAGTGGAAGTGGTGTGGCAGAACATCGCATGAGAAGATGTGTGAGTCTGGATAGAATAGCCAGCAAAGGGACTTTTCCTTGGCGCTCGGGCCTTCGGGGCAGCAGGCTGGGATCAGGAGCAGGGATTGATGCACCCGTGAATATTGGACTTCGAGGCACACGACATCGTTCACAGAGCATGTACCTTGACCTGGTCCAGCGTAAGGGCACACTGGCAAGATCTGGATTCAAGGGGCGTTCTGCATCTCTGCAGTCACTGAATCGAGACTTTTCCTCAGAGACCCCTCCAGACCCTCAGCCCAAACGAAAACTAAGAGAGCCTAAGGTACTGGTTGCCAGATATGGTAGCTCCAATGAACCAGGAGGGAAGAGTCAGGCCAAAGCGCTGCTCCAGAGCTCTTCAAGTCAGCCGTCTGTGATCTCTGACCTAATCCAGATCCTCCGCTGCATTTCTAAGCAGCAAGTGTCTTCACCTGCGGGTAGTCGTATCCCTGTCCTGAGGAGGGTGAACAGTGGCACAGTTGTGCCCCGAGCCCGACTGAAAAATAGAGAAGCAGAATGGAAGTCTCTGCACGAGATTGCAGAAGAGTTTAATGATGAGTACACTCCTGTCAGAGAGAAGGTACCAGCTGGGTAGAGCTCTTTATCCTGGTTAAAGAGCTGCAAAACCAAGGTTACTGTTTAAAAACATGTTCACCAGTATGACTGCTTTTTCTCTCCTTTTTGTTTATGATGTTTGTGCTTGCTGAGAAGAAGAGTGATGTTAATCGACTGCAGTCCCTCAATAAAACGCTGACTGAAGAGCTTAACCAGATAAAAAGCACCAATGAGAACCTGACAAGAACGTTGGAGGATTCCCAGAATCAGAACAAGGTACACACACAGCGGAGACGCATTACTCTCCTTAATGTTTTTCAGTAACACTGTCACTTTAAAAGAAAAAAAAATCTAATGTCCTCTTGTCTAAACAGACCTTATCAGGGAAGTTGGAGGAAAAGGAGAATGAACTTAACTCTGAGAAGAAAAATGCTCTAAAGCGAGATAAAACAATCCAGGGGCTCACAGAGGTTCTAAAAGAAAAGGAAAAAGAGGTATAAGATACATTTATGAAGAAGCTTATTTTTGTCATAGATGACACGGCCATTAGTATTCTATCTATTAGTTTTTTACCTGTCTGTCTGACTTTTGTTTTACACAGATTGCTGAGCTTTGCCGTGAGATTGAGGACAGAGATGATGCTTTGACCAAGGCCAGAGAAGCAGCCCATAAAGCCCAACTGCAGAAATACCAGGCATGTCGTATTCATATGAAAGAAACTTAATACAGGGATGGTGTCACTTTAATGTTTATATACATTTCCATTGATGAGAATTCAGTAAGACTGCAGGGTGTTTAGTACTAAGCGGTTCCTGTGTGTTTTCCACAGGGAGTTGAGGAGCACCAAAACCTTTTAATGGAAAAGCAAACAGAACTGTCCCAGCTCCAAGGGGAACACCATGCCAAGGTGCTTGAAGCCCAAAAACTGCAGCGTGGCCTTGAGAGGAAGGAGCAAGAGCTGGCTGACATGCAACAAACAAAAGACCAGCTTGAGATGGAACTGGAAGACGTGCAGCAACAGAAGAAGAAAGGAGACAAAGCCCTCAATGTACGATGGTAGCAGTACATGGGCTGGCCATAGAAAGTTTTCTTTGAAATGTTTTGTACAGCCTTTGGCTTTCTAAATCTCTGTCTCTGATCTGCCTCATGTCCCTCTCCAGGATCTGAACAATCAGCTGAAAAAGCTGAATGGTGAGATGGGGGAGAGGGAGAATGCCCTTGAACAGCAGTACCAGGAGCTGCTGGACCAAACCAAAAGAAAACTGCAGTCCCATGAGGTCACCATCCAGAGGCTCACATCCATGCTGGCTGACAAAGAGCAGCAGCTACAGGTAAGAGGGTTCTTAAAAAATGTCCAAAGTAAAACCCAAAGTGGCATACTTCAAATGGCTTATTACCTTTTTTCCTTTCCATTTTTCTTTGCTCATCAGGAGTACATAAATATGATCGGGGACTTGGATCAAAGCAAAAGTCCGGGCAGTAACGACAGCATGCTTGTCAAACTGCGGCAAAGGCTAAAAGAAAAGGAGAGTGCTCTGGAGGTTGGTATTCCTTCGTCAAGACCTCATCCCCAAGTTTAGAAGGACCTATTTCTTGACAATCTTTTGTTTGCCACTCTTCTGTCTGTCAACAGAAAGCTGTAGATGAGAAATTTGCTGCCATTGAGGAGAAAGACAATGAGATTCACCAGTTGCAGCTTTCACTAAGGGAAAAGGAAAGGGACTTGGAGAGACTTAATAACCTGCTTTCTCGCAATGAGGAAACCATCAATGTTAGTGCATTTGGTCATTTTTGATTGAGAAATATCACAAATTTAAACCTGCACACTCAGTTATTAGGCTGTTTTAAAGTGGTTGGGCTGACCATTGCTGTCCTTCCAGAATTGGAATGATCTGATCAAAGAGAAGGATGTTGAGCTGCAGCATCTTGCAAACACTCTGAAAAACCTGCAGAGGGCAAAACAAGACGTAGAAGATAACCTGAACCGATCCCTGAGAGAGAAAGACTCCATTATCAACCAGCTACAGCTCTCCCTCGAAGGCAAGACAAAGGATATGGAGGTTAGTTGGCAAATGCCTTTTGACACACCCCTTCTACTGCACGTTCAGCTGTTTCCCCCAGTATCATCCAGGCTGCCAGTCCTTAGACGTGTCTGCGTTGTGGACCTTGCTTTTTCTGACTGTTGCCTCTTGTAGGAAATGGCTGAATCAATGATGAGCCAGTCGCAGACTCACGCACGGGACCTCGCTGAACAGATGGGTCAGAGGCTAAAGGTCACAGAGGCCATGCTAGCTGAGGCTGTGAAAGCCAGGGAAAGACTAGTTGCTGACAATGAGAGTGCCGTGGAAGGGCTTCTGGCTACGATCAGCAGCAAGGACCAGCTTCTCAAGGTCAGCATTTAATAATGATTTTAAATACCACTCTAACATAAATCACACAGCCAAACAATCAATTCTAGCAGAGAATCGATCTATCTCTAAATCCCATTGCTTTGGTCGATCCGTCTCACCAGGAGTCTGCTGAGCGCTTCAACCGCATGCTGTCTGAGCGCACTCAAGAGATTCAGGAACTCAGGAAGCAACTGGCTGACAAGCAGCAGCAGCTCACTAATGCTGAGAGGCAAAGCTCCTCAACAGCCCAGGAGAGTTATTTAGAGACTGCCGAACTCAAAGCCCTGCTAGCGGAAAAAGACAGCCTCATCAACGTAAGTTCCTCCTGAGACGTAAGTTCCTCAGCTGTGAACACTGCTTGACATGGAAACCGAACAAAAACTCCCAGAGGAAATTGAGGGATTTTGTCCTCCATTTTGATGCTGTTGCCTATATTGGTAAATGGTTCAGATGTGACATGTGCGTTTACATGTTGTATTTATAAATCTGCAGAAGCTTCTGCAAAGCGGTCAGGAGAGGGACCAGTTCTTGGCAGAGATGAGTCACAGGGCGGAGTCAGAACATGTGTTGGAGCTCAGACAAACTATCCAAATCATGCAAGAGAAGCTGGACGAAAGACAAGGTGAGGCCGTAAGACTTTTTAAATCCCCACACTGGATATTTAAAGGTCAGAGTTCTTGGTGGACATATGTTTGATTCTGTTTTCTCCAAACTTTAGCCGAGCTGTCCAGGAGAAACAGTGAGGATAGTCAGGAAAATAATCCACTATCCAAAAAAACTGTTGTTGTCCTGAAAAAGGAGCTGGCACAGAAAACTGAAGCACTGAACAAAGCACTGAAGAGGGAGAATGAGCTGAAGGTCAGTGAGTTACAAACATCGTCGTTGTTATTATTGAGCGTTGTTTAACGCTTTATTTTATTTGTGTGTGTGTAGATTTCCTTGGCTGAGCTCCAGTCATTGTTTTCTGAGCTGGAGGGTCGCGGTGAAGGGCAGGCTGCTAACATAGAGTCCTTGACTGCCACTTTGAAGACCAAAGAGGAGATCATCAATGTAAGGAGCCTTTTACTCACAAAGGACAATAATGTAGCTATAAATGAAGAGCGTCTTAACTTGACTGCTTTTTGATTCCTCTTTTGCCATCTCGGTAGCTCTTCATGGTTGGTTTATGACATTGTGCAGGTTCTTCATCTCCGCCTCGGTCAGGGTGCCGACTGTGGAGCCGATCACACCCAAGATCAGGTGTCAGGCTCTGGCATGGACCGCTCGCCCCCTGTGCTGCCTCAGAGAGAGATGACCATGATAGGTGGAGACAGGCAGCAAGAAGTAAAGTTTGACCTCTTTTTCAGATGAAATATATCAACAAATTTTTCTCAGTGCCTTTTAAAGAGTTTTGATTCTTCTGCACAGGCCTTGCCAAACCTCATGGCCTTGCAGCAGGAGCAGGATGCTTTGAACAAGGCCCTGAGAGCCGAACAGCAGCTCTATTCCAGCTTGGTCAGGACTGTGAAGGAGCAAGACAGGTTGGGATCAGGACACATTTTAAAGCTGTATTTTATTAAATTAACTTATTTATTAGCATTCGGTTTGATTGTGTACATAAATGTAAATTCTTTGGATATTGATGTCTTATTTTTTTTTTACCAGTGCCCAGCGTCTCCAGGCTTTGCAGCTGGAGCTGACAGCAGTTCAGCTTCTCCGGCAGCAGCTAGAAGACAGCATCAAAACTAATGAAGAGCTAAGGGATGACCTGGAAAGAGAGATAAACAGGGCCAAACTGAGAGAAGGTGCAGTGCAAACACAATGGGATGTAGATGAGGATAGTGACTAAACAGAGGAAAATAGGAAAAGGAATGAATTTATCACAAAGGCTTTTTAATGGCTTAAAAAAATCTAACAATTATGTATTAAATGCTATCAAACTAACACTACATACAGCAGATAAGCTCATGCACTGTCCCCCTTTTTTTTTTCTTAATTCAGCATGCATTTGTTTGTCTCTCCGTTTTTCATCTGTGATCACTTTCTGCCTGCTGTTCTTCACATCATCACCTTCTCATCTGTCTTTGTTGCTCATTTCTCTGTCACTCATTAAATGTATTATCTTTATTCCCACAAAACAGCCACAAACTGTCCTTTCTCAAATAATAAATAAATGCCTCTGTTGGCCTGTCCTCTGTCTCTCACTGTTACCCTGCTGTCTGCTTGTTTATGCTGTCCATTGCATGACCTCTCTAACAGCCTTCTGTTGATGTAACTCATCAAGCCATCTGTCACATGGTTTTAATTTAGCCACACAAGTATTCCATCACATAGCTATTTCAATAAAATAAAAAAAATAAGTTTTGCTTTTATTATTTTTGTCCACTGGAATTGGATCATGATGCAGTGAATTAAAAAGCAATGGCCCTGAAACATCATGATCCACAAAGTTCTGACATCACATAGTTAATGTTTCTTGGCACCATCAGTAGATATAAAGTACGACTGCCGTGCACAGCTTTTTATACAGATTAAAGGTTTCTGTGTGAGCTTAGCTTGCCGTCCAAATGGCACAATTTGACTGTCCACATGCATGTCATGCATGAGTTTGCACGCCGGGTGCTAGCTCCTCCCACCCCTGTGTCAACAGAAAGCCAGGTGTATAAATAGGTCAGCTGTAAGCAACATGCACATGATTCACGTTATCAGCTATATTCACATCTATGTGTGTTTGTGGGGTGGGGGGGGGGGGCTTTGAAATTTCCACACTTCTTATGATGTAATTATAATAATTTACATAGTCCGAAGAAGAAGAAAAAAAGTGGACAAACATGCAAAAACCACTGGTGTCATGGCGTTTCACTGAATGTCTCCTCATGACTCCAAGATTTCTTTGACACTCCGCAGCTGTTTGGTGGCTTTTATGGAAATGGTTGCCCAGCTTTTATGCTTCATGTATTTAGGAAAAAGCATCAGATCATATGAAGAAGAACATATCCAGTCAGTTTAGATTAGTTGTTTTAGATGTACATGTCAGAAGGTGTGTGTTACCTCAGTTTCCTGTTAAACTTGTTTGTGATAAGAAATTAGAAACACTCTCAAAATTGAACACCAAATGGTTTGAAAACCATAACCATATGCACATTTTTTCAGGTATGGACCTGATTGACCCTAAAGAACTGGAAAGCATGAGACATCAGCTGGAAGATGCTCAGCGCTGGAACGCATCCCTGCAGGCTCGCTTGGGGGCAATTCAGAACAGAGGAGGAGGGGTTGGCGGCGCCAGTGATGGTGAGTCCAGATTCCAGTGTCTCAACATTGTAAAGAATTTTGTCAAATGGGAATGTCCATGTCAGATTAAAAAAATATTTTTCTTAGGTGATACTTTGAGTTTTGTTGGAGATCAGACTTCCTACATGAGTATATGTGTTGGAGAGGCACCTGATGACAGTCTGTCCCAACTCTCTGCTCAGGAGCTCCGACAGAAGGTACACTTCTTTAAAAAAAAAAAAAAAAACTCCCTCTGTTCACTGTTGATAAAGGCAAAGATTAGCTGAACATGCAAATGGATGAAACTGGCTGTGTCTGTGCTTTAGGTGCAGGAGCTGCAAGACTGTGTCAGTGGACTGCAAAGTTTAAACAATGAGCTGCAGAGTCAGCTGTCATTAACAGAGAAGTCAGAGAGTGATTCTCATGACAAAGAAGGCAAAGACCTGGCAAGCAGAAGCCGGTCCAAACAGGTTAGAGGCCAAAAGAGATGTCTTGTGGAAATGTTTTTAAACCTTACAAAATGGGACATTGTAATAACTTGTAGTGATAGTATTTACCACAGTGTATCCACAGCTAGAAATACTTAAATCATGAATCATTGTCTAACACCCACCTTTATTAGATCCTTTCTAACCTTTGAACCTACATCTTAACCTCTACTCTGTCTAGCCTCTAGACTCGTGTCTCTTTGCTCTACGAGCTACATGTCCCATTTCTCTAATGAGTGTGTTTCTTGTCTATAGTAGGAACCTACCACTTTCTCTATCCTTCTTTTTCCTAACGGTCCCTGTTTCTGTTTGTTTTTTGTTTTTGTTTATCTCTGTGTCCCATGAAACGGTCTCTCTTCGCCATGCTACATTAGACACATCATGCCATTCTGCTGTTGCTGTGCAGTGTTTTATGGATTCTGTTCCCACTTTAAGTTTTCTTTTACCAAGCCATGTGTGTCATACCCGCCTTCCATCCCATTACTCTAGCAGCTTGAGAAGACTCAAGAGGTGCAGCCACTGTCTGTCAGTTACAAGGGACATCTTCAGGATAAAGCGACCCAGGCAAGCCTCAAACTAGAACAGGTAGGAATCATTAAGCATAAAGTATCATTTGGGGTTGTACTGAGCGAACGTCTTCAGCCAGACTATTTGGAACTGTAGTAAAGTTTAGTTGTCTTTTTTACAGTTGCAGAGTTGTGTTTTTTTCTAAAAATTTTTTGGAATGGTTGGTGCTTTTTCACTTTATACATATTTTGGGATTATTCAAAATACAGTAGCCATAGTGTTGTAACTCCACCACACCAAAAAGAATTAATTTTATCTCAGAAATCACTGTGTCCTTTGAATAGATAACAAGTGAAACAGCAGGTCTGAAATGAATACAATTTATTCCAGTTTCTGAAAGTAACAACTTTAAGAAATGGAACTGAAATTATTCGAGCCCATTTTAGAAGGTCTCGTAACTTTTCTTTTTGTACATACAAGATCTGCTTGCTTGAGTTTGAATACATGGCTGCATGTATTTTCTGCAAGAGGGGAGGCCCAAAGCTTTTGCAAGGACCTGTAGATGCTGTGGATGTTGAACTGCTCTGAACAATCGCTAACGAAATTTAATTTTGATGACATCTGTTGTAAAGGTGTGGCGTGAGGAGAGCACAGAGGTTAGGCTTGGCCAGAGTGGACAACAGGATCACTCTGACGGTAGCTTCTTGGACAGTGGAGTGAATGATTCTAGGAAGATGTACATAGATGTAATGGCACTTCAGACTCTACTGAGCGACTGTAGAACCTCCTCAGCCTCGCACCTTAGGTGGGTCCTTATTTTTCTACCTCTCAATTTTACCTGAAGTGACATTTAAACGGATCAAATTTTGCTTCATGCAGGGATGAACTTCTCCGACTTAGATCAGAAAATATGGAGCTTCGGGGTCTTCTGAAGGAACAAAAATCGGCTGAATGTAAAGAGAAAGAGAGCACTGATGCTTCCGGGAACAGCAGTGATGGACAGGCTGAACTGAGAAAGAGTGTGGAACCACCGCCAGCAGCTACTAAAGAGGACTCTAAAGTCATCAAACTTCAGAAAGAAAGGGGAAAGCAAAACTTCCTGCTGTCAGAGGGTGAGACCCTTGTGACCACTGAAAGCACTGCAGAAGAGATGGAGAGTTCAGAAATGAAGCCACACAGCAAGAACTCAAGGCAGCATGCTGCGCGACTCAGGGTGTGTGTTAGATTCTAGTTACAGTAGAAAAAAGCACAGTGTTGTTCCCAACTTCATTACTAACTGTCTGTTCCGTTTTTCTCCCTTTCAGAGTGGTGTCAAATCTCGCCTACCTGTTCCTGTGAGGCTGAGGATGGAGGCTAGCAACAACATCAGCAGTCAGTTTTTCAGCTCTGAACAAGATGATGAACATCAGCGCCTTAACTTGGGTGTCTGTGGTTCAGACCATCAGCCACATAGCGACTTTGACGCCGTCACGGAACCCCTACACAGCACTTCTGCTCCCTGCAGCCCCACTGGATCTGAAGCCAGAGCGCTGGGGGATCAGACCCAGAATGTTTCTGCTCTGTTCACTCAGCTGGAGCTTCTGCACCAGGAGTGCCAGGAGAAAGAGGCTCTGATCAACAAGCTGGGTGAGCAGCTTTCAGATTGGGAAGAGCTCCACGCTCAGCTTCAGGAAAAGGAGAGACTTAATCACCATTTAACAGTGGCCTTACAGGCTGCTCAGTCCACCATCGCTTACCTGACCGCCTGCAGTCTGGACAGCCAGGGGGGATTTGTTTCAGGGTCTGGTTCGGATGCTGCCCTTCACAGTCAATGCTTAGAGCTTCAGAAAGCCTTACAGGAGAAGGAGGAGCTCAACAGCCAGCTGATCAACCTTTTGAACATGGCAGAGAGGATCTTTAACTCCAATCACCCCCAAGAAAAGAATCCAGAAATTCGAGACTTTTGTTTAAGAATAGAGGGTGCATTGGAGCAGTTAAATGCATCTTCAAATCAAGATGGCCCGAGAAGGGACCGCGGTGGCTCTGAGGACTCTCTGCATGCGTTACAGCAGCATGCGGACTCTTTGCAGAAGGCACTTTTGGAACAGAGCAGACTCAATGCAGAACTCCAGGAACAGCTGAGGGCTGCAAACGTGTCGGCGCAACGCAGCGACAGCGCCGACGGCGCCACCTCAAGGCTGAAAGATAAAACTGCAGAATCACTTGAAGAAGACGTGTCGAAAAAAGGCCACGGCACAACAGGGGGTTCCGAGTCTGGGCCTTTAAATGACGAGATGCTCCAAGTTCTGATGAGCTGTTTCAGTGCAGCGGAGTCCGCCGTTGCCTCTTTAGCAGCTCACTGTGCAAACACTGACGCGTTCCCGTCCAGGAAGTCATCAGGTATTGGCCCTGACTTCCACGTAAACTTAGACAAACTTCAGAGAGCCCTACAAGAAAGGAGGCGTCTGACAGAGCCTGCAACAAAATCCCACAGCAATGTGTCCCCTGTTCCCACTAAACCAGAGGGCCACAAGCTCCCTCAGGATCTGCTGCTCCTCCACAAGGTCTGCAGTGATCACTCTCAGAGGTTGTCGGACCTCCAGGCTTCCCTGCATGAGGAGAGGGGCTGCAGAGGGGAGAGCGAAGCCCACAGGCCGGTGCACGATGCCAGAGGATTACCACCAAGTGTCCAGGTCCAACTGGAGACTTTACATAAGGCTCTAAGGGAGAAGAAGAAGGCGTGCAAAAGCTTGGAGGAGAAACTGGCCTCCGCTCTTACCAAGGCGCCCGAAACTGCACATAAAGGTTAGATAACATCCTGATGCGTTCGCTTCGGGTTCTGTTCAACAGTTGGAATTATTTGTACTGGATATGTGTTTTGATTTTTTTTTTTTAAACAAAAAACATTTGTTAATCAAAGCCCATAATGAAAGGAAGTAAGATTCAGTGTGCTTTCAATGTTTTCTTTCTAACTTGAAATATATTGCTTTCAATGCCAGCTCCTGAACAGGGAGACAAAGGAGTGCAGGTGGATTTGCAAGACCTGGGTTACGAAACCAGTGCCAAGAGTGAGAACGATAGGGAAGAGAACAGTAGCACAGGTAGACAGCCTTCAGGCAGACTGCTGGTCTGGCCTCTGAGTGGACACTAATCTCCAACGCAGATAGGTTCTGTCAATATCTCTGCATGAGGCGGCACAAATGGTGGTTTCTGTCTAACTCTCATAACACACACAGTCTCTTTTCTGGTTTCTTTGGATTTTTTCTGTACTGTCCACCAGATTTGAATTGGCTGTCAATGTAATTTTTGCATTGACACATTTCTTGCATGTTTAAAGTCAAGTTTTGAGAATATCTTTCGAGCACTTATTAACCTCTCACTTTAATTTCTTGTCTTAAATTGGTGTAGCTTCACCTTCAATTGTCTGTGTCCACTCATGAAAGTTTCACTTCCAGGGATTTGTGCCTTTGGTTTAATGTCCCCGCCTCTCCTGTGTGGCAGATCTGGAGGTGGGTGTGAACCCCAGCTGCAGCAGCTCCAGCCTGAAAAATGAGCCGGCAACCTTCTCCTCCACTGAAAATTTGGACTCCACTTCCAGCACGCCGTACCCCAGTTCACCGGCTCTCAGCTCCGCTAAAGTAAGCATCCTGTCCTCCAATAAAAGAATATCAGCTGACCTGAAATAGAGCAACCCTTTTATTAACAACTGTTTTTCACTATAGCTCGACCTAAAACCTGTAACTGCGTGTTTTTAGGTTAGTCTGAAAAGTCTGCAGGCATATGATGAGTATGGCGCATCTGAGGACCCTCTCCAGCTTCGGGCACAAGTCAGAGAGCTGAAGGCTCAGCTGGAAAACCAGACCAAACTCATCCTTCAAATGCAGAGCCTCCAGCGCAGGAGCTCTCCCTTCGCCGACCCAGTCGCCGTTGCTTCAGACCCATCCGTCACCAGGGAGCAGGAAGCCGCGCTCCGAATGGACCGCAGCCAGGAGAGGAGCTACACAAGCGGGAAACTCGGGGAGAAAAAGGAGCGTGCGAGCCATTCGGCGAAGGAAGCCTGCCCTCTGAATCCAGATGCACAGAACGACAGGAACAAAGCACAGAGTGACCATCTGCAGCAGAGCCGCAGCCGCTCCACTTCACCCGCCAGGTCCTCCTCCTGTTCAGCGCCCGATTCAGAGTCCATTTTATAAGCTGCGAACTCTGTATTTAAATTAAACCTTGGGCAGATGTCGCCAGCTGTGTTGATTTTTGGTTCTGTCCTTTCCACAGACTGGACTCTCTGGTCCAGTCTCAGGCCAGAGAGCTGTCCCAGCTCAGGCAGCAGATCAAGGAGAGCCGCAAGCTGGGAGCTCTGCAGCGCCGGCAGCTTGAGGACCTGAGCAAGGCCTTCAAAGAGCTGCTGCACGCTGGAGAAGTGGACTGCTACATGGGCGAGGTGGTCAAAACCCAGCTGGACAAGAGCCTGAGCATCCTGGACCGACTGGAGGGCCGGCTGGACAGAGGTAGCTGCTGCCTGCAGAAACCATCAGACATGAATTCCTCTGCTCATGGCAGAGTTATGTGTTAACCACAGAACACACAGGCTCATACATGGTGTTTATCAATGGGAAAATGTCACATTTGTTAAATGTTTAAATCGATCAAGAGGAAAACGGAAACTGCTGGACGAAAAGAGGATAACTGACCAGACCAGCCGTCTGTAAGTGATGTGCCCTGACAGGTGTGTGACAGGTCCTTTTCCTCTGTCTTACAGGAGACTCTCATCTGGATAATGAAGACGGGGCGGCTCTTGATTTGTCTCGCAGGTACGGCTCTTTCATCCTCTGTGACCCCAGAAAGGCCCATATCAATTCCTCCATGTTCAGTAAAAGTATTTTTAAGATTTCGGATAGATTTTTAAGGTCAATTCTTGAGGAAAATTCTGTCTCCAGACCCTTTGTGGACAAAGTCTGCGAATATTTCATTTTTATATAGGTTGATAATGTTCATAATCCTAAAATGTAATAATTCCAACCAAATAAATAGCTTAGATATTTCTAATGTTTTAGATTTGATCTTTTTCAAGTGTTGCTCTTATATTTTATTTTAGCCATAATCTTTTTGTCTGGGTTTGCTGTCCATGCTGTTTTGATGTCTGTCCCATGACCCTCTTAAACCTCCCCCACAGCTCCTGGCAGCCCCTTGGCTTACGACCCCGGGCTCAGTGTTGTTTTAATGGCATTATGCTGTTGACCCAGTTTCATCTGTCTGCCAAAACATTAAGGCCAGAGCCCCTAACTGGGTCACTGGTGTCTGTTAGAATGTAGGGATAACTTGACAGAAATTTGGGCCCATTCTAATGCGCTCTAAAAACTTTTAAATGTGATTACAATTTTTTTTGTATTTTTAGCTTTTCTGATTTTTCAAAAACAGTCATCATATTAGGCTGTGACTAACATGAGCACCTCTTGCTGCCGCTTCAGCCTTCAGCGGGCAGCGCGGGCACCTCCCTCCTATGAGGAGAGCCTAACAGACCCCTCTGACAGCCTGGCTAGAATCCAGCAGGACATAGATTACCTGCGTCTGGAGCTAGAAGGCGAGCGCGAGCTGCTGCGGCAGCACACGGGTCTGCTGGTCCAGAAAAACCTCACGCTGGCCCAACACACCAGGCAGCAGCTGGACCTGTGAGTCGGTTCCATCCGGACCCACAGCATGGCGTTCTCTGGGTGCTCTGACGTGTTCCGTCTGCGTGTGTTCACCAAAACCTGCTGAGCAACAATGCAACTTCTGGAGTTATCTTTCCTTTCCTGGATTTTGTTTCTTCTTTTTTTTGTTTTCTTTTTTTGTGAGTGGCGTTTTCACTCTCCCATGGAGTTGATCCAGCTGGTTCATTAATTTTTGTGTCCTCCCAGGCTGGCCAAGGAGCTGCAGGAGAAGAATAGAGTAATCCAGAGCCTCCAGAGTAGGGTCAGAGGCCAGAGCCAGCACAGTTCTATCTCTGACCTTCACCACTCCTCCTCCTCCTGCCACAGCAGCCCCTCCGCACACGGTGGCAGCCGAGCACACGGTGAGAGCTTACAGAGACGGACTCCGTTTGTCTTGAATATCACTGGTGTTAGCAGCTCCAGACGGCTATAATGTTCAGTAGAGGATTCACTGGAATTCCTTCATTAAAAATGCATATGTTCTCTGTCTTTCTTAGAGGAGTGGCATTGATATTGCTTCAGGGATTATTTGTGGGCGCAGCCTGCCTAGTTTTCTGCCTGTAATGGCACTTATTTTCCACTCAGATCCATTGTGATGCAGTGAGGCCTGCTTCACGACAAAGCAGGCTCACCAAGAGCAGAGCCAGTGTTCAGTTTCAGCCCGCCTCCACTTAGAGCTGCATTATTCATTGATACCTATCCGGTTAAATCCTCAAATTGGATGTCCCTTGTGGGAAGATGTAGCAAAGAACCAGTGAATGACCTCCCGGTTCACCAATTATATCAAAGACAAAGCATAATGTTTTAATTTCAGGATTTCATGAGTAATAATGAGGGCCAGGAAGAAGGTTTGTCACATCAGGAATAACTCTTTTTGGATTTGGGTTATTTTTGTGTCTCTGTCCACCTTTGTGTTCAGGCCAGCAGCCCCGCTCTGACTGGACAGGAGGAGCTCTCCCTACTGTGGGCGGGGCTCAGGAGGAAGGCGTGTCGGGCCGCAGGGAGGCGGTCAGCAGACTGGAGGGTCTGCAGAGGGAGAACGGACGGCTGCAGGAGCAGCTGAGGAGCAGCGAGGACCTCAATGCCACCCTGCGCTCTGAGCTGGACCTGCACCGCTCCATCATGGCCCAGACCGGCCCCGGAAGTCCGGAAAAGGGTCCAGGCCCAACCCAGCAAGGCCCAGAGGCCCAAACAGCTGCCTCTCAACGAGATGGAGACATCGGCCCCCATGAAGGTCCTGGAGAACAGTCCCGCTCTCTGAATGCAGGTAAAAAAGATTGGACTTTGGTAGTTCAAAAACTTTACGCTATTTAAAAAGGAACACAACTTTTACTCTCATATCACCTAAAGCCTCATTGTAACCCAGGCTAAATGTGTGTCTGTGCAGTCTCAAAAATTCTGCTCGCAGTGTGTTTTTAGAGATAATCACTGATAGAGTTGCAGCTTGGATGCGTTTTCAACTTTTTTTTCTAATATGGCTAAGCATCCTTTTATTGAGAGTTGTGCCTCTGTTGTTTCTAGACCTGCTGGCAGAACATCTGCAGGAGATCAGAGCTCTGCGACGACGCCTGGAGGAGAGCATCCGCACCAACGACCAGCTGAGGGAACAGCTGGAGAGGAGACTGGCCGAGGTGGAGAAAGACCCAGGTACACTGAGCATCACCCACTGCCTCATCCGGCGTTTGGTCCTTATCGGCTGCAGACGTGTCTGATGTGTCCGGGCTCTTTCAGCGTCCACCAACATCTTCATCCAAGGCAACGAGGACCAGGGTCAGCTGGCCAACGAGGTGCGATTCCTCTGGGAACAAAACCAAACCCTGAAGGAGCAGCTCAGCATGGGATCCAGAGGTAAGACACACTCTGTTTTTCATTATTCTATAATCGCTGCTCCTGGACTAACAGTTGCTCTTTTTTTCTTTAGATAAGCAGAAAGAGAACGAGAAGCTCCGGGAGACGCTGGCCAGGCGGGCGGCCAAACTGGAGCAGAGCAGAAAGGACTGCGAGGCCCTGCGGCAGGAGAACCTGCACCTGCAGGAGACGCTTAGGCAGCAGAGCCAGGAGCAGGCGCTGCTGCAGGACGCGCTGCGCCTCGGCAAAGAGGAGCTGCACAGGTGAAACACCAACGCAGTCATTACCGCTTCCCTCCGAGCAACCCGAACCCTGCAACTGCCTCTAATTACCATTCCACACACTCCTGGCCGTTATCATTATTCCATAGCATTAGTACGGCCGTGAAACCCGAGTCCATCACGGAAGGCTCATCAAAGAGCACGGCCGCGCACAAAGTGGTGTAATCATAGTATGTGACCTCTTAAACCCTCGTTCCACTGACACAGCCCAGTGCGGCTGCAACTCAAAACCAGGAGTCCAGTTTACGGCCGGCTCACGTGTCCTCTCCCTTTCGACCTCCTCCGTTTCAGTTTTAAGTCGGGGGGCCTAAAGCGAATCACATAAAACATCCTCCTGTAGGACTTAGATCTAGGAACTATGAAGTGGAGTTTGAGCTGTCACGATAAAGAAAACAAACATGTAAAGTAAGCAGCCTCTGTGACTACAGCCGAGGATGCACACACACAGGAAAACCTTTTTTATTTTTACATAAACCCAGATTACTGTTTTGCTGCTAACCTTTGGGCTTTTTCTCCTCAGGTTGCAGTGTGAGGTGAAGCTCCAGAGGCAGCAGCTGTCCGACTCCCAGCACCTCCTCCAGTCTCTGCGGGTGGAGCTGCACGTTCACGAGAAGATGAGGAAGGATTCCAGCAAACACGACGGTACCAGTTTGGTTTGAAAATCTCCGAGCGGAGGGCGGCATTACTGAACGTTGAGGGACGCACCAGTTTCAAAAGTGTTTAGTTTCGGTTTCTTTCCCCGGTCAGAGTCTCCTGCGGCGCCCCCCCCCGGCCCGGTGGACCTGGCCGAGCTGCTGTCGGAGATCCGGCACCTGCGTCTGCAGCTGGAGAGGAGCATCCAGACCAACACGGCCCTGCGGCAGAAGCTGGAGGAGCAGCTGCTCCGAGGAGCCGCTCGCTCCGAAACCATCAACATCAACTACCTGCTGTCGTCTGCAGGTGAGAACAAACCCTCCCCCCCCCCACACCCCCCCCCCCACCCCCCCCCGCCCGCCCCGCCGGCGCAGGCCTGCCAGCGCTCAGAGGACTCAGCTGCTTTGTGCTGTTGTTGTAGAGGAGGGAGGCAGGTCGCCGGGCCGGGAGGGCTGTGAGCCCCAGCGCTCGCTCAACAGCGAGCACGCCAGCACCCTCCATGGTGAGACCAGCCGCTCCACACGTCCAGTTTAGGAAACTAGACGTGAAGTTATCTAGAAGACGTTTGGCCTCTCGTCCAAGAGGCTTCATCGGTTCTAACTGATGGTGGGGAGCTCTGAGATGGATATACTGTAGGTGGAACAAAAGAATAAGGGGGGAAAAAACTTAACCAAAAGGAGGCTCTGATACCGGCTGGTCGGGCCACAGAGGTCACCTGGGGGGGTTAATGGTCGTTAGGGGTTTCTGATGGGTTGTCGACTCCCTCGTCAGAGTGGTTTCGGTCACATGGCTGTTTGAAGTGAGGGCAGGTGAGAGATGGATCCTCTTCAATGAGAGGCCAAACGTCTTCTGGAAAACTTCCCATCCTGCTGAACTTAAACTGAACTTTCCAAGCTTGACCAGGACCTGGATGACTGGGAATCTGCTGGTTTTTCTCCTCAGACGTGAAGCGCTCCGCCCGCTCGGACGGCGGCTCGGTCAGCAGCGGCTCCGGCGACAGCGCCTCGGCCGCGCCCTCCCGGCTGGTGCCCGGCCACAGAATGTGGGCCAATCGCAACGGGCGCCACGTGCTGGGCCTCATTGAGGACTACGAGGCGCTGCGCAAGCAGATCGGGGAGGGCCGCAAGCTGGCGCGCAGCATGGACGCCCAGCTGGAGCAGTGCGCGCTGACCCTCAGCCAGCAGGCCGCCGGCGGCAAGGTGCCCGCTGACCCCGGAGCGCACGCTCACGCCGCCGCCCCGAGGCGGTCAGCAGGGCTGACGCTGCCTGTGTGTGTGTCTGCAGGCGGAGCAGCAGCTGAGGAGCCTGGCGGCCAGCAGCAGCACCATGCTGACCGTGCTGGAGGAGGCCGGCCGCCTGCTCAAGCTGCTCTGGAGGGTGGCCCCGCCGGCCGGGTGGACGCCAGCCGACGGCAGCACCGGCCAGCAGGTAGATCTGACCCGGCCAACCCCCACTCCTCTTCCTCATCCCGGACCTGTGCGCATAACCTGCCGCTCTCCCACCCGTTTCAGGACGAGCTGCTGAAAAACGAGATCGCCCGCCTGAAGAGCCGGCTGAGCCAGCAGGAGAGGATGCTGAGCGGAGCCGTGAAGCGCCTGCGCTCCACCAACCAGCTCAAGGAGGGCATGGAGAGGGTCATCATCGACCAGTGTACGCACTCTGAACAGATCCTGTCCTTGTTTTGGACCTCTCAGCTTGTCGAGTGTTTCTATAGTAACTGAAAAGTCTGGATTTGATTCACATGTGTCTTTTCCATCCTCGTTGCAGTGTCTCTCACACACGGCGTGCTGAAGAAAGCCAGAGGCAATCTAGAGGTAAGTCCACCCAAAAAGCTGCAGCCCACCTTACAGGTGTGGTGCTGGTGTTCCGGTCCACAGCAGTGAATCGCTCTTCTTCTCCTTCTGTCCTCCCTCCGAAACAATGGTAGACAAATTACTGTGCCCTCTTGGGCATGAAAGGCCCGCCTGGAGGAGCAGGTGAAGGTTAGTGCGGTTCTGCTGCATGACGTCTGAGCCACAGCACGACCCGTTTGTGTTTGTGTTCATCAGGCAAAACCCAGTTTGACCTGCACTGAATGTGGGATGGATTTATGATGCATGAGGAGCCGTTTTTTTTTTCGACTTCAAGAAAAGTTTGATATTTTGATCAAAGGATTGCAGCCGTTGTTTAACGTGTGGTTTTTACTCTTCGTAAAGCTGCTGTTTTGATCAAAATGTCTAATTATCCCTAAAATGAACAAGGAGCCAGATGCACGTGTCTATTTTCTCCTGCATGTCTGGTCAGTCAGCCATTTTTCTTTTTGTTGCTGAATTTCACACTCTGCTACAATCTGTCCCCATGTTCTGTTTCTCAGGAGGTGCCGGTGAATGGCCAGTAGTGGACACTGCAGCCCCCCCGGAGCAGAGGGGCGTCCCCGTTTCCAGGCGGACTCTACGGAGAAGCTCCGCGTCGTCAGGAGACCGAAGCAGCGACTGAACACATTCAGACGTTTTCCTGCTGTAAAATGATCCCAGAAATCAAACACTTTTTTAACCTTAATTGCACACGTTTGCCTTTTAAAGATTTACTTTTGGTACTGAAGTTGTAAAAGTTCCTTTAAAAAAAGAGAATGCCTTTGTAAATAGACCCTACAAGTTTAATATTTTTTTTCTTTTATCCTTTTATATGATGCGTATAGAAAATGTATTTTATTACAGAGTAGTTTTGTTTTCACCTGTCCGCTCATGTAAAGACTGTTTGGGGAATAATGTGCAAATGCAGTACAGATAAATATCGAGGTGAAACCTTCCAGTCTGCAGCAGTTTGATTTGAACATCTAGACATCACCCCCCCATGTGGTACAAAGGTCCCTTTTTATTGGCATATACATTTTCTTAAGTACAAATCTTGGCAGCCACTTCAGAATGTTTACACAGAACAAATGCAAAAATAGCTCAAGAAGGGAAACGGAAGTGAAATAGAAAAGAGTGATGGCTCTACCACATTCAGTAAAACAGATATTAAACATGTCGGGTTGCTGTTATCAGGACCTATAAAACTAGGCCTGGGGAGACGGGCCAATCGGAGCTCTGCATCTTTAATTGAACACTGGTTGTGTTCTCGGAACGTTTTATCTTACAGTGAAATTTTGGCACCTGTTGAACATCGTCGCAGTAAACGGGCGCATTTCTCTGACTTGAACCACAAATGTTTGGGTCCGGTTTTCTTTCCTTTAACCCTGAATGAACTACTGGTATGAAATTGTGACCTTTTGGAGGAGGGGGGGCAGAAAAGGGAGGGAAGTCATCTATCTCTGTACGAGTCTGACGAAGGCCTGGACCAGCTGGATGATGGGCTCCTGGCCCTCGTGGCTCACCTTGGAGCCCGGGGTGGAGGGCTTGGCCTGGGTGGAGGGGAGGATGCCGCTGGCCGGAGACGAAGGGGAGCCCCTCCGGAAGTGGCGGGACAGGCTGGAGAGGAGAGTGCTCTGGGGAAGGAAACAGAGAAGGGAATTACTCCCGTGGTTTGCTTCCGAGTGAAATGTAAAGAAACTATTTTCTGCTGGACGATTGGCATGTGTGGGACGGGGGGGGCATTTCCTTTTTCAAGAGGATGAAATCTGATCGTTCTGTGAGGCAACGCGTCAAAAAAAGGCCCTCATCTCACCAGCTCAGAGCTGAGCTCCTGCTTCAGCCTCTGTTTGTCTCGGGGGAGGATGGAGGAGTCTTTTAGACATCGAACGGCCTGAGAGATGAGGACGTAGAAGCAGTTCTCCATGGTGAACATCAGCAGGGACCTGAGGAGGAGAGAGGATGAGGGATGGCCGTCGTAGAAACTCATGGATTCAATTTGGTTTTAAAAGTAAAGTTTCGGTATTTACTCACTTGAGAGCCTGGATCTCCTCCGATGAAGCCAGTGAGACGATGCTGAGAGAAACCGGCTCCTTCTTTTTCTCCATCTGTAAATGAACAGCCTCATGGTCAGGAACCCGCCCTGCTCAGGGCCTGCGGCTGGCGTTGGTCAGCGGCTCGGCTCTACCTCGCTCAGCATGCTCAGGGCCACGTTGATGGCGGCCAGCAGGGTCCCAAACGAGGGGGCCACGTCCGGGTCGAAGGCGGGGGTGGTGAAGCTGAGCACGAACAGGGTCCGGTACTCCGCCAGGTCCATACACTGACACACACACACACACACACACACAGAGGGTAAGCGGCGGTGATACAGATGTGGAAAGCAGCTGTATGTGCGGGGGGGGGCTCACCTGGTCCAGCAGGATCTGGCAGCAGTCCGGAGTGAAGTGGCGCAGAGTGGCCAGCGTTTTGCTGAGTATCTTCAGAAGGCTGCACTGCACGGCCAGCAGCGCCTTCTGCTCAGCCTCCTCCCTGTCGCCGCCCCCCCCCTCTCTTCCTCCTCCTCCTCCTCCCACCGCCGCCGGTGGCGTCGCCTCTTTGGACGGGGTCTGGGGGGTCCGCTGCGCTCTGGGGAGGGGGCCGGGAGGCAACGCCTCACCGTTCTTAGCCTGGGGAAATTTAAAAAATGAGCACCGAGCTGCGGACTTGTTAGCCGTGCGCGTTAGCGGCGTGGGCCCACCTGGAGGTAATGATGCAGCATCTTCTTGCTGTGGAGCAGGTAGGTGCAGGTCTGACACAGGTAGCACAGGTTGACCTGCACAGAGGAGGCAGTCCACCTTCAGACCAACTGAAGCCGGACTCGTTTTGCCTGTTCCCCCCCTCCCCACTTACTCCCCCCTCCCCACTTACTCCCCCCCCACCCGTTCCCCCCCCTACCTGCACGTCTCTGAGCAGCTTGGGCAGGTGGAACTGCCACTCCTTACAGAAACCGGAGAGCTGGAGCAGGAAGCCGACGGTGTGGTCCGCCTCGTCCAGGCAGGCCAGACTCTGGACGGTGCGCACGGCGTTCAGACACTAAGTGGGCACAACAGATGGGGGGGGGGTTGTTAGCCAGGCCCTTACATTCATTTAGTGCCTCATTTCACCCCGAATCCTCATCAAAACCACCAGTAACAGTGTGGAGGGGCTCAACTAGCCGGGTTCACCGTTTTTTGGGGCGTCGGCCGTACCTGCAGGATGCGCTCTTGGTGGACTCCCACAAAGTCCAGGGCTTCGTTGATGAAGTTGTAGCGCAGAGTTTTGAGGAGGCTCTCCATCAGCGACATGCAGAGGCGGTACACGCCCGGCCAGCAGGCGGAGTCCTGGGACTTCCGGGAGAAGCTCTGCTCAGAGACACGTGGCAATCGTCTAAAAAAACAACCGCACCAGCCCCTAAAGCCCCCCCAGCGGCCGTCTCTCACCTGCACGGCGCCGCTGGATGAGACCTCGTAGACGCTCAGCAGAGGGAGGCAGATGGTCTGAATGACCCCCGCTCCGGCCACCGCTGCCGCGCCCTGGAAGGGAAGAGGAAAGTTTAAAAAAAGAAAAGGAAGGAAAAAGGTCAGCGCCCTCCGTTTGTGTGAGAGCGGGTTTTAGAGGCGTGCGTGGGCGGGGACCTGGGGCGTGCGGGCCAGCGTGAGCAGCAGGTGGAGCGCGGCCTCGGTGAAGAACAGGTTGTGTTTGGAGCGCAGGCTGAGCTCCACGGCGCTCAGCACCGACGGCAGCACCGGGACCCTCCTCATCACCGACACCCAGTGCTCGCCGTCCTCGTCGGTGCGGCACAGCTCCTTCGCCAGGTGGAGCGCCAACACACACACCTGATAAAAAACAATAAAAATAAAAAGGAGAAGAAGAAGAGAGGTTCCTTAGCCCGACCTCCTGGGGCAGAATCGAGCTAATCCCGCTGAGCGTCCGGGGCTCACCCCGTCCTTCTGGTCCTTGTGCGGCCCGCGGGGGGAGTCCGTCTCCATGCTGTCCTCGTCCTCCGGCGCCGCCTCGGCCGGCTGGCTGGCGTGGCGCGTGTTGTCGATGAGCACCAGAGCCTCGTCTTTCACCGTCTCACACACGGACAGCAGCAGCTGGGGCAGCTGGGAGATGTCGCCGCCTGGGGGGGGAGAGCAGAGAGGAGAGCCAGGTTTGAAGGGGTTCGGGAAAAATTTAAAGGCTAACACACATTTAACGCATCTTAGAGAGGAAAATAAGTCACCCAGAGGTCTGCAGCAGTATATTTTGTCATTTCTTTCAAACAGATTTGGACTTGGAATTTTTTTTTTTTTTTTTTGTGTCCCCAGGAGGGTGGGGGGGGACGCATACCGTTGAGCCCCTGGATCTGCAGCACCGAAATGAGGGCGGAGAAGAGTTTGGCTTTGGTGCGCTCCATCATCTGCTGGTCAGCTTGCAGGACGTTCTCCAGAATGAGGGACAGGGGGGACAGGAGGTCGGGGGCGGCTGCTATCACACTGGAGGGGAGGGGAGAGGAGAGCACTTTGTTCAAGAGAGGCCGCTCAGAGTTGGTCAGAGTCCTCCTGCCGGCTAAACTCCCCACACCTCTTCCACTGTTTGAGGAGGACGAGCAGCAGCGTGGTCATCATGGAGCCCAGACGAAGGCAGGGCTCGGACATGGGGGAGGTCAGCTGGGGGGAGACAAAAAGAGTGAGGAAAAACATTAAAAAACAGCAGGAAAAAAGCGACAGAGAACACGACTCACAGCGGCTTTGGTCCCGTCGAGCACGTCCATGAAGAGCGTGAGCTTGGTCGCGTCCTCCGTCAGCTGCATCACGTCGGCCTGGAGACGGCAAAAGGAGCCATAAGAAAGAAGAAAAAATAATAACAGCTCCATTTATGCTATAATCACTGAATTTAATATCACCTCAGCCTCAGACACGCATGGCTGGCCACGTTAGGAACGACCAAACTAAACCAAAAACCCTCCAAACCTCAAATCATTTAAATAAACCGCCTTTACAGAACAAAAGCCAGAAGACGTACGTGACTGGTGGAGAGAATCAGCAGCATCCGCCAAGCGGAGATCAGCATCTGGGTCTCTGGTAGGTAGCAGATGCCCTCCTCCTCCGCCTCCGTCACGTGGCACACCAGCGACTTCACGTACTGGGACCAGTACTCGTAGCGCCGCGCGTTGGAGAACTTTTGAAGGCCGTCCTTTAGAGACTGCTCCAGGGAGCCACTGCAACAGCAGAAAAACGTGAGTGTGTGTGTGTGTGTGTGTGGGGGGGGCATCCATTAAGGGATGGGAGCTTTCCCTGGCAGTTCCGGACGCTTTGAGGGTCCTCTCTGGACTCACCTGACGACGTAGTAGATCTCCAGGCCGATGATTTTCATCACGAAGGCGCAGGTCTCCAGAACGCACGGCTGGGGAACAAATCAGAAGCCTTAGAGCGGACACGCCCCCCCCTGCTCACAGTGGGATGAGAGGAGTGGAAACGGGGCAAACCTCTGTGGTGTCTGAAGGAGGGGTGAGGGTCCCAAAAAGAGGTGTGGTCAAGTTCTCCCAGAATCTTGCTCTGTAACAAAAAACAGACACCAGGAATGCTTACATCACATCCACACTTCAGCCCCCCCCCCCCCCCCCCCCCCCTCGGACAGTGAGCATACTTGGTGCGCAGGACGGAGATGGCGCTGTCTCTGCGGTCCTGCCAGAGGGCCAGGAGGAAGGCGAGGGCCGCCCGGTGGAGCAGGGGGGGGCACCAGTACTTGCCCTGCTGTTTGGAGTCTATCAGGTCCAGTACCACGTGGAGGCAGCTCCACTCCCCCAGCAGGAACTCCTCCGAGGAGACAAACGACAGACCGGTCACCTCTGGACTCGGCTGGGCTGAAGATGAACAGGGGGCCCCGCTCCGGTCCGGTCCTACCTTTGAGCCTTCGCTGCCGTCTTTCACTTCCAGGTTGAGGAAGAGCTCGATGAGGCCCGGCTGGGTTTCCACGGCGACGGTGAGGAACTCCAGGATCATGACTTTGATCCTCATGTCCTCCGTCTTGCTCTGCAGCCGCGTCAGAAAGGCGTCCCTGATGGCGGCGGCGTCGCTGCCCAGGCAGGCGTACACGGACATGGGAGCCACCTGGAGGGGGGATGGGGGGGGGTTTAGCATACCCGTTAGCCCGCCGGCCATGGTCCGGACGCCCGCCGCCCTGGACTTACCGTGGCGAGCCTCTTGAGCAGCTGGATGGCGAGGCGGGGCAGCGCCGGGTCGTGCTTGTGGTAGATGTATTTGGCCAAGACCACGATGAGGTTGTTGCCGTGGCCGCTGTGCTGCGTCAGCGCCTGCTCCAGCGGGGACACGGCGTCGGACGGCGGCTTCAGCCGGATGACGTTGTTGGTGACCGAGAAGGCCAGCTTGACCGTCTGGATCAGGATCTGGCCCGGGCCCTCGGAGCCGCAGCTGCACAGCAAAACAAGCAGGGAGAAGAAGCTGCTCGGTGAAACCAAAAAAACAATCTAAGACGGTAAAATGTGAGCGGGACTGGCACGGAAACTCCATTGACCTGCTGGGCTGTGCGGCCAGGACCACGTCTATGGTGTCCACTCCCACTCCCATGATGTTGACCACCGCCTGTCCGGCCTCGGTGTTTGCCAGGCTGTAGATGCACAGAGACTGCAGGGTGGGAGTGCTGCAAAAAAAAGAAAATAAGAAAGAAGAAAGTGTTATTTCATGGTTCTTTTCTCAGCTGTTTGCTCAGGACACACACACACACACGGACACACACCTGCCCTGCTCCTCCCCCTCTGGGCTCAGGTTGAGGATGGCGTGGATCAGCTCCAAAATCAGACAACCTGCAGCAACAGAAAAGCCGAGTCTCGTTCAGTTTTTGCTCAATTCTCCCCTTTTTGAGGAGGAAAAACCAATGCACCGCTGCAGCCTTCACCTATTCGCTCCCGGACGCCGTAGGTGTTGTAACGCCACTTGTGGTAGGTGGGCAGCATCTCCTTCAGCACCAGCAGCACGCAGGGGATCAGGCCTTTGTTCTGAGTGCTTCCCAGCTGACCCTGAAAATAGCGATAAATGACGACCGTCTGCAGGACAGAAAGCAGACTCTCTGAAAATAACCCGTGCTTACCTTAACCAGGGTGGTGAGGAGGCGCAGGAATGCGATGGTCACAGCATACTCCCCCCTGGGCTGCTCAATCTGGACCAACAGGTTGCCGTAGTTACCTGCCTTCATCCCTTCAGCACTAGGGGAGGAAAAAAAATATCTGTTTCATTAACTGTCACCCAACGAAGTCTGAAATTTACCAGAGAAATTAAACAGCGGGCTAAACTGTAGCTTGGGGCTTTTTAACTGTACCTGACACACTGAGCCATGCTCGTCAAAGGGTTGGAGGCAAAGGGGAGGAAACCCGTGTGATGCAGGCTGGACCACACCTGCCAACCCACAAAACGTCGTATTAAATTCCACGAGGAAGATCTAAACTTCCGATTCCACCTCCTGTTCACATGGAAGGACGCCACTCGCTCACCTTTCCTGGCATCCTTGCAGCTAGTACGGAGAGGCAGTTCACACAGGAGGCAATCACATCCACGGGGGGGTTGATGACCGCCGTTAACCTGACAGAGAGGATAAGTCTACCTTACAGACGAAGAGCGGAGCGGTAAATAGGGCCTCGGCAGTGTCAGCTAACCTTTGGAGCAGCATGTAAATGCGAGAGGTGAGAGGCAACAGGCAGTCGGACACCGTCCAGTCGGTGCTTATGACCTTATGGACCAGATCCAGGATGGGCTTCACACGCGCACACTGAGCTATAACATCTGCAGGAAAACAAAGGTTTTAATCATGTTTCACTAGTAAGTGCGAAAAGAAGGTTGACAACCATTTCCTTGTTTTTAAAAAATACATTTTATGGTCTCTTTCCTCAGGTATCAATACTGAGTGAAATAAAATACATAAAATCATCAGCGAAAATATTTCCCAGTGACCTTAGATCTTATCTGCTGCTTAAAACATTAACATTTCCTTTTTAAATCCCAACAAAGCCACTCAGAACATTTCACTTCATAAACGCACTGAATGCTCAGCTAAAAACAGTCCATGAAGGTCCCCATGTGCCTCTTAATTGAAAACAGAAAGGGTGCCCTGTGTGTACCTGCGGTGGAAACCACGTGGAGCAGCATCTCCACCTCACAGGTGAATAGAGTCCAGGAGCTGTAGGAGTGGTCCCAGCGCACCATGTAGCCCTGCTCCCCGCCAATGACCACCTGACCCAGCACGCCCTGCGGCAGCCACAGGTTAGTCTGCCCGGAACCTGAGGGGTGGGACAGAAAGCGTAAAAAGACTCAGTCAGAAGGTCAACATGTGGTAATAACAACAAAAATAAATCAAACTAACCGAGAGGATAAAGGAGTTTTGGAGTTTGTCTCCTCCACAGCGTCTCGTCGTCATTGGAGATGATGTCATTGGGCTTATGTTTGTAAACTTGTGTGTAAAATGACATCTTGTCCAAGAAGTTGTACACCTTTCACAAAAAAGAGAGAGGGGGATTAAATGAGAAAATCCTGGGCGGATCACAGTCTGCTCGGGTACCGGACTGACCTTTTTTACGCTGGACTTATTGGACACAAGCGCAGTCAGGAGCTGCAGCAGGGGTCTGATCTTATGGGGGAACATCCCCACCGCACTGTCCAGAATCATCCCCAGGCCCATGTTTGGCTTCTGGATCATAATGAAAAACAGACTAGAAATCTTTGTCGCTCTTATCCCCTCCATTACCGAGAACTTTTAATTGGCACGTCTCTTCTCACCATCTCCCAAAAGACTTCGGCCAGACTGGGAGCGGAGAGGACCTCGCAGGCGGCGTCGATCAGGTGGGACGACTGCGACGCCACGCCGTCGGTCTGTCAAAGCAGCGGCACGCGTTACCGGGGGAACCGGGTGTGTTTTTGGCTGAGGCGAGGCGGGCAAAGATCAGGCTACTGTACCTGCAGGCTCTCCTCTTCAAAGGAAGTGACCACAAATGAAAGGAGGCCATAAATGCACATTCTGGCTGTGCTGGCTGTGCACTGGAGAGAGGGGGAAAACATCCCATTAAAATCCCACGCAGCAGTCAGAAAGCAAATGTTCTGGACTAAAGCACATGCCGAATCATTAGAGAACCGCAGGAGAGGGCGTTTTTTGGCTCTGTGAGGTTATAAAAACGTGAGGTTTGGAGGGTAAACAAGGAGACTGTTTGTTTGCATTCCTTGAGCAAAGAACTCCAAAAAAAACAAAAAAACACCCTGATGGGGTTCAGCATCTTTATAAAAAATTTACATAGGTTTTCATTAAAAAAAATATCTTATTAAGTTTAAGCTAGATTTTCTTCGGGGGATAGAATTCTGGGGGAGGAGAACTTTATTTATTTTTTTAAATCAGATATCTTACGTTATTCCCAGAGACTCCGACCCCCTTCAGCATGGTTGAGAGGTACTTGAAGACCCCCAGCTGCAGGGCGGTGTTGCCTATCTTCCGGATCACAGGGCTGGACTCCTCTGGTCTCACCGTGTGTCTCAGCAGGACCCAGGCCAGTAGCACAGGGCCATGATGAGGGATGTCCCCGAGTGTCAGCAGCAGCTGATCCATCTCCTGGAGGAAAGACAAGCAAATATCCGAATGTCAGAAGGGTTCATCGGAGCCGTGGGAATTATTGCTTTGGGCTGCCTTGAGTGAATATTACTGTGGTAGTTGGAGTCAAACCTTAATGACGTCAGAGGCGCTGGAGAACTGGTGCTGCTCTGTGCACTCCTCCAGGGCACATTTGTGCAGGAAGTCGATGTCCATTCCCTCAACCAGGATGAGACAGCTCAAGTATCTGTGGGCCAGAAAAACACACCAGTAGTTTTTAAAAAAGACACTGAGAAACACTACTGAGGACAACATATTCTCCGAAAAAATATCCACAAGTTATCAGGTATGAAGAAAAAGGATCTTTCTGCAAAGTTTACCTTTAAATAAAAAGAGAAATTATTTAAAAAGGAATCCAAGTCTAAAACAACCACTAGTAGCTTTTATTTATGAAACAAACTAAGTAACAATGGTACTTAACAATTTCCACAAATATTTTATATTATATCAATATATTAAATATATATTATATCACTATCAATATTAATATACTGAACATTATATATATATTCAAATTAAAGGGATCCATCCAGTGATAGCAGAGGATTAGAAAAGCTGCTCAGGTGAGGCACATTGGGACTCATCAACTAAAGTGTCAGGCTGAATGATTCGTCATCCTTTCAACTGGAAGTCGTTCGTGGTCTTTACCCGATCCGGTCGACCAGGGCGTCCATGCTCTTGTCTACTAGGTGTCTGTTGGTCTGTCGCAAGCCAAAGCCCTGTTCTTTGAACATTTTGGTGAAGCTCAGAAGGTCGGGTGGGCTCATCTCGAAGTAGGCATAATAAAGGAAGATGATCTCCAGCAGCAGAGACTGTTCCCTGAGACACTGCAGGAACCAGCGGGACACCTGCCTCTCCGTCTGGACAGACAGACGGGAAAAAAGGAGCCGCGTTAACACACAGTGCTCAGACCACTGGCAGGAATTACCTTAAGTCCACCAACATTAATGTGTGAACCAAATGATTTTCACCATCAGGTTTCCGTGAGTTTCCCATGTTGGTGCCTCGGCCCTGAAGAGATTCTCAAACTGCGACTGGTAGCTGCTCACCAAGTCCTTCTCCAGCTTATTGACACAGTTACTGTATTCAGCCTGGACAAAAAAAATTACATTTTACATTAAGAAAGAAACAATGTAAAAGTAAAAAAAGAAATCCACCATCACTCACGCGATAGGGATGCCGCTCATCCTGGAAGTATGTCAGCAGGAGGAGAACACATCTGAGTAGACACATGCGCTCCTCATAGTAATAGTCAGCTATCTGTGAAACCAGACACACCTGCAGTTACACCTCTGGATTTAAAAACATGGAGGCATCGCCCTAATGCTGGACGCAGGTGCCCGTTTCACCTTTAGAAGGAGTGCCTGGCTCTGCCGCTCATCCTTAAGAACGACCTGATGAGAAGAGTTGAAAATGTAAGTAAGCCTCAATGAGCTATGCTCATCTGTTACCACTGCTGAATTTTCTTTAATATCTGTATAAAACAGTGGGCTAAAAACAGGTGAACAGACACCTTTAATGAATCGCGAGTCCCTCTGTAGTCCTCCTGCAGGTAGCACTGTAAAAGCTGCACACTCTGTTGTTCATCCAGATTCTGCGAGATTCACAAAACAACAAGTCATCATCACACTTCCAACAAATTAAAACAAAGCACAGTCTGTTACATTAAACAGCAGAAGTGTTACCAATAGTTTACTGATCCTTAGACCAAAGTCTTTCAGGGGCTGTGCAACATCTTTGTTGTCCTTCACTTTCCCAGCAGAGGATGAGCTGCAAAATATATACTGACATTATTCTACTTATTCTATTAACGACCATACGTTTCTCATTAAATAGTGTGAAGTGTGACAGTACCTGGGTGCTTTGTAGTAACTCAGTCCTTGATGGAGCCTGTCCCAGTGTTTGTCAAGCTCAGCCTCGATCTGAGCCTGCGGCCATCAAACGCAAAGAGCATATTCTCATTTTATGTTCAAACTTCAATGCCGACAGAAGCATCAGAAAAAAACAGACCAAACCATTCAATCTTAGTGAAAGAAGACATACCGGCTCCCTCAGTGCAGACCGCCCCAGCAGTATGGTCCATAGTTCTCGACAGCTCCTACAGGAAGCAAAGTGGTTTGTTTGTGTAAAGCAGGAATTATCAGTGATGTATCAACATTGTGCCAATGTGTCAAAATATATCAAGTCTTTTGAGAGCTTTCTCTCCGATATACTAAATTTGCTATCATTTCAGGACCTCTGATGATTCTTGATATGACAATATAGACATTGTAAGCCTAACACAGAATTACAGCACCACAATGTTAACCATGGTGGAAAAAACAAAATCTGTTGTAAACAATCTTGGTGTTTGCTTTTAAAAGAAAAAGATGTGAGCACTTCACATCAGACATCCTGGTTTTATACAAAGCTCTCCGATCCTCTATGTTCTGGATTCTTATCAGTGCCTGGCTAAAACAGCTAAAAAACTGAAATGGCAGCTTATGCTTCTTTCCACTTTTTCCCTTTAAATTTAGCCTCCTAAAAACTCGGATTAGCCATTACTTTTTCTGACCCCCAGGATCTGTCACTCGATTCAATAACAACCTTAACAACTCTCGCCACCTAAAACTTCATACCCCCCCTCTTAAAATGCATTGGCATACTAACGTGATATATCATGTTTTTTATTTATTTAACAATGAGTGCGAGAAAAGTCGTATCTATTGCAGAAGCTTAAAATAACTTAACTGTTATCCATGTCCAACAATGGCGCTGGATTCCGTTATCACAAAAGCTTAATTAAACAAGCTATCTAACCAACGACGAGCTTCGCTAGCGATTGAAGCTACTTCAAAGATACTTTATATAGAATAGAATGTATTCCATTAAATAAACAAAGTCACGTTACTGTTCCCACAAAGTTCTCGTGCAGTTGTTGACATGCGGCCATTCAAATGTTTAGTTGCTAAGCTAAGCTAAATTAGCGTGGTGCTGATAATTAGAGCTACAAACTGACAAACGTAACTGTCAATGCTGTTTCTAATTTTCTAAAAATGAAGTAATGTGCTTGAATAATAACCCCTCACAGAATAATACTTTACACAACAGACATTTAAGCCATATAAATGCTACAGAAAGTTTAATGCTATGTGACTACCTGACGCTGATCTCCAATTCCGCCATCTTCGCTCCGGCTATGTGATTGGTCAGTTTCCAGGCGTGTCATTGGTCCATTCTTCTTTGACTTTGGCGTCAAACATTTCTTCTTCGTGAGCTACGTGTCGTTTTTATTCCGCTTTACTACCATCTTCTGGATAGTTAAATGTTTTCAGATATTTTTCAGTCAACTAAGTTGTTATAACCATATCTGGCGTATTATTAAATAAGTGGCTTCATATGAAGCAACTGATTTTCATTTGTCCTATTTGAAAATGTTTTTCTTTTTTCTTTTTTACAACGCCTCATGCAGTCACCTTTGTTCCAATATTGTGCTGTGCTTTCTTTGATCTTTAAATAGGATATTTTCCAGAAACAATTTTAGAAAACAATAGGTTCATTTGGTGATATTTCACATTTAATTAATAATAAATAATTTAATAATGTGCTTATGAAATCGATAACTTTTGCTGATGCTTTTACGCTGTGATAATAGCTACTTTCATTTCCAATGATCATTGGAAATTGACCGCTGTATTCCCCCAAAAATCATAATATATTAATGAAGGAAAATAATACAAATACAAAAATAATAATACAAATGAGTATATTTATCTCTTTTTGTGTATTTGATCTGATATCAAATCTGATATAGAGCCTTTTACAACTATGAGTGGCATTGTGCAGAAATGCTAGTGTGCATTGATACCACAGTTATTAATTCAACATTATCTTACTGTCAATATTACAGCTGTATTCCTCTAATTTTAAATTTTTAGTAACGTTCCTAATAAGAATTTGAATCAGTGGATATTTTCCTCTATAATTGACTTTTTATTGATTTACTTTTTATTCTAATAAATTAGAATAGGGATGCATGACCGAAAATACATTCTTAGAATGTCTTTTTACCGTATTTCAACGATCTTTTGTGTCTATTTCTGACTCTGGGCTGTGTGCCCATCACTGTTGGTTTGAACGGTTCCTCCTTTGTTGTCCAATGAGAGGTTGAAGGCTGTACCACGTGACCCGGCTGTCAAACATGGCCCCCTCCTACACATCGTGAGGAGCGACAGCCGACAAAGGAGATTCACTTATCCACAGAGCACGGCCGCGGCTCGCGTCACGTCCCACCTCCGTCCAGACAGGCCCCCCCGCACTTATGTGGTAGGTATGCTTTCTCTGTCCCGGCCAAAGGTGTTTACTTCCGGCCCGCCGGCTGTTAGGGCTCCGCGGCGGTAAGCTAACCCCACGCAGTCAGCTGGATCTCACCGTTAGCCTGACGTTGCAGCATCCTCGGCTCGCGCAGGGCTCGATTCCCACTTAAACGGCCCCCACTTTGCTATATCAGATCGCGTGATAGAAATTACTCGGGTTATTTATTCGCCCTTCATTCTTTTGGATGTGATAACCATGTGCTAAAGACAGCTGCTCCAGGCTGGACGTCATTGAAACCTCCAACAACACCCCCCCTCCTCCCAAAAAGGGACAAAGGTTGCAGCTGATGTGGAAATGGATGGCACCCATGTGCTCAGATACTGTGTGAATGTTCAGTGTGGGCAGAGTCCAGGGCACGGAGCAGGAAAAAAAACAAGGCAGGGCTGTGATTAGTATTCCTGGTCATCCTTTGTACCTTCCCATTTATCTGTAACATCGTTCCCTTCCCTTGTCTCTCTCTATTTTTCCCCAGACACCCACATTAAGTGAACAGGACAACCCCCATGATGAAGACTGCCCCAGAGAGGAACTGATGGAAGTGGGCCCTCATCGTTGCAGCACGTCTGTCCAGAAGCCTCCGCCGCCTCCCCCCCGCCCCCCCGCCAGCCTCCGCTCCGTCACCATGCAGGTGAACCCGGTGGTGGTGGAGTCCTCCGTGGTCCTGGCCGTGGTGCTGTGCGTCCACACGGCCGTCTGGAACCAGCACTCCTGGTGCATCGTGGCCCTCTTCATCCAGGCCTTTTACGTCCAGCACAAGTGGGACCGGCTGCTCCGGTCCGGGGGCGCCGTGTTCCAGTTCCGCCCCTCGGCCAACAGCGGCATCGTGCCGGCCTCCATGGTGATGCCCCTGCTGGGCCTGGTGCTGCGGGAGAAGTGCTCGGCCTCGGGGAACGTCTACTTCGAGCGCTTCTCCATGGTGGTGACCATCACGGGCATGATGCTGGCCCTCTTCCTGTCCCTCATCGCGCTGGGCATCACCCGGCCCGTGCCCACCAACACCTGCGTGATGGCCGGCCTGGCCGGCAGCGCCATCCTCTACACCACCAAGCAGACGCTGACCGTGTCGGAGGTCATCGAGGTCCTGGAGGTGCTGCTGATCTTCGTCTATCTCAGCCTGATCGTGCTCTACCTGCTGCCGCGCTGCTTCACGCCCGGCGAGGCGCTGCTGGTGGTGGGCGGGATCAGCTTCATCGTCAACCAGCTCATCAAGCGCTCCCTGAACCTGGCGGAGGTCAAAGGCGACCCGGTCAACTACTTCCTGCCCGTGGTGGTGCTGGGCTCCCTGCTGCTGGGCGTCATCTTCGCGCTGCTCTTCTGCTTCATGGAGTCGGAGACCTGGGTGTCCTCGCTCTTCTTCCACATGATGACGGCCGTCCTGGTCCTGGGCATCCTCATGCCCTGGCTGTCCCTGTTCATCGGCCGGCACCCGCTCATGTGGCTGCTGGACTTCGTCACGCTCAACGACAGGCGTCTGGGCCTGCTGGCCTACTGGCTGTTCCTGGCCGCGGCGGCCACCGGCGTGGTGCTGCACCAGAACCACCGCCGCCAGTCGGGCTCCAAGAAGCACCAGGCCTCCACCGTGGTCAGGAAGTACTTCCACGTCATCGTGGTGGCCACCTACGTGCCCGGGATGATCTACGACCGGCAGCTGCTGCACGTGGCCTCGGTGGGCTGCCTGGCGGCCTTCCTGTTCCTGGAGTACGTGCGCTTCTTCCGCATCCGGCCGCTGGGCCAGCCGCTCCGCCAGCTGCTCACGCTCTTCCTGGACGAGCGCGACTCGGGGCCCCTCATCCTGACCCACGTCTACCTGCTGCTGGGCATGTCTCTGCCCATCTGGCTGTTCCCGGGGGCCTGCGCTCCGAAGGGGCTGCTCCCGGGGGCCGGCGGCCTGGTGCCCTACGCCGGCGTGCTGGCCGTGGGCGTCGGGGACACGGTGGCGTCCGTGTTCGGCAGCACCATGGGCGAGATCCGCTGGCCGGGCACCAAGAAGACCCTGGAGGGCACGGCCACGTCGGTGTTCGCCCAGATCATCGCCGTGGCCGTCTTCCTCATCTTCGACGCCAGCATCAACCTGAACTCCAGCTACTCCTGGATCGTGGGCTCCATCACCATGGTGGCCATGCTGGAGGCCTACACCGCCCAAATCGACAACCTCCTGCTGCCCCTCTACCTCTTCATCCTGCTGTTGCTCTGAAAGGAGAGCCGAGCAGGACCCAGCCGCCCGACGCCCGACGAGCCAAAACAGAGCGACACGGCACAACAACAAAAAAGCTGCTTTTACCCAATACCATGAAGTTTTTTTCTTTGAGTTTCTGAGAAGTTAGTGAGGGGTTTCTCTTTCTTTCTGTGCTCACCGACACCGGCGGCTCCTAAATTATGCAACGGGAGATTCAGTTCAGCAAAGTGGAAAAACGTCCTCTAACACCCGCAGAGCTCTGGAGCTGCAGCATCAGCAAAGATTTGACTCTTTTTCTCCCCGTTCCCCCTTTTTGTAAACACTACCTTTTTCGTCTTTTTGCCTTTTGAAGAATGTTATTTTAACTTTTAGCCTCTTTCTCAATCGCCCGTCTCATTCTCCTCCCCTTTACTTTGCCGCCCTGATGGCAATACAAATGACTCGACGCTGGAAATATTTGCCTTAAGAAATGTATTTTCTGTCCCTCACCCGGCCGTTTGGCGTAGAACCCGGAAGGCGACAGCACGGCGGCCCCGCTCCACTCTTCTTTTAAAGGGCTGACTCTCTGTGCATGACACTAATGTGAAACCAGTACTGTAACATACACGCAGGTGTCCTACAGCCCTTTTTTTTTGTTTTTGTACATGTTCTTTCCTCCATGGTTTGATGGGACCCCTTTAAGCTAGGCCGAGACACACACTTCCTCCTGACACTGGACTCTGTAGATACGCTTCGGGCCACACTAATGAACACAGGCCACTTCTTTTTGTTTTTGGCGTCGCCGTCAGGATTTCTTTCATCCGCTCGTCCCTCACAAACATCAGCAGGTTTGACCTCATATTTATGAGATGGTTTAGTCTCGTTTTAAGCACTGATTTTTTTTTTCGCGCGTCCGTTCATGTTTTTGATGGTTTGCTAGCATGATGAAATTCGGTTTTCAACCACCGTCCTTCCATTTTTGAATAACATATTATTGCATGATCAGATCATCGGATGAAGATGAAAACTCAACCGTAATTTTAGCCACACAAATATGAACCGTTTGCTTTCCCTTCTTCATTATAAGACCCGCTGAGGAGGTCTGAATGTTGTTTTTCATTTGAGTTGTATCTTAATATGAACATACTTGAAGACAAATGCTTACAAGAAAAAAGAAAGAAAGAAAAGAACTTGATTTCATCAGGAAGGAAGACCGATGGGTAACAGTGTTATAAAGAAGATGCGAATAAAATTGGATATAAATATTAGTCGTGTTGCTGGAGGTGATCAAAATGTTTTTTTTTAAAATGTTTATTTCAGAGAAGTTCATTATAATTTGTTCACCATTTATCACAGAGTAGTTCAGTGGCTCTCAAATAGACTTTTCCCTTTAATGGTCCAACCCACTACAGTCCTATGAAAAAGGTCAAACCTACTCTGATGACTTGGAACATGGACAGAAAAAAAGTAATTTCATAGCCGACAAAAAAAAGAAAATCCACTTGGATTACCTTTGAGGTTATATAGTTAAAGTATTTTTAGATGTGGACCCATTTGGGGCCAAACGGTTGTTCACAGTCTTTAAAAGTGAGAAAGGAGCTTCTGTCTAAAAAGAAGCAGTGTGCTGGTCTGGATGAGGCTCAGAGGAACAGATGAGCTGTATTTAAACGCTATGAGGACTCCACAGGTTGGTCCCTCTGCGCAGTGCCAGAGACGTGCTTCACTTCGTGTAGAGGGGGGGGAAAGGCAGTTCCTCGGTGGGCTGCAGCCTTTAGGAGCCAAAGACACGAGACAGCAGGAAATAAATGATGGATGGTGAGGAGAATAGCTGACCTTAAGCTCGGTAGAGGAATTTCCTATCTGTACACACACAGGACGGGTAAGTCCTGTGTAGTCCACATTTCTCTCCGATAAACACGACTTTACAGCACAATCATCCCTCTGCGCTAAACGAATGAAGCCATTCAAACCCGACTGTTTTTCCCTAAATGACCTGATCCGGCTGCGTGTGAGCGGAGTGTAAATAAAACACCGGTACCAGTTCTCGGGGCTCCAGCGGGTGTTCAGGGCCTCCATGAGGTGGAAGGTGTAGACGTGTCGGGAGTCCTCTGAGGTGTTGGGGGCGCTCCGGTGCACCACCTCCCCGTGGATCAGCACCGCGCCACCTGAACCCAGAGAGAAACGGGCGGGCCAGAACTCTCAGGCTCATTGGTCAGAGCCTCGGATTGCTCAAAAAGCGGCTGCTCTCTTTTGCAAATCTTTGTTTTTTTTTTACCACTATTTTTTATTTACTTCACTGATTTATTTGATGTTTTAGAGTTTCCATATACAGTAGAACCACTACATACTAATTTAACTCGTTCCGGGACCTACTTCGTATGTTCAAATATTCGTATGTTGGTTCAAATATTCCAATAAGAATACACTGTAATTCCTATCATTCGTTCCACAGCCCAAAAACCTATGATAACTCTTTAATAATACTACAGATAATTATACATAGCAGTAAAACAAATGCACTATATATGAGAGACGTCAAAAGATATAGATTATAAAGAAATATTCAATAAAAAGTTGATTTTATTGGCGAACGGAGGTGTGGCCTTGGGGAAACAGGAGACGGTCGGTGTGGAGGTAGAGGTGTTTTTTTTCTATGACATCAACGTCATGTCTAATGTTGGAAATTTACTTCAGATGTCAAGTCGAATATTTGATCGAATTTCACTTTGGATGTTGGAAAATTTGTATGTTTAGGCAATCGTACGTAGAGGTTCTACTGTAAATTCAGGTTGCAAAGCCATAAACACCAAATTCAGCTTCAACTGATGGCTCTAATTTTTTAATGAATCCTCTCCCTCGAAGCATCCTTCTTCAAATCCCTCTCTCCTGACGCTGATTACCTTTTTTAACCGGCGCGGCGACAAACTTCTCATCGTCGTACGTCTGCTCCCTGCCGACGAAGTCCGTCAGAGGAAAGGTGCCTTTAGGGGTCCGCACCATCCGCCGAGAGATTCCGCCTGAGAAAAGGAAGCAGAGCTCTCATCTCAGGGCGCAAGTTTAAAGGTCCACACACACACACACACACACTGGGGGGCGTTCGGTGCTTACTCATGTGTGAGCCGGGGATAAACCACAGGCAGCCGTTGTTGACGGTGGCGTCCTCCAGGGCGATCCACAGGCCCAGAACTCTGCCCAGAGGCTCCGTGTACAGAAAGGTGGCGTCCTGGTGGGGTGTCACTGAGAGCGAGCAACAAAGGAGCACCGTCCATGTTGTATCAAAATAAAAAGCTTTGCTATAAATATAGAAATCTGACATCTAAACAGTCAACAAGATCGAATTCGTCAAGATGTAAAAATGAAATGTAATGCTGCTTGTTAATATATAAATAAACATTCATATATATGTATGATAAAAGAGTGATGGGATCCATTAACAAATTTACTATTCAGTTTTCTATTTAAGAATCTTTTCTTTAATATTTATTATTCATACACCGCCAGTCAAACCGTAAATCCAAATTATAATATAAAATAAAAGGCCTGACTTTTTTCCCCCTGTTTTAACTTTGTGTTTGTGTTAAACTGCTGATAAATGAAGAGCTGGGTTGAGCTCTCTTACCTTCCCCTCCGATTCCCGGTTGCTGGAAAAGATAGAAAACAAAGCGGGAGATATTTAGTTTTTCTCTCAAATCGATCGAATGCTCTGCAGAAACTTCCAGGCGGACCGGCGTTTTACCTTAAAAATGTACATGCTCTGCAGTATGACGGGGCTCACCAGCCCCAGCTTCTTTGCTATGCCCTGGGAGGAAAATATTTAAGAAATTTCCTGGTGGTCATGTGACTCTGGGCGCCGTTCTTCGGGCGTCATACGGCGCTAACTCACCTGAACTTTGGCTGAACGTGTAACATCTCTGTACAAAGGCTCATATGCATGTAGAGCTTTAAAAAAACAAAAAAAAACAAACAAGAATTGTATAATTTGAAGGCACTTTCAGAGAGCTTGTACGAGTTTTTAAATTCTAAAAATATCTGAGTGTCCTACCATGTCCAACTTTATTCAGTGACCGCTGCTTTGGTACGATGAATTCTCCTAAAAGTCGAGACACTCTTTTACTTGTTTTTTTTATTATTTAATTTCTTTGCCGAGGTCGATAATTAACAAGACGTGAAAGACTCAACGGGAGCTCACCTTTGTCATCGAAAACACCTTTCTCGAAGAAAAAGCGGATCTTATCTCCGCTGGTGATGAAATAGTCAGCGTTTCCCTGCAGGGTGAAATGTTAACGTTTGTCATCTGACCCCCCGGACACACACACAAACACACACATACACACTTTAACTCCGCTGTTGACATAAGAGTTGGTCATTAGCCTGGCAGGAGGGGGCATTTGAGGTCTAGGTTAAATTTTCAATTCAATTTTATTTCAATAGCGCCAAATCCCAACAACAGTTATCTGCCTCGACCGGTTGGGGGTGAGAGAGAGAGGGCAAGATAGAGAGAGAGCAGGGGGAGGCAGCTCTCCGGTTTCCTCCCACCGTCCAAAAACATGCATGTTAGCTTGATCGGACATTCAAATTGCCCTTAGGAGTGAATCTGAGTGTGCATGGTTGTGTGTCTCTGTGTGGCCCTGCGATGGACTGGTGGAGCGTCCAGGGTTTACCCCACCTCTTGCCTATTGACCACTGGGTTAGGCTCCAGTCCCCCCTGGCTTATTCCCCCATTACGGGAAGAAGCGGTTCCGATAATGGATGGATGTTAATGGTAATGCTAACAGTAATAACAGCTATAGGACTACAACAGGACTACAACACTGACGCCTCACCTGCATCTTTAGGTCGCGTTGCCATGGAAAGCATGAGAGATAAAACAACACGCGGTGTAAGCCGATGGAGTGGGCGGAGACTGCCCCTCAGAGAAAAAGTCACCTGTGTTTTCAGCTGCTCAGAGAAAAAGTCACCTGTGTTTTCAGCTGCTCGTCGTGGTAGGTGGAGAAGGTGGTGCGGCAGTGATCCGGCACGTCCATCCGCTCCACGATGTCGCTCATCCTCTGCCTCAGCTCGTCGCACTCCTGGGAGCTCAGCAGCCCGTCCAGAACCACGTAGCCGTCCTCCCTGTACTGCCACGCCAAAGGAGGAGGAGAGGCGGCAGAATCAGTTACCGGGCCTTTAACCGTGTGATCAACACAGCCTCTGACCACTCAGGTGTCTGGGCTTTCACACACTATAGTCAAAAGCTGAGGTAGAACCCACATGGCCTACAAACCAAACCCAGTTAATGTGGATCTGGTGGTCCTAGGCCTGTACGTGACACGTGCAGAAACCTCGTGCCCCCCTTCACTCCACAGTCCAAACTCTGTCCTCTGAAAGATGTCACTGACACGCAAAGATTCAACCACCAGTTTCCCCAACTGAGCGACCAGATCTGAGCCCGGTCCCATCCTGAACGCTTCCCCCAATAGAAGCTTTACTTACTGCATTTCAGACCTTTAAAAATGAACACAGAAGTCCCTGAAATTTACATTTTGCCCACTTATAGTTAATGGAACTCAAATACAGACACTATTCTGTTTTGCGTTATCAGTTTCTAAGAGTTCAAATAATTTTCTGTACAAAAAAAAGAATTAAAAAGTAAAATCCTTCCTTGTTATGTTTGGAAACATCTGGCCAATGAACACTTGAAGAAAAGCAAAATGCAGACAAAAATAAAAAAGTTTATAGTCCCTCAGATGGAGTGGCATGTTGTCACTTTTTAAAATTCCATACCTACCTACATATGTTGTACTTTTTTAGGCCCCTTCAGATAGAACAAATAAAAATGAATTCACTAAAACACACACTAAAACGCTGTGATTTTTAGAGAAAGAAACATCCCATCCAGGGGTGCGCAGGCTGGGAGCCCACATGTTGCAGCAGCATGTTACGTAATCAGCTTCTCCTGATCTCACGTGTCGCACAACGTTGTCCGGAGCTCGAGCTGCTTGGTTTTTGGGAGGATTTCTTACCTTTTGCACGTCCCGATCTGTCATGAAGTCCATCGTAGTTTTCCGAGCGCTTTCCTCTCCGTCTGACAGGTACGAGCTGTTATTTGTCTCATCCGGGTAACCTGCGGGCTGCCCGAACACGTGACCCGTCAACTCAATTAAAACCGAACGTGCAGTAATAGGATTTTGGACGTTAACTCTTTCCTCGCTGCTCCCGGTCCTGTGCAGGAGCTGCTGTAGTGACCCAGAGTGATCACTAGGGGTCACTTCTGAACAAGGAAAAAGATTCAGAGGCAACAGCGCCGACCTGTGGCCAGCACGTGCCTGCTGCATTAAAGTTGAATTTTCACTTAGAAAAAAAAATAAAGCACTGTACTTCTGAATGTGGAAAATTCTTCCCAAAACATTTTGAGCCATAATAACTTTACTTTTAATATACAGAGATATACATATTGGTGATTTTAAAAAGTAAAAAAAGAGGATCTTAGCAGACAAACTCCAGGTTAGCAAAAGGAAATATATATATATAAATAAAATAAATACACAATCAGTGGGTCAGCAGTATCCCCAAATGAGAGGATTTGCACCTTCTAAAGTGTCCTTTGTGTATCGTGACATTTGGAAAATGATTACCTCCACTTTCTAGCCGGATCAGGTGAAACCTTTAAAATTAAGTGCGTAAATAATTAACCGATTTCTGTTAGAACAACTAGTTTTGCCTCAGTGTCCTTTTAGTAAAGAAGGGGAAAAACGTAATGTACACGTCAATCAAAACTTGAAATGAAAAACAGCACCAGCTGAAACTGGAACTGGCTGCAGACGAGGAATGAAACACTCCCAACGGCAGGACTTTTGGTATTTCGTGTTAATTTTATTATCACGTGTTAGAATGGTACAAAAGTATGATCTTAACATTCGGAAATCCAAGTCCCACTAGTACAGGTGCACACGAGCTCAGCATCAGACTGATCACGCTTCAAAAAGGAAAGGTGGACATGATTTAGAAACGAAAGCACCAAACTGTTTTCATAGGTCCCTGATCTGCGGGCGTCGGGACACAGATGGACTCGTTGTAGACAGGAAGTGGATTTAGAGGAGAAAAGGGCTTGATAATTAACATTCGACCATGGCAGTTTTTTATTGGACTAATACTGATTGAAACTGAACGGCGGCCTTCCCCTACGCGTCCAGCTACAAGCAGATGCGTGCTGTGTGTGTGTGTGGGGGGTTCGGATAGGATTGTCATTTTCTTTTTTCGTTTCCCACCAGCAGTGGCTCTGGTTAAGGCATACATGACGTACGCAAAGAAAACGGTGACAAACGCACAAAGCGGAGGCGGAAACCCAGAGTTGATATTAAAGCCGGCGTGGCGTCTTGATCCAGGGGAGAGCCAGAGGGCTGCGTGACTCAGGGGGGGAGGTGGCTGAGTCATGGCCGTGGAGTTCAGCGGTGTGGGTGGGGGGGGGAAGTGACTGAAGCACGCCGTCCGTGCGCTTTTTGGCAGGTCGAGCTGCTATTCCGAGGTGGCGGGAAAAGGGGCTTTTCCCGCCACTCTCCCCGGCTCACGGCCAACTCAACCCACGGACCCTCGTCGAGAGGGGGGGGGGGGGAAATTCCCCACCCCTAAAAACATGACCAGCATGTGAAGATCCGGCTTTGAAACCACTGTGTTGGTATGCCGCTGCCCACTGGCAGCCGCACTGCGCCACCGCGGCTCCCGTTACGGTGTCGGGTTCCCTTTAATGCGTCCCCTAACGGACGCCTGCGCGCGGAAAAACTTATTTTGCTTGGCACTGCAAACCCTTGGGCAGGAGCTTGTTGCGGTGGAGTTCTACTGGAGCAACTGCTTTGCTCTGACCTTTGACCCTCACTCTCATAAGGCTGGGGCTTCTTTTTCTGCATCTTAAAAAATGGCGGGAGGAGCCTCTCCCGGTTGTCCTTTAAAAGGCCTCGCTCAAACTAAAACCTACAATCAACAAAAGAGCAGCTGCACAGAACCGCCCATGAATCTCTAAAACAAAAAAAACAAAAAAAAAACTGAACAGGCGCCAGCTGGTTAGAACAAAACAACACCATGCACATTAAACAAGGACATTAAATATCTGAGCTATACATTTTACAGCACGAGGAAAACAAAACCCACAAAAAAGGCCCCGATGATGCCTGTGATCGTTAGCAGCGTACAGCTTGTAAAAGCTACGGCCGTGTGAGCAACAGGAGACGTCTGGCAGGAGTCGACGGCGGAGGGATGCCGTTAAATTCCTGGTCTTAACGGGAAAAGTGTTTCAAGCAGACAACGCGTGTTGCAGTAATTTGGAGTGTGGATATCGCATCGTCTTTTAGACAAAGAACCGTCTCCCCCGCGAGGGGCCGGCTGAAACCAGTTCCCTTCTCCCTGCCGCCCGTCCTCCTTTTCCTCGTGAGCGAATAAACGAGTTGTCAGAGACAACTCTGAGATGAGCGGAGCCTGATAAACGGCCTGCCAGAGTTGTACGAGAACGGCGGGCCAACATGAGTCAGCTTTTGTCGTTTCCAGGCTGGTGGTGCCCGATTGCACTTTCAGGTCTTAGATCGATCCTTTTGGAGGCATCTCTAAGATTGTTAGACCACCTCCGATGTCATGATTAAAAACATAAGGGGGGTAAAAAAAAACAACAAAAAAAAGTACATTGCCTGAATTTGTTGGCTTGGATTCTTTCCAGCGTGAAACGCTCTCCACGTTTGTGCCCCTGCGGCTTTAAGAAAAAGCGCTTACTCCGGGGGGTGAGCGCGCAGTTACATTTTAGTCAGTGAAGCAAAAATACACGAGCTGTAAAGAGAACAAAGGTCACTTAAGATATCGGAGTACATTTAGACTTCAGAAGCTTAAGTGGACGGCTGAATCCGTCCTTGTGTTGCGCGCCTCTCCGTTTTCATGCACCCCAAAGACGCAGAGTCCCCCTTATACGGGCACGTTAGTGACGTGCGATTGGAAGTCGGTTTCAAATAAGCGAACGCCTGTCAAACACTTAAGTAAACATGATGTTTGGTGATGCGAAACTCAGAGCTCGACGGCCGCGGGGAGGCTTAGGCGTCGCGCTGTTGGCTTTGTTCCACTGTTCTTCACTGAATAATTGGACAGCCTGTCTTTGAAGTCCTTCTCACAAGTCTCTCTCTCTGTCTTCGTAGTTAGTTAAGGCCTAAGCTGTGAGATCTTCTGCGGGAGGATTTCTTAATCGCCGTCACACGGTTCCGATAAAAAGATGCCTCGGAGCGAGTGGAGCGGAGCCGTCTGGCTGTCGGCGGCGCCGCCCTTTGGTGGAAACATCTGTATGCAGTCAATCCGGAGGAGAGGCAGCAAAACACTGTGTGGTAATGGCGGGGAGCTCTTCAAGCTGTGCACTTTGGACTGGCTCGTACTAAGAGTTTGCTTTGAGAAGGTTGGACTGTGGCATGCATGTTTGGCTTCACCTGCCAGCATCACTGGAACTCAGAGCGGGATAAAAGCTTCCCTCCCTCCCCCCCCTCCCCCGGGTGAGATCGTGACTTTCCAATCCACCCGAGGAGTCATTTCCAAACATTCTGGAGGTCCTTACTCTTCCCCTCCCCCCCTTATTTTTGCCTACGTGGTCAACGCTGCTGCATCTCTGTCAAGGTTAAAAACAAACATTTGAATCTGCTCCTGCGACCCAGCTGTTTCCCCTCTGCAGCCGCGTGGCTCAGGCCTGCTCCTTATCGGCCCTCCAGAGCTGCTCTTTGACCTCTGTGGGCAGGGTGTTGAACAGGTCTTCCTCCACCACCAGGCCGCTCCTCTTCAGCAGCCGGCACTCTCCCAGCTCCACGGGGAGGCACTCCAGGCGGTTCCCCCTCAGCTCCAGCTGGGTCAGCCCGGTCAGCTCCCCGAAGCGCGAGGGCAGCGTCTGGATGCAGTTGTTCCCCAGGTTCAGGGTGCGGAGTTTCTTGCACTGGAACAGCTCCGGAGGCAGAGTTTCAATCTGTAGAGGAGAAGAGAGGACAGGCGGAATCATTCGAGGTGCGAGTTGCCTCAGAACAAAGCAAAGGAAAGCAAGACAAACACGTTGTTCCAGGAACTTGTTTGTGTAAAGTAAAATAAAAACGAGTCAGGTCTGTTTTCACAGCAATCTCATCCAATTAACACAAAACCCAACACGGCGTTTAAGGTTCCTGGTTTTTTACAGCTCATTTGAATTGATAATGTGCTCAAAATGTGAAAGGCTTTAAAAGCACAAGAGACATCGCAAGGCTCTCATTTAATGGAGCTATTTGTGGCTGCTTAGAAACGTACTGGAGCCTATTTTCAGCATGCGGCCACACAGGCAGAAAAGGCAGTAAAACAGCAGCTATAGTAACCTTTACTGAAAACACATGATGCTGCATGCCTGAGCTGCACTTCCAGGACTTAAATCTCTTTGTTCTGATTCTTTTCTCTTTCTCTCTCCCAGTAAACAAAGCTTCTGGAGTTCAGTGAAATAACTGGCATTTTGTCTTCTTTATCTAGGACTTCTAAAGCAAGTGCACTCCAAAGATCTGATTGGAAGACATAGTTGGTATAATTAAGAATTCTCAGATCCCAATAAGTGTGTTTACAAATTGTATCTCCTGAACTGTACAACTCCAGTGGCAGTTTTATCTTTAAAGTCAAAGCTCTGCTGAGATTGCGACGGGCATCTCGGCCTTATGAGGGCTGACCTTTGTAAATGCCTTATCTGGTCCTTGACATTATCTCATGTCCAACACAGACGTTGTAATAGGATCTTGTAGCCTCTTACCCTGTTGGCCGTCACGGCAAAGTACTGCAGGTTCTGGAGGAAGCCCACGTCGGGGTGGATGCTGGTCAGGTTGTTGTGGCTCAGGTCTAGGAAGCGCAGCTTGCGGCAGAAGAAGAGCTGGCTGGGGATCTTCTCGATCTTGTTCCTGTTCAGGTAGAGCCTCTCCATGTTGGTGAGCGTCCCGATCTGGATGGGGATGTAGGCGATCTGGTTGTACCACAGCTTCAGGCAGACCAGGCGGTGCAGGTGCTGGAAGCTGATGATCTCCTCGATGGTCTTCAGGTTGTTGTCCTTCAGGTCGATCTCCTGCAGGTTGTGCAGGCTGAAGATGGAGTGCGGGATGCGCTCCAGGTCGCAGCGCAGCAGCTCCAGCTCCGTCAGGTTGACCATCTTCTTCAGGCTGTTCAGGACCATCAGCTTGGTGCCCTCGTTGTTGATGGAGAGCTTTTGGAGGTGCACGCCCACGTCGGTCACCACCTGCGGGAGCTTGGTCAGGTTGCTCTTCAGACGCAGCACTTTGAGGCTTTTTAGCTCCCTGAGCCCGTCGATGACGATGTAACGGTTGTTCTCGGAGCTCAGGTTCCCCGTCAGGTGCAGCTCGCTGAGGTTTTTCAGGCTGTAGATCCACAACGGTATCTCCTTGATGTCGGTGAATTTGATGTGGAGCGATTTCAGGTTCTCTCTTAAGAAAGCCAAGGCCGGAGCCTCGATCTTGGCCAGAGTGTGGTAGAGCCACATCTCCCTCAGGTTGGACAGCTGAGCGATGATTGGGGGGATGGTCACGTCCGGGATTAGCTCCAGCTTCAGCACCTCCAGCTCCAGCAGATCAAAGACGGTGTCTGGGATCCCGCTGAGCATGAAGAGGTGCAGCTCCAGCTTATCCTGGGAGTTCTTGGTGATGCGCTGCCTCAGCTTCTCTAACGTCCACTCGTTGTTCAGGTTCAGCTGCCTCAGCTTGTTCTCGCTGACCTCGGACAGAAAGACGGCAAAGCGCTTGGAGTACAGGGGATCGTACTGATCTATCATGTGCAGCATGAAGGCAAAATCGTTTTTCAGGTCAGGGATGTCGCTGTAACTGCTTTCCTCTCGGATTGATTCGAAGGAGTATCTTTTGAGGGAGCGACTGAGCATCCAACACAGGGTGTACATGCAGACGAGGCCGTAGACCACCACCAAGCTAATGTAGAAACCGGCCAGAATCTTGAACAGGGTCGCTAATGGGTGCGCGCAATGAAACACTCTGTACCCGGTCAGTTTCTCAATGTCCACCTGGCACACCACGCTGAACGTGATGCATCCCACGTGGTAGGCCGTGTAACTGATTATGAGTATGAACTTGATTACCTTGATTATTGTTTGACGGATGTACAGACGGTACACTATGTCTCCCTCCTCCACGTGGATCCTAAATTTCTTCACCTTCTCAAAAAGCGCCTTGGCCTGCTCCCCTTCCTTTTTGTCCAGCACCCCGGTGTCCGAGCGGTCCACGATGCCCTGTTCGATCCGGGACTTGGTCCGCTGCAGCATGGGCACGCTGGCCTCCACGTCCTCGCTCACACTCGACGTCTTCTTGTCCATGGAGCCGTTCATTTTGCCCACGGGCTTGGGGTCGCTCTCCTCCACCACCGTCTCAGACAAAGCCCTCGTTGTCCACGGGGAGTCGAAGCACTTGAGCAGGATGGAGACAAAATGTTCCAGTTTAGAGCTCGTGCGCGGGAACTTGAACCAGAAGTTGCTGCACGCCAAGAAGACCAGAGTGTGCAGCAGCACCAGGTAGGGGAAGTACTTGGCAAACCAGTGGAGCTTGTATTCGTAACAAAAGGCGTCCACGTAGTTGTACTGATGCCGGTCCAGGTCGTACTGAATGCCTTTGGGCTCCGGGCGGTGGGAAGCGTTTGGGATAGGCATGGTCTCGCACGAGTCGTTGACGACCCATTTGCAAGGCAGGCAGATCATCTTGTCCTGTGTGACCTGCAGCGTCCCACCGAACACTGCGATCATCAGCATGACGATGGAGATGTAGTCGGTGAAAACGTCCCACCATGGCTTCAGGATGCGGTACGCTGGCTGGGTGTCAGCAAAGTACCGGAGCTCTGTGATGGGAATCATGATGGTTTATCTGAAAATCAAGCAGACACAAAAAGGGGCGTCAGTTTGGGATGTGACAAGACAAAAAGGGGGTTTGTTTTAGTCGGACAAACTCTAAGATGGCGAACTAACACAGAAGAAAAACCTGCTATATGACCACAACTCCTGAAGTCACTTCATATATCTGCAAAAACCAGGCTGGAAATGTCCAGAATTTTGAAAGTTTAAGCAACAACTTTTCCAGGATCCTTAACTTCAAAAGTTAAGATACAGCCCCTGATTATTAGCTAAAATAGTTCTCTAACTTTTTATAAATATCAACTTCACTGTGTCATAAGAAGCCTCAGCACGGCGGCAGCAAGAAGTGGCAAATATTTGGATTTTTATTTCTTCTGCATTTCCATTTATGCGTCAAATATCACAAATTAATTTATCCTGGCAGTACAAAACTAAACATTTTCTAGACATGACGATGCCATGTCATCTGTCCGTACTCCAGAGTTCAACACTAGGGCAAAGAAAGAGTGAAAAATCAGAATACAAGGGAAAGGCTCCAAAGTAGGACTTGAACTCTGTCTTATATAAACGGAAGTGAAACTAAATGTGTGAATAGTGCAAAAAATAGAACAGACTAAGCAGCTTTTAAAAATCAATGAAGTAGTTTCCTCTGTTAATATCCACAGTGGTTCTTCTTTTTCTGTCTTTCTGTTTTGACCCATTATGACCTCGGCCTGCCTTGCTGGTTTCGGTGATGGGATTCCAGCTGGTTCTGTGGTTCCAAAACAGTTTTGTCTGATCCAGTTTGAACCAGAACAGCAGTGCAGTGCGTGTGGGCGTCCCCCATTAGGCCTCACGTCTTCACACAGAAACCCCAACAGGGGCCACGAACAACGTGTAAGGGGATCACTCCAATGTTGACCAAAAAGAAAAGTGGGGAATGTCTGACAAGTGGAATTTCTATCGCATGTGACGCTACATTAAACATGTTTTGATCGGGATGAGTCATGCTGAAATTGTGCATTTGCCACCCATGAAAAGGCTGCTCTCCTGTTTTTCGCCTGAGAAAAGGCAAAGAGACTTGAATCAACACGTTACTTCCTTCAAATATAATACGTTATAGTAAATTATAGCTGCAGAGATCAGTGAAAGGCTAAACATCTGCTAACCTAAATATCCTGTGAAGTCATCGATATCTTGAATAAAGGGAAAATAACTTTAATTTCAAAGTATATAAACAAGTCTGCTAGCATTTTGTCGTATCTGACCATCGCATTCCCGGTCCACCTAAACCGCCCCTCCACATTCGAGCAAAGGATCCCTTTCCTGATAAACTCAAGCCCTCCCACGATTATAAACATCCCAAGAGGAATACGCCGTCCTTATCTTAACATTTAAAAACAGAAGGTCAGGACTGGATTATACAGCGACTCAGCTCTTGGTTTCCTGTTTGTGGTTGGACCCCAGCACACTTCTCCTGCTAGTTGCTCACACAGAGCTGCCTTTGTGATGAGGAGGTGCAGGAGAACCTGGGCACAGCAAAAACCGGATGATGACAGTGCCAAATATCAATTTCCCCTGAAGGACACTCTTGTACCAAAGGTTAAGACAAAGAAGAAACAAATACCTCAAAGAAAAAACCCCAAAAGTTAACTATGTACCTCCTAACTGTATATCTTATCATTTATTACTATGAAAAACCACTTGTTATTCCTTTGAAATTGCTCAAGCTAGAGCTCTATGTCTTCTTCCTTGTTCAATGAATGGGGGACTTACCCCCAACCATCATGAGCACAGAAATGGTGAACTTGTACATTTGTTGTCGATGGGTCCAGCCTCTAGCCAATCAGCGGCTCCTCTCAGCTCGCTCAGAGCGCCGACCGAGTAGGTGCAAAAACTGTTCCAGGCGCCAGCACCCAGCGGAAATGCCAGGAACGAGTGGAGTCCTGCTGAGTAGGTACTAGTGTTTGACCGACTCTTTGTGGAGCTTTGAACAGCTCATTAGCTTCTGGTTAAATTTGTTCTTCACAACTCATCCAGATTAGCTACAGAGCCCAATCAAGAAAACAGCCAAAGCAGAACATAATCCATGCTTTTCTCAGACTTTCGTTGGTGCCCCGCAGATCCAAAGACCATCGGAAAACACACGGAAAACAACATCATATTAAAAAGGTCAAAAGCCTGTAGGGAGGAAGGTCTTTAGAATTAGCCTGAAATCGCTTGGGAGCATAGTTAATTTAACTGAGAACAGATAAGTGGTTGACAGACACTGCTCAAAACTAGCCTGCCTGACATTTTTCTTGCATATCAGTCAACAAAAACAATAAGCGGACTCACCACAGGCCCAGCATGTCAAAGGCCTCTCAGTTTCAGACGCTCTAGAGTTTCTCCCACCTAAATGTCCCCAACATAAACAACATACCCTTCTGTCAGCTACATTTAATTGCGATTCGTTCCGAATGTCTCGCTGTTCAGCAGCAGACTGATGATATTTCATTAAACGCGCGGAACCTCTCCAGAGCTTTAACAAGCACAGAAGTGATCAAAACCGACGGCCTGACCTCTTCTGGTTTCATTAGATTAGATCTAACTCAGAAAACACCAACTGAGTTGTCTTGAAGAACACCCTCCTTCCTCCAAAAACGAGATTTGTCATTTCAGAAGATATAAGAGCATCGAAGCCAAGCGTCTAAAACCTGAGTCTCACCTGACCAGGCATGTTTTCCTAACCATCCTGACTCCACACATCAAGAGGCTTAGTGACAGTGGTGTCTGGACCAGATTTACCAGGCTCCGAAACATTTCAGTCCCCCCAAGTGACTACACCGGTGATGCCAAATTCAGGAATTCAGAAATGGAAGTGGCATGCTAAAATATATGCTGACCTCACAATTTGATCAATGCTGTGGCAACATCCATGTCATCAGAAACGCCACTTACAGGAAGGGAATTTAACAGTTACTGGAAAACATCTCACATCTCCATCATTAATGACTAAACATTTCTGAGTCTATTCACAAGAGGCTTTCAAACACACAGAGGAAATAAATCATTTGGAAACTCAAGATTTCCAAGTGAAACATGATCTACATTGGACTATTACATGTAAATCCTATTTTTACGTTTTATCAGGAAATCGCACGAGAAAAACTCCTTTAAAAGCTCATCTATATTTCAGTACATTGTTTCTGCTAGGTTTTTCATTAGAAACGTTGTGTCGAAGCACCACAACACCTTACTGGCCTCCAACTCCAAGGTGTTGATGGGAGACGATTCAAGAAGCTAAACAAAAACATAAAAAACTGTCCGTGTAGAATTGTTGTTAGCAACGTAGTTCCGCCTTTGTTTTAATACAATTCCCGACAATGTGAGCCACATATCCTAACCGTGTCCTCCACAAAAGCCCGGCCAAGCGGGGACGGGAAACCACGTCTCATCCCGGTCCCGGGCTAACGCGTTGCGGCACCGGGATGAACTGCGGTTAGCTCGTTCCACCACCAGAGACGATTCCCGAAAACACTCACCCGTTTCGGTGAAGCTGCTGTCTCTCGCCTCTTCCCTACGCGGCTGACACATTTCTCAAACGGTTAGGACTGAGGGAGGCCGCTCGGAGACCGGGCCTGGAGCCCCGTTCAGCAGACAAGGGCGACAGCACAGCACGAAAGAACGAGTCCTGAGGGACCGTCGGCTGGCTTCAAGAATGTTGCTCCGCCGCACGAGTTGAGCGGAAGTGCTGCCGCGACGCGCTGTCAAAATAAAAGCGTGTTACCATTACTGTTCTTGTTTTTATGAGAAAGCTATAAACAAAACACAGTTTTGCACAAAGAAGCTTTCTCTCTTTACTTATATTTTCTTGTCATTATATCATAGTCCTGAATATATATTAATGTTAGAAAAAGATACGATCAAATTTAAGTCACTCCAAAATTCTTGGGTCGTAAAGATTGTGAATCGGCTTTTGTCCAGCTTCACAATATCAGCTTGTTGCTTTCAGATCTGATTTCACTGATTAAAAATGTATGTCTGTTAGAGCATTAATCCGTACTGATGAACTAGACCATTTTATATCTGAATTGTCCGCTGAATCACCCACCAACTAGTAATAATTTTTGGATTTTTCTACGTAAGAAAGTTATTCACTCTGCTTCATTACTCATCTTAGGCTCGGTTGTCATCCTTTTCAAGTTCATAAATGTTTTTTTCCCCATATAAACAGCAGGGTAACTTACTACAGATACACCATGCCAGATGCTTTTTAGTTTTAAGCTGGCTGGAGTTTCACAAAAATAAACACTTCCCAAACACTCACCACTCTCTTTTAGTGTAGATAAACATATTAATTTATCGTTAACTCTATAAAAACAAATCTTGCCACAGAAGGCAGAAGTAAAACAACTTTTCTGGGTGAAAGGGATTTAAAATGGGAAGCTGACCATGATTCATGTCCTATTGGACATCTGTAAGATATTTTGAGATTGTAAGTGAAATGCATGTCTTACTGGTGACATTGGTATTTGGTTATGTGTGAGGAAATTATTCTTTCTTTACACCCTCATACACAGGCAAGCCTGGCCACTAAAACATAGCAATGTAAAAATACATGCAGATTTACACAGAAATTCTCACATTCTTAAGTAATTAAGAGGTAATTAAGAGGATATTTACCGGGTTTTGCAAAAATTATGTGGAGAATGGTTTTATAATTTACATTATTATTTAAAACAAATAGAATGAGAGCTTGGACCTATGCATCTTGAACTTTACAGATACATTTGGCCAAACACTGAAGCTACTTTATTTTGAAGATGGAAGGACGTGTGATGTCATCAAGCCGCGTCAACATTCTCGCTGATGAAACAGTCTTGAGACTTGAGTAAAAACATAGTTGTTGACGCCTTTAAACACAAACCATTATGTCCGTCCTTCAGAAATGCCTTACTCTAACATATTTTCCAGTAACGAGGCTCCCGTTCGGACTGTCGTCGCGGTGTTATTCTGGTTATTCAACCCTCGTCAGAGTCACTGTGGTGTTTCGGAATCCGAGAGAGTCCACTACTCGGACAGGACAACAACCCTCACGGGACCGAAGCAGTTTTCATCCCTTTTTACCTGCCGGAAATTGTGACGCTCGTCGCGACTGTTTCAGAGCGTTTTCAGCTTCGCCAGCTGGAGGAGGAGAGGCTGTGGGAAAGATCCAGCCAACACACTATCACCTAGTCTACACATGCAAGGTAGCGGGACCAGTACTTATTGTTTACATCACAATTTTTGTATTATTATTTTAATCTGAGTCAGAGTGTGCTTTCTGACCATTTGTGCTGTGTCATGTTTGCAGGTTTGCTCCACCAGGTCCACGCAGAGGATTTCTAAGCAGGCCTACCACAAAGGGGTGGTGATAGTGACATGTCCTGGATGTGAGAAGCACCACATCATTGCTGATAACCTCGGCTGGTTCTCAGACCTAGAGGGGAAAAGGTCGGTGGTACTTTGGCATTCGGTTCACGATGTCACTGATAGAAGATGGACAAACCGTTCACAGCTCACTCAGTAAAATTAGATCTACAGAAGGCAAGCTGGTTTAATAAGGAGAGATCAACCAAGAGGATCGCTGACAGATTCATTTCAGACAATTTTGTACAGTTATTTGTTTAGTATTTGGCATTAACTCCACTTGCGAGGATACAAAAAGCTCTTTGATTGACTCCCTTTATAAAATAATATGCTGTTTAAACTGTTCTTGCACTTCACTGACAAGTCAAAAAAAGAGCCGATAAGAAAGGTCAGAAGTCATCCAGTGATTAAAAAAACAAAACAGAATTAGAGACATTAAACATTGTGAGGCTTCTTCGTGGGGTGAGTTATCTCTTAAAAATAAGCTTAAAAGTATAAATCTTTGATCCCGATCATTGCAAATAGCGTCAATGTAACCCTCCGTGTCATCTTTGGTAGTAAGGTTACTGACTTATTTAAAAGACATGATAATCAACTATTTTAACTACAAGTAAGGATGGAAAATGTAATAACCATTACACATTACTAATAATCTGTAGTAACATTATTGAAAATTAGGGCCGTTGTAGTTGATTAATTAAGTCTGTTTGGGGTTAATATTTGAAAAGGGGTATTCAAGTTTACTTGTTTCTTTCCTTTTGAAAAAGCATATAGATTAACATCTTTAATGTGCTGAAACATTGTGATTTGCTCATTTGATTTATAATTTTTCTGGATTCTAACATAATGAAATACGACGACTGGCAAACATAATTTGTGATCTACATTCACAACAATTCTTTTAAACCATGAACAGTAACATTAATGGTGTATTCTGAATGACCTGCTGTGCTTTGTGTTATAGAAACATAGAAGAAATCCTCGCGGCCAAAGGAGAGACAGTGAAGAGGGTTGAGGGGAGCCAGGCCATGGAGATATTGTTGGACGAGTCCAGAGGAGGCGAGGCACAGTGTGAAGACGACACAGAAAAGTCCGAAAATGACACAAAGAAACAGTGAAGTGTTCTTATTGTGTATTCCCTTTTGTAAGATGATTATATTTATTTAAAAAATAAAAACTTGTTTCTTTCTTTCACTGTGTGCTTTGTAAAATGATTAAAGATGGGATGTGGATATTACTGAGGTGCAACGTGGGAACAAAACAAAAAAACATGACATCCATGGATGCTGAGTGATGTCATCAGCCACAATGTGAGTTCTCGCGATAACAGCATCCTGTTGCTCTCTGCGCATGTTGGTTGACAGTTCAGGTATCACGCAGTCAAGCTGTTCGGGTTTCTGCTGTTTTTCTTATGATGGAAGTGGATGCCCTTGGAGCCCTCGATGAGGCAGAGAGACCAAAACATCGCCCTTTTTTAATTGGGGTCAGCGGGGGAACGGCGAGCGGAAAGGTGGGTCATCCTAAACGCGAAGTGAAGGTGCCGGTTAGCTTAGCATGCTTCACTAGTAGCGCCGTTATCGGGCTACATCAAGCTGTCAATACAACCGACACGCCCACTTGTCTGGAAAGTATTTATATTATTTCACAACACAGTTGTTTTCAAGTTGGACTGCCTATTTTTTAACGGCTTGTGCTATGTCTTTGCGGTGTTTTAACCGCTGCTAACAAACTAAAATGTTTCCCTCTCAGTGATGACCCGAAGTCAGCTGACAATAAACAGATCACGCGGTGTCACTCAATTTTTTTCCTTAATAACCATTTGATGCATTTCTGCTCGTTCAGTTTAATTCCACTTGCAGATGAGCTTTGTTTCACGATGATTATTTTTTTCTTTCCAGTCAACAGTTTGCGCAAAGATAATGGAGCTTCTGGGCCAGAACAAAGTGGACCACCGCCAGAGGAAGGTAGCCATCATAAGTCAGGACAGCTTCTACAAGGTTCTGACTCCGGATCAGAAAGCCAAAGCCCTTAAAGGCCAGTATAACTTTGATCACCCAGGTAAGACCAAAAGCCCCAGACACAACTTTGTTTATATAGTGTTTTCCCTCCTAAAATGTAAAAGAAAGTGGTATTTGTAAGGTTATTACTGGAATATTTGCTCATACATGCCTTCATACAGGGGGTGACAGTTTTAGTTGAGCGAGCAAAGTATGTAAGACATGATGTAACATTGTTGTTATATCCACACTAAATATTTTAAGCTGTTATACCCACTGCATAATAATATTGTTTCTAAAATGGTCATCTGATGCACTACTTACTGAACTTAACCATTCCTTTTCAATGTTTTTAGAGGCATTTGACAATGACCTAATGTACAAGACTCTGAAGGATATTGTGGAAGGGAAGGTGGTTGAAGTGCCAACATATGACTTTGTCACCCATTCCAGGTAGGACGGAACATAACATGGATTTCCACATATTAAGTCCTGGTGAAAAATCCTGTCCTTCTGTCTTCTTCCAGTGCCCTTAATCTGAGAAATCTTTGTGCGTCTGCAGGTTGGAAGACATAATCACGGTTTACCCAGCAGACGTCGTTCTATTCGAGGGGATCCTCGTCTTCTACCCCCAGAAAGTGCGCGACATGTTCCACATGAAGCTCTTCGTCGACACGGATTCGGACGTCCGACTGTCCCGCAGAGGTATCGATGTCTCCGTCACCTAGAATTCCTGACCGGGCCAGAGTCTTATGGATGCCTGGCCTCGCTTTTCCGTAGTCCTGCGAGACATGAGCAGAGGGAGAGACCTGGAGCAGATCCTCAGTCAGTACACAACATTTGTGAAGCCCGCTTTTGAGGAGTTCTGTTTGCCTGTAAGTACGACGCTCACTGATTGATGATAGAGCTTGATGACTTTTAATAACGCCACTCACTCACTGGATTTAATTTTCCTCAGACTAAAAAGTATGCAGACGTCATCATTCCAAGAGGAGTTGACAATATGGGTAGGCCCATCTTAAGCTCAAAATATTTTTTTCTGTTAATGTTTTTAGGATAAGCGATTCAAAATTGTTTTTAAAAAATGTTGATTTGTGTCTCATCAGTGGCCATCAACCTCATTGTGCAGCACATTCAGGATATTCTGAACGGTGACATTTGTAAATGGCAGCGAGGATCCCTTAATGGCCAGGCCCGGGGATTCAAACGGGCCCTGTCTGAGCAGTGCGACCTGCAGAATGGAACCTCCAACCCCCCAACAAAGAGGTCTCTGCATGAGCCCAGCAGTCGACCTCACTGAGACTGAGACTCTATGTGTGTGTGTGTGTGTGTGTGTGTGTGTGCGTGTGTAAATGGACGGGTCCAGACTTTGAATGTGTGTCTTTATTTAGAGTTGCTGCTACTAATGTGTGCAGACTGGGTTAGAAAATGTCAACGCCCTCTGCAGTTTTAAAGAAAACAAAACATGATCCACAATCAGAGTTGCAACCATTCAAAGCTGCAGTCATTCATTATTTTTATTAGAATTACTGGTGTGGAACCAGTATGCTATCTGGTATGTTTTTTTTTTTAATCCACAAATTGAGTCTTCCAGTGTTTTTTTTAATATAATCTAAACGGTCACATGAACTGTTACTGAAATGGAAGGTCTTGAAGTTGACGATAGTCACTGTTGTATTTCAGTATTTAATTTCGATTTTGCTTCAGCACTTTTAAGCTTGACGGCTTCGTCGTTGCTTTGAAATATCAGCATACTTTTAATATATAATGTAAAATGTGCTTAAGTTGTTGCTTGCCCTATTTCTGTTAGTAGTAATTTCTTCAAAATCAAGTTAGGTTGAGAAGTGTAGTTAAATGTGTTACACCTAGTTTGATGTTAAGTGCTTCCTTCAATTGATTTAATGCTAAATCCATGCCTTAATTCTTTTAAATATTTTTTTTTCTTTTTTCCCCACTCGCTGTTCCTGTAAAGTAAGATATGGACATTCTTTGCAGGTATTAAAATATCACTCTTGCTCAAAGGAAAAAGAAGCTTTGGAAAAATCCTTTGGTGTTCATAGAAACAGAGCTGTTTGATTTATTGTCGTTTGAGAGCACAGTGTGATGTGTGGGGTTTGGACATGATCCTAAAAAAAACAAAAAAAAGGGGGGGGGGTTGATGATTTACTACAGCACATGTTGAAATGACAAAACACACACAAGTCTGAGGACTTCAGTCACGCACACACACTCTTACACACCGACATTACTGCGACATGATTGTGATTGCCTGATGGTTCTTTACACTTGAACACAGCCCTCCATGATTCAGGTTGACATACACAGATCACAGCATCTTTAGTATTGAATCTTTTTCGTGTTTTTGCTTTGCTTTTTTTAAGTGCACATACATATGGCACTTGGGAGAAGCTAAGCTCTTCTCATAAGCATAAATGTCCTTTTTAAGAACAAAAGGAGCATTGTATATAATACATGTCATAACCATACATGATTCTTACACAAAATGTTTCAAAGCAAACTCCAAATTCCAGTCTATGTTGGCCATCCTGGCTTTGGGTTCAATCCCCCCCCCCTACCCCTCACACCCACAGCAGGTTCTCAGTCTGCGGCCCGCATGGATGCGACAGGTGGCTCCAGACGTTTTTCTGTCCGAGGGGACGCCGACGTCTGGGAGGGGGGTGCAGACGGTGACCAGCAAATGGCACATACATAAGGAAAAGAAAGAAGGGATTTTGAATGCTATGGACCATTCAGCTTAATCTCACACACGCGCAACAGCTCCCCCCCGGAGCAGAGAGTCCAGGGAGCAGACTTTGGTGACTTCCGTAGCGTCTCCCTGTCCACTCTGGCTCCTCGCTCCTCCTCGGCACCAGGTTTTCCCTGGCACCGTCTTAGTCTTTGAATCTCTCCCCGTCTCCCGAGCCAGACCACAGTCATCCCAAATATAATCTCCCAGAGCAACGCGGCTCTTTGTAAACCTCGACGACGCTTCAGTTGTCTGTAGTTTGTTCTGGTTGCCCCAAAACGAGTCTCCCATTAGCTTCAACGGATAGCTTTCGTGTGTCGTTCTAGCAGTCTGTAGTAAAGTGGAGTTAGTGTCATGAAGCACAGTTGGAGGTCAGTCTTGTAAAGCCCACAGACTCTAGGTCTTCTCCTCGCGGTCTGTCTTGCGGCGGGAAATGTTTCTGGGCTTAATCTTCAGTGACAGTTCCCACAGGGCCTCCTCGGCCAGGTGGTCGCTGAAGTCGTTGAAGAAAGAGATGATGTCCTCGTTGCGCTTCAGCTCGTAATGCCTGGGATCAGAACACGGTTAATCACTACAGGAAACGCTTACTCAGAAAAAACACTTTAAAGCTGTGAGAGACTATGACAAAGTCCCCTTAAAGTCACCCTTTCCCTTACACTTGCTGGAAGCGCCGCATGCTGTCCAGAATATTGAACTGCTGCCAGCGTTTGGAGAAGTTGACTTTCCCATCTATGAGGTCGGGGTTCCCCAGATGCACAAAAGTCAGGTCCTGGAGAATTAGACCTCTGCAAAGAGGATAGAAGAAAGATGAGTGACAAATTCAAGTTATGGTTGAGCTCTCAACAAAACAAAAAAAAAAGAAAAAGGAACATTTCCTTACAAGTAGGGGATGCATGGGGGCTCCACCTCAGCTAGAGCAGCTCTGTATGCCCTGAAGGAGGAGGAGCTGTCGATCAGCGTGCAATACTCCTCCAATCCCTAAGAGGTGGGGGAATATGAGCAGTTACGCACACTCAGTGGTGATGAGATCTTTGGACTAAAACACCTTAGCGGCTTTCTTACCTCTGAGGTCTGTTTCTGCCACTCCAACCTCCTGATGGGGGCAGAGTCCAGGGCCGATAATATTGCCAAGTAAGAGTTGAAATTATTCAACTTTCTTAAGTGCTGAAATGAAAAGGAAAGCAGAAATGTCAAATGCTTCCATAAAACCAAACCAAAAAAAATAAATCTATGCCCTGAACAGTAAACCTGCCTTCATTATTTTGATAAACTTGAGAAGCAGCTTCTCTCGGTCCTGGGCTTTCTCCTGCTGGATTATCAAAGAGCGGACCCTGTTGGAAGGAGACAAATGGAGCCTTTATTATGAGGCGAAAAAGCAGTTCTAATCACAGGTTAAAGGATTTCAGTCTGAGCTTCAGAGCTTTGACTTCTTTTCTCTCACCAATAGCTCATGTTGTTAAAGTGCTCGGTGAACTGAGTCAGGTTCGGACTCTTCTCCTCATTCTGCTCCTTCGCCCACAGCAGAACCTCTGGAATCTAGAGGACAACGGGAGGTTTCCAGAGAGGAGAGGTCAGAGCGGACAGGAGCTTAATGTAAAATCACAGAAAGATAAGCAGGGTTCCTGTACCTCAATCTTGTAGAATAGCTCAGCGTCTAGCAGAGTGAGCTGATCAGCAATCTCATGACTGCGGAAGTCATGCAGCGTTCCCGGTCTATCAACACACAAAATATTGGACTTATTGCCTCAGCTTTCAAAAACATCTTTTAAAATCCATAAAGTGACGAAGGGCCGTGCGTCTAAGCAGGAACAGGCAGAGCAAACATTTCCCCTCGTTTCCCTTTCAGCTCATCTCTGACCGATTTAAACCACCCCATGTAAGAAACACTTTGTTTGGACACAGTTAACGTGGATGGGCAAATCAAACACTGTGCAACATTCTAAATATTTAACAGCGCAGCTTCTGTCCACTGAATAAAACATGGTCTTCCTTTAGGGTACAGAGGAAACAGAATGGCAGGATAGAGACACGCTGCAGTTTTCCACCAGCACACTCACACAGATCTATCCTTTTTTTTAAACCCTCCCACCCAACCCTCGCACCTTGCAGAGACCCCTCGGGCAGCCAGGGGCTTGAGGGAGTTGGTGTAGCGCAGCAGCTTCTTCTGCTCCACCTTATCCAGGATGTTCTTGCGGAGCACGCGGGCGAGGCTGAGCTCGCCGTTGCAGACCAGCGTGAACACCAGCTCCATGAGTTGTTTCAAGATGTCCTCCGTCAGCTCCACCAGGCTGAGAGAAAGAGGAGAGGAAAGGTTTTAAACAAAATAACTCACACAAGTAGAGATTTTTCTGTGCGGTTTATGTCCAGATTTAGAAACGACTGATCCACTGATTAGACATTTGTCAGGACGTTGGATCTTTTTTTTAAACCAACATGGCGGCCGTGTGCACAGGCGGCCCTACTCACCACAGCTCGTCCACCACTCGAACCAGGACGAAGAACGTGTTCTTGCTGACTCGCTTCTTGAAGGTGTCTGGACTGTGGCAGAACGCGGTGTATGTGCTTTGTGATCAAGGACAATTAATCCAATTCTCCATGCTGGATACAAAACAGCTACGCACGCTTCACTAATTGAGTTCCGTTTTCTTAATTTAACCTTGTTTCATCACCTGCTGGCTCCATTAAAATGCTATTTCATACAAAAATCCTTTCCATCATCACGCAGCCGTCATTGCAGGACCACAATTTAGATTTCATTAGCTGCTAATCGGCTTATTACATCCTCAATCAGCCAATTACCTGTTCAGACTTTAAAATGTCAGACAGCACTTCAATGAGATGGACATAGAAAAATTATTATATGAGACCGGGCTACATCAATAGGTGTTAAATATCTTTCTGTTAAGATTTTGTTTTCTTAGGAAATTGTTTAACCTATGATTTCTGCTCTTACATAGCAATGGCAACATCTTAAAGAGGATTTGCTGGTTGTGAAGGGCTCAGCATACCGAGCACAGCTCACAACAAATTATCTATTCTGTGATTCAGGAGGAAATGAAAAAAGTTTCCAGATTTTATTTTTAGATGTCAGAAACCATCAGCAGAAGATTAAACTGAGCTGGAGGTTTAAACAAGGATTAAAGAAAGAAAATCGTCCATCTGCTGATGAAAAAAGCGATCAAGCCCTGAGTGATGGGTGATTTGAAAAGGATATCTATGGTGTAGCTTCTTAATGAGGTCCTCTGGGGTTATGAAAGTCCTATATGTAGTCAGAAAGGCTTCACAGTACAAGACAAGATCTGTCGAGAGAGAAGAAAAGGGGAGAAACACACAGCAGACATCAGTTCAATTCAGCCAGTGAGCCAATGAAAACGGACAACGTGTGATCAAATGAGATGGCTGCGCACTTAGACTGACACATGAAATAGGAAAGCAGCTCAGGCTATTTAAAATGCTACTAAAAGAGCATAAAACCACATCACACGAAGAGGCGCTTTCAGTCTGCAGAAATAAATCTGTCCTGAAATGGGAAATGAACGAGGATGCGTCAGACCTGTAAAACAGAGCTGAGCCAGTGACCCAGAGGCACAGCAGCAGAACAGCAGCCCACAGCATACCTTTGCGGTCCGTTTCTGTAGCGTGGACTAATAAAATATCTCCGGATCCAGCGCGGACGTCGGGGCCGTCGTCATTCTGAGAAAATCAAAAGCCATAAATGAGGAGCCGGTAGAACGGCACACATGACAGACTGATGTTTGTGGAAAGGAGAACGACAGGAGCGGATAACAGGTGATGCAGTCCAGCCCAAAATGTAGCCTGGATGTTTCCTCCTCCTCTCCCCCAAACCCTCCCCGTCCTGCACCAGCTCCGCTGATGACGGAGAAAAAGTCTGACTTGTGTCTGACACAATCACCAGCACTGCAACGTGCCCTCTGTAATGACTCTAAAGGCTTTGGCAACCCAGAAATCCCTCCTGCACTCCCTCTCGCCTCTTCCCATCCTCTCCTGTAATCCCCAGCTGTCACATTGCCTCTAACCTTGCAGACAGGCATGCAGCGTTTTCACACATCTGTAGATCAGACTGCACCACACTGGACAAAGGAGGAGACCAGGAGGAGGGGGGGGGGGCAGGTTTGGCAGTGTCAGCTCTGCAGTTTGGTTAATGCACCTCCAGAGGGCAGTAAGCCCATCAGAGGTGCGATTGAGAATGGGATTTCACTCGGGAGTGTCTGGCAGCCACCTTTACTGTAAGCTGCAGTCAGTGTGCAGCTCGGCTGCAGCACTTTCCTGGAAACGGCACCACAGCTTGTTGCCTTACCTCTTGCTTTAGTGTTATCCTGCTCATAATCTCTTTGTGGTCTATGAGGGAGAGCTCGTCCACGTCTTCCTCGCCGTCCTCGGCCGATTCCGATGACTTTTGCCTCCTGAAATAAACAGAATAAACCTCCGTTAGCACTGGAAACTCATGTCTCCACCTCTATGCTGCATATGACTTTGATGGTCTGAAGGCTTTTGTAATTTTTGTAATCATTCGTACCTTTCTTTTTCCAAAGCCTCTTTGCTACTGCTTGATGGTATCTGAGGGGCGGGGTCTTGAAGAGCATCATCAGCTGTAATCGTTTCCTAATCAATGGGCACACAGAAAGTTACATGTAACATCAATGGTGAATGGCTCCGACACACCGCTTGGAGGGGATGAGACCACATGAACCACCCGGATCTCATGCAACACGTAGATGGAGGGAAGGAGGATGGATGCTTTATACAGATGTGTTCCCTACTAGAGAGGTGGTGGGGGGGGGAGACTGGTCGGTAAAAATTTTGCTTTTCCTCAAGATAAGCAAAGCCAACCCATTTAATGAGACTCCAAATAAAAACACCACAGGGTAAAATCCATTTGCACTGAAACAACACCAAGTGTGAAACCTCATAGTCCAACCACACATCTTCTGCAATCTCCCAAACAAGAAGAGAGGAAAACAAGAAGCAAAACAAAACCGTGTCCCCGTCATGCCGATAGCGAACCTCATATACATGAACAGCACCAAAGTAGGGCAATCACATGCACAGGTTTTTTTGTTTTGTTTTGTAATGGGAATGTTATGAGAAAACCGTAAATTCAGTCCCTTTTTGGAAGAAAAAGACAGGTCAGGAGTTAGATAGGGCATGGTTATATGTTCGTTAGAGTTAAAGCGCAGCAGGGGACGGCAAACACCAGCCAGGCAGCCAAACAACAAACACACCAACATCGTTTCCACAGACACCAACCAGAGCACATGATTCCATTTAGGGCAAACCTGTGAACCTGAAGCAACCGGCAGTCAGGTTGGGCTACACTCGCATTCCATTCAGCGCCATTTCATCCAGGAGATGAATCAATAAGAGCCGCTGAGTGCAACACATGTGAGAGGAACATGTGCCCGGCGAGCAGCCCTCCTTTCTTTGAGTCCCCTCGCCACATTTGAATTGATTCATACCCTGAGGTGACAGGACGCGCAAATGGAATTGACCTTTCACCAGTGGCGGACAGCTACTTACTCTGAGGGAGAGAGGCAGCTCCCCATTGGCCTGGCTGGATGAGTACAAGTTGACATACTCCCCCTCCCCGCCCTCGTCATTCGCGCTCTCGCTCTATGGGAGAAGAGGAGGGACACAAACCGAGGCGTAAAGCAGCAGAGAGGGGCAGAGAGTGTTTGCTCAGGGTGCAGCAAACTTTAAGTGTGAATATGTGGCTAAGGAGGAGAGTTAGCAGCTGGCCGGGGTTTTGTAGTCTGTGCACAGCTGTGTGTTTTCGGGCTCCTTCCCACCACCAGGTGGCACTGGAGTGCATCGTGTGTTAAAGTAATAGTACTTACTGGCAAGAACATGCAGTGCAACATGCTCCACTGGGATTGTTTTAAGACCAATAATCAGACAGCAGACAGTTTGTGGGCAGTGATAATGACAACAAGATGCAGCTAAAAGAATGAGTCACTATATTATCATTTAAGCAACGATACAGGAAACCAAACAACTGTAATCCAACTTCAATCTGCCGAGAGAGGATGTCCAGTGGGAGGTTTTACAGTCTGTCTTACAGAGCTATGTATTTGAGTCCTGCCTGCTTCCACTATCCTTTGTGAGCTCACCGCTGAGGTGTGGAGAGAGTCAGTGAGAGAAGACTCAGTGGGAAGACAAACGACCCCAGAACCCATAGAGCCAGCCAGGGTACCGTTGGGCCCGCCCCCGCTGCCATCCAGAGTGGTGGCATTGGTCAAGGCAACCTGGTCCAAGCTCTGCGATTGGTGGGAGGAAGAATGAAAGCAAGAAAGGGAAAAAATAAAATAAAAACAAAGGACAGGACTGAAAGATCAGAGAGGAAAAGTCAGAGCAGACAGAAACAGAAGCTGAACAATACGCAGTAGGGGCAGTAGAGTTCACCTCTTTCTCTAATACCTCCATTGAGCCTGGACCACGGGCTCGATGTGCCTGAACATGAAATCCACTGAGCGCGCACACGCACAGCAAAAAATGGAAATAGGGGGAACGGTGATGACAGAAAAAACTCAAATGAGTTAGGATGGAATTCAGGATATAATGTGTAACAAGAAAAGAGATAAGCAGGCATGAAAAAAAATGCTCAAGAAGAGATGTTTTAAAATGTGTAGCCAGCAGAGGAGATGCCTGATAGCAGGGAAGTAGCAGCAACCTGTTATTACACGTTTCACATTCCAGACCTGGATCAGCATACCAACACAGGCTGCAGACACACATCAGGGATAAAACACCACACAAACACACCCAGGCCCGCACACACAGCCGCTCTCAACTGAATGCTGAAGAAAATATAAATATACTCATTTGAATACACTAAAAAGGAAAATTAAATTTTGTAAATTTGAACATGTTTGTTTGTTCCTGGCAACGCCTCAAAAATCTTAATGCCCCAAAGAGCAGAGGAATGCAAGCATTCCTCAGAAACACGAATGGGAGGTGTGCAAGTGTGCGCGCACTCGGGGGGGAAAGGAGTTTACAGGATGGTGGCGAGGGAGGCGGGCGGAAGAGATGAGAAGGAGATGGCAGAGAGGTATGAGGCGGATGCTGCAGGATGGAGAAAAAGAACAAGAGCAGTGGAAACAGAGGGAATATGTTTTCCATCAGGTCCATCTGGTTCTGCATTCCACACGAGATATCCTGAGGGAGATCCACACCAGGTCTGAGCGTGCCTTGTGCAACACGGGGTCATCATGGGTCAACCCTCCCAAAATACCGACCAGAACAATGTTACGCAGGCCCGGCCCCAACTACCTGAAATAAAGTAGCCAGTCACCACAAATGAATGCATTGACAAGTGGGTGTTGATGGCCGAATCGTTCTATTCTGACCACCAGCAGGTTCATTAGGTATCTACAATCTCAAACCAAAGCCCCCCGACACCCTCTTTTGATACTTTCAGGACCTACTCCAGACAATTCAATGGGGGTATTTCTGAGGAACACTGGAAAGAAGATGAGGGTCACACAGTTACCTGTCATGTGGTGGAATGTGGTCAGCACAAACTCACACACAGTGGGCAAAGGAGTGGCTACACAATACCAGCACACATTCACCACCACGCAAAGCACACGTCAAAAACTGAAACATCCAACACCTCAAACGAAAAGCAGGTCACGCAGGTCACAGAAACGCACACATGGGTGGGCGGATGAGCAAAATGAAGGAGCGCACAGCAATCACAGCACTGACTCTTGAGGGGAAGCGGTGGTACTACCCACAAAAGGTCAACGGGCTGTATCACATATGCAGCACACACGGGCCATGCCACCACCGGACCAGTCAAGGACCACACTGCACCCACACCAGAGCAGAGGATGGGATGGAGTGGAGGGGTCTGGTGAAGGGGGGGGGGCGACTCACCGTAGGTGTGGTCAGAGATGCCTGGCCATTCAGGTAGGAATTAGAGACGGACATGCTGAGGCCCAGCCCAGAGCCCGCCTCCTCCATGGCCGCTACAGACGGCTGGAGGTGGCAGGAGAGAGAAGAGGAGGACGAGGAAGAAGGGGAAGAGGAGTGGGAAGCCTTAGACAGAAAACAAGGACAAAGAAAGAGAGAAAAAGGCAGAGAGAAGAGATGTAAAAAAACAGAGCAAGAGATAGCAGTGGAGGTTATGGGAGTGGAAAGAGGGGAAAACAGGGAGTTAGGAAGGAGAAAAAGAGGGTACAGATGATTACTCTAGTAAGCAAGACTGAATTAGATCAGATTTAATCAAAGTTCAGCTGCAGCAGGGTTGTGAAGCCAGAAAGCTGAAGAGGATTCTTGTAGTTCGGATGAAAGCGTCCCACATTGGCCGAAGACATAAAGAGTGAAAGGATGACCCGACCGTAACCTGATTTATTGCCTTCCAGTCCTTCCTAAAAATCCCAAAAAATGAAGTTCAAGTAACTTGTTCGGGTGGTGCTTTGGGATATTTACTGCAGTTCTAACGGTCCAATTAAGCTTTTAATATCCCTCCTTTCAGGGCTTTACAGAAACCAGGCCATGAACGGCACGGTCTGAACACGGCCAGTATGATCTGCTTTGAGCCCCCCCTCCAGAATCCATTTTCTTATCCACACCGCAGCTGGAATGACTTTTTTTCCCTTTTTCAAAGCTGTGTAAAGTTGCCAAAGCATGTAAGCCTGTAACATGGGTTTATGCAGCGGGCAAACAGGCTTATTCCACTGAGCCACCAGCTCATCAAGCCCAAAACATGAGGCCAGATTAGGCCGAGCGCCGGCAGCACAGAGAGCCGCAGGACGCCCAGACAAAAGGAAGTTAAAAATAAAAAAAAAGCGCTCAGCTTTAGAGTCAAAACCAGAAAAAAAGGGACAAAGAGAGGGGAGGTGGTCTGTTTGGACAAGCGCTCTCAGTATGAAATGGTATTCTAGCACAGAGAAAGCAGCATCTGTTTGCTGTCCCCGAGGATCCCGTCCACCATCGGCCAGGCTTTAACGCTAAACATGTGGCACACCGCACATGCACACAGATGATCAATATTGTACTGATTAGCAAGGCCAAAAGGTTAGAAATAATTGCAACCACACGATACTAAAACTTGAAACATAATTTGTGCACAAACGGACTGCATGTACGTTGTTTATGCATGTGAATGACAAAACTGTCTAATGAGAGGTGTTGAAAAACATTCCAATGTAGCAGAAAATGGGTTAAGGTAGAATCAATTAAGACGTAGGAGTTTTCAGGGCCTCTAAAGGTTTCATGCCAAACCGCCCTCCCCTTCTATGACCTGTTCAATTGTCTCTTGATGTCAGTGATTCACTGGCAGACGGCTGTCTCAATTAACCCCGACGCCAGCCCAGATTAAGATAAGTGAACTGGATCTGATCGGTGGCTGATAAAGGCCGCTCTTATCTCCCGCTAACAAGCAAACACCTCAGTGTGTCTACAAACGCCTGCTTAGGCCAAAACAACGATGAAGAGAGGGAGAGATTGCAAAGGGGGAGCTGAATAGCTGAGGGAGATCAACGAAAAGGACGAGACCCGACAGAAAACCGATAGATTCTCACTGGGTTGTGATCCAATTCCAGGGTGCACAATGCATTCATTCACACTTCACTTCTGGCCATGTAAAGCATGAAGATACAGGGTGGATCTGTGTGAACCGTGCTCTCATGCGCTCACAGCACTTTTTAGCACGCAAACTAGAAGAAAAAAGAAGTTTCTCTAATGAATGCATCGAATATGTTGAGCATTGTTCATCGACTCCAGATGAGTTAATCCAGCTTCTGTTCCACCTTAACGGCAGCTCGTTCTACAGAGTCGAAGGATGTGCGTCGACATGAACAACACTCATGCTGGGGGTTTCTTACCAGCTGTCTCTGCTTAGGTGGCAAAGCTGGGGGCTGCAGAGGCTCGTGGACAGAGTCAGTGCTGCTGAAGGAGTCATTGAAGCCACAGACCTCCTGGAAATGCCTGTTGCGCTGTTCGTAGATGCTTTCACTCTGTGGCATCTGGTAGAAGACGGAAGGCTGCGGCTCCGAGTAGTCCTCCACAAACTGCATGTACTGAAGGACTGGAGGGAAGAGATGGACAATAAATTTGCTAAATCAGAGGCTGGTTACACACCCATTTGACTCTAAATCCCAATCTTAGGGCTTTAAAGTGGACGTTTTGCATACAATAAGGCATTTTGGGATAAACCTGCTGACTGTAGAGGAGCTCTTAGTGACACCAAAGTGAGTTTAACTATGACCACTGGATGTGGGAAATGAGTGGACCTTCAGTTTGAAATAACTTTACGCTGATTGTTCTGTTTGACATTCTACATGACTGAAGTCATACGCTGTGAGAGGTGGAACAGCGAGCAGGAAGGGCTGACTGTATAAATGACATAATACAGTAGCTTGAAAGGAAGTGATGTAAGAGGTGGCTGAGGAAATGACCAAACACTGCCCTCTGTGCCTTTTGAGCCAGACCCATTGTGGCACGGCCCAACACTCACTTCCTGTCTCTGTTCACAGTGAGTATTTATTTGACAAAAGTTGGGCCTCAATAAGCCGATGACAAAACGCAGCTCGCGTCCTCCTCTCTTTTCCTAAACTCAGTTTCATCCCTTCCTCTGCTCTTTCCTTCATCGCTCTTTGCAGCCTGACTGCTTATTTACAGCCGGCCTCCCCCCCTCATGATGTCCCCCCCGTTGCCCTTTACGTACTGTTTCGACTTTTCTTCTCCGGCAGCGGCGGTGGGCTGCCAGAGACGTCTGAATTCTCACTGGCGATGAACTGAGACACGAAGACTCCCCCGTTTGTCTGAGGCATGGGCGAGATGGGAGTGAAGAGGGGGAACGGCGGCGTGGGGTGAAGCTCTTCTTCGGACAGGTTGTCGTAATGGGAGGGGTAGCGCTCGTAGAGCACCCTGGAGCCGCCGTCGGGGAAGGGCGACGTCTGGGTGCTGCGGCGCTTCTTCTGGGGCAGGGCGGGGGGGGCGCTGATGCGGGAGGACTGGAGGGGATTGGGCTGGTTGGGCTGAGGGGTCCAGTACTCCGGCTGCTGGGGGGGAGGAGCGCTGAAGCGGGGATGCGAGGGGTGCTGTCCCGGGACAGGGGAGGAGGACTCGCTGTGGGACTCGGGCAGGGGGCTGAGGCAGCCGCCCACAGGTATTGGAGGCAGGTTCTCCCCGGCAGACAAGTCCTGGTGGAGGAAGTCGTAATCCGGGTCGTAATTCTCTGTGTTGTCTGAAAAGGGAAAAGTGACATTTAGCTCAAGCTGAACAACGGCTCATCCTGTGGGTGAGAGGAAAAGGTTCCACTGGCAAAATCAGATTTGCCGCTCTACAGGCTCAAATCTATTTTCCTCCGCTTCATTTCTACCGACAAGCTAGAGTTAGAAGTATGTACATAGATCTAATAATCAAAACTCAAACAGAATGTAGGCTTAAACATATCATATCATCAGAGGGTGCTTTTATCAACTATCTACTAGTAACACTAAGGAAACTATTTTTTCATTTTGGTGTTATCTGATGTCTGGCGTCAAAAGGAATCAGAGAGCTTTCATTTCATTTTCAAAAATAGATAAAATAAAGAGGTCAAAAACAGGAAAGTATCATTCACATTTTCTGCAAACCGCGTCCACATTTTAAGTGTCTTAACTTCAGAAGTATTTTTGGAATACATGGCTTGTAAAAAACAAGGCAGAAATTAGTAGACGGTTAATGTCTCTGATCTATTTAATCCACGTTTCATAATTCATGTGGCTCGTCTCAGTCTAGTGGTTTGAAATTACAGGTCGTGATCATTAACTGGACAGCCCCAGAACCCTTTTCTGGCTTTGCAGCAAACACGGTTCAATTACAGATGAAAGCCCAACCTCTCAGGCCAAGATTTGACTCACCTACACAATAGTGATGAGATGCTTAATTTAGTTAGAGAGGCGCTGTGCTGATAAGCGCAGACTGAACTGAATTTAATAAAATGCTGTTGGAACCAAGTCTCTTGATCTTTAATTGGATTCTTACCGAGTGTCTCGCAGCTGGTGTTACGAGAGCACTGACCACTGTCCTGCTCCATGGAAGAAAGCTGTTCGTCGGACTTGCTTAGTTTCCCCATACTACTGCAAGGGGAAAGCCGTGGAGAGTCGCCACCGTAGGAGTGACTCCCCCCGGAAAAGCGCCTCTGAAGGAGCTCCTGCTCGTACTCCTGTACGGAAACAGTGAGATCTAACCGGCTGGTCCAAACAAATGGGCACACATATCTGCTGTACTGTATGTTTGTGCAGTCTTGGAGCAGTAATGCGTGACCGAGTCGATCCTTCACCTGTCTGTGGTCGCTGCATGGCAAGCTGGAGCCACGGCTCATTGGCGCGACCACCGCGACTGGTGTGGGCGACGGGGCCGACTGGCGCTTCTTCGGCGGGAGGGCGGGTGGCGGACTATTGACAAATAAACAGCAGAATCGTATCAAACAGGTTCCAGAAGGCAGAGCCAACCGGCATCGTCTGGGAAGCACACGGAACATGACATGTATGCACACAGATCCATGTACAGATACATGAACACACACACCGTCATCCCTCCTGTGGAAGGGTGAGATGAAACTGAGGGTGTTTCATGTTAGCCTCGGTCAGCTACGACATGAAGTCATCCTGTCTGTCAAACCTACATTCTCTCAGTTAGAACCTACCAAGTAAAAATGAGGGGGGGGGGGGTAAAGATAAGCAACCATGACGTGGATGCTAGCATTTCATCGGTCAGTCACACACTCTCATGCATTGGACGGGCTTCTGATTGGATGATGAGGTCTTCGGGGAATATCAAGGATGACACAAACTTTGGGAAAATGCAACCATGCAAGTCAAAAGCCTTCATCCAATCCAGAAGCTTCATGGGGTTGGAGGGTGGGATGTTACTATGGAACTGGATGAACCACTAGGCTGACATACTTCTCTTTCTGAGAGGGTCTCCTTTGGCCAGCGTCAGCACTCAACTGTGCTCTGTTCCCAGAATCCAAAGGGAGACCAACGATGAAAAAAAAAGAAAAACAAAATCGAGACACAGTAGAAAAGAGTAAGGAAGGAAAAGGCAGAGCAACAAACAAACAAAATAACTCCAATTTGATTTGGAAAACCTAAAGAATGAACGCTGGACAAGAGCCAAAGAATATAAACTTAGAACGGACACCAAACAATAGGTTTAAACATTCAAAAGCAACAACTTGTAGATCTGTGAATATGAATAAAGTCTCTCTGATCCACATACGCAGCCTTAACAAATGCTTTCACCCTTATCACAAGTGACGGGAAACATTTTAATGACACCGATTACGCTACTTAGCAGCACTGTGGAGTCAAACGGGCACGGGGAACATTCTGTGTGCACTCACACCATCGCCTTTTTAGCCGAGAGGCTGCTTTTGCTGACGTTTATGCAGCAAAGTCTCCTGGAAGAGGCTGTACTTGTGCTGATATGAGCTCAGAGTGTTTAAGCTTTCCAAGACCCACTTCCCTGACCACGACTGTGAAAATGAGCCCTCACGCAGCGGGCAGGCGGCCGCACTGAGGTTGGATCGGTCCGCTCCGGCGTGTAGCCGACACCAGGAATGCGGGGAAAAGCAGCAACTGTCAGAGGACGGAGATCGTGTGCGGTATTCTAACCCACCTGAGTTCTGCCATTTTGGCCTCGGGGAGAGGGGGTTTGGGAGGGGCCACGTCCTCATCTGGTAATTCCGGGGCAGGCTCGGCAGAAGAAGCCGCTGGAGCCGTTTTGACTGAGACCTCCTGCTCCCGGTCTATCAGGGGCATCTCAGACGGCACCCTGCTGGGGGCAGAAACGTCAGCAGAGTGAGCAGAGTCTTACAGCGCGCTAGGCTTTCTGCGGCCGAGCGTTCACCCACCTCTCTGCTGTGGTGACAGGTGCTGCGGGTTTATTGGGGGTGGTCGGCGATGGTTGCTCCTGTTTCTCTATGGTCAGCTTCACCAATTCCTATTCTCAGACAGTTAAGAGAAGCAGATTCTGTGAGCACAGCATGAGAAGACGCTGCCAGCTATTCTTTTTTATCCACGCGTGGCATACCTTCACTCCGTCCAGCACCGCCTTGATGACGCCGGTGACAGATGCCACATTTTCTTTATCCTCCAAGTCAATGCCGTCCAGCATCACTTGGTCTGCCCAACGGATGAGCTTGGCCAGACTTTGATACACTCGACTATGGCAGGAAGACAGTGCCGAACTGTTGAAAAGGGGAGATATGAAAGTTGAGCGCCGCCAACGGGGGACGATTCAGAAAATGAGGACAGAGACAAAGAAAGAAAGATGGTTGTACAGTGTAGACAAAGACACGATGAAAATCAAAAGATGCAGCGTGGAGTGTGAAATCCACATGTTAGACAGGAAGTGAGGACACAGACGGGTCATTCCCAGTGTATCTATGAAGCTGCATATTTTGGGGGATTTTGCTGAGGAACCACAGAAACATCTGACTACAAACTCTTGGTTTGGAATAGGCTTTGTGCGCTGACAGGATAACCACACAGTCATGTGGGGTGTTGTTTCTCCCTGTAGCTGATTCAGCCCCAACGCTAAGGTGTGGCAAAGGCCTGCATCAACATGTTGCAGCTGATTCACAGCACTGGAATATCCCTCCACTGTCCCAAGTTAGCCGGAGACAGCTGAAGCCATGGTAGACGGCTTTAAGGATGAAAATATGTGGGCTATAGGGTACAGAAATCTTGGTAAGCTTTAACGGAAATGTCAGGGTGGACGGAATTGGTTCATTATGGATATTGATATATCGACATTTGGTTAAAAAAAAGCCATTTAAAATTGCAGTGCAGTATTTAGCCGCACAAACTAAATTCCTTTTTCTCTTACAGATGGGTTTACTCTAAAAATAAACTTGGCTTTATTTAGATTTCTTGCCACTTAATGATTCTGTGAATTAGACTCAAAATATCTTGGTGGACAGAGAAATATCTAGCAGTAAACTTGACACATGTAGCCTGAAGCTAGAGGATAAACTAAAACTTCTACCGCGATCTACTGGGATTTGACTCCAAGAGACTGAGGTCAAATCCTCAGAGACGGCAGCTTCTCACTGCTGCTGCAGCAATCCATAAGCTGCCTCTGAAACGCAGGCCGAGGAGACACAGAATCTGTCCCCTCCACACCTTCTTCTGTTCTGATGGATGGAGAAAGGCGCTTAGCAAATAACAGAGCCGTTCCAACACGCCCTGACAATCCAAGCGAAACAACAGCCAAAGCCGTGGATCATTAAGTCATACAGGAAGTGGAATGGAGCAACATAAGGAGTCAAAAGCATATCTCTGTTAACCAACACTGAATTTTTTTTTTTAGGATGTGCAGCAGGAAGTGGATTGGAGGCAGTTATAGAGCTAGTTTCCTGTGAGGTCAGCCGTCCCAACCTAAATAAATAATTCCCCAAGGAGATGTAGGAATGACAACTCTCAGATTCTAAGATGTATTTTCCAGTTGGTTTTACAAAAGAACAGAACAAAAACCCTCAACTCACCTCTGCTGTATCCGAGCCTCTACCTGAACCAGAGGCAGGATCGCTTCGAGCACCTTGCTGGCAGAGCCTGGAAGCATCTCGAGCACTTTCTTCTCCACCACCATTTTGTCCACGATTGTCTTGAAGTAGCGCAGGGCACTCACCACCTCCTTCTCTTGCTCCTCTAACCTGCTGACCTTCTGCAGAAGAGATAAATACAGCTGACTTACGTTTTTTAATCGTCATGCTGTTGATGAAAACCAACAAAAGTACCGGACAACACTTGCTCACAGTTCAAAGTCTGATCTCAGCAGGGATCTCTGTACAACCCTAAAGAGCTCTTCCTTAGCCAAGCTGCTCGTGAACATACTCATTACATCAAAGCCCTAAAGACGGAGCGGAGGAGTTCATTCAGGAAGCAGCCCGGCTCCACTCAGCTCCTCAGACACCTGCAGCTTCCACAGCAACTGTGGGAACCAGCAGGGAACTCGAGGCATAAAAAACAAAACCTTGGACGGGATAACAAGTCTTAAAAAGAAGGCCCCAAACAGCGGCGAGGGAGGATTTGCATCTCACGCACCTTGTTGGTGGGTTTCTCAGTACTTTTGGCTGCTGGCTCGGGCTGCAGCTGCTTTCCCTTCTTCGATGGAGTCCTCTTGATCTTGGGAGAGTGGAACTTGTCCTTCAGTATCATCGTGAAAGTGGACAGATGGGACCGCTGGGAGTCTGCGGACAGGAGGGAAACAGAGGAAGTTGAGTGACCGTTCACAGGGTAAAGATTATCAGGGGAGCAGAAATGAGACGTAAACAGATGGCACCGGCCGAACGAAGAAATGGTTTCACTTGTGTTGCATGTGTTGTGCAAAAATGAGTTTAGGAGAGGATACCAGATTCAAACAGGAATCCTTACAAGAAAAAAACAAAACAGGAATACACCAGAGAGATTTCAACAAGTATTTGCAGCATCTGTATTTCATCTGTTCTTCTTTTTTTTCCTTTTTTTTCCACCGTCGTAAATCTGCCGGACAGATTCTTCCAGCAGCTCACAGATGTGTGCGTGTGAGAGAAAAGGACGAAGCTGCAATCAAGCTGCACGGGAATGCAAACTGCTGCATGGTATGTGATTGAGAGCATCCTCATAATAGAGTCATTAACCAATTCAGTTTGTTCACTGTCGGGAGTGGCGGCTTCATCCCGCCATACCTGATGGCTGGCTCATCGTCTGCCTCTCTTTCTCCACACCAAAGTGCATCAGGAGATAAACACTAATAATGGCAGCGAGGGCTGACAGGAAGCGTGGGTTTTTTTTATCAGTGACAAAATTACACCTCTATCTGCTGCGATCTCTCCCCCCCAGCGCGATGCGGGCCATATCCGGCATTCCAAGGCCACCAGAGACAAGAAGAAAAAAAAAAGAAAAAAAAAACTGCTGAACGGCAATCAACAGCACAAAAATGCCACAAACTCAACTCTCAGCCAGCCAAACAGACACTTTCATCCGCACTATCGATCAGATCAGCATGCCACGCACGCACCCTGCCCACGGTTCTCCGTCTCCAGGCCTAATCCTCCTCATCCCTGAAGCCCGGGCAAAAGCCAAAGATTGCCGAGTCGGCCAAGGACGACTGTGTCTCATTAAAAATGCTGATGGGAACGCTTCCAGAGGAGTTTCCTCCAAAAACCAGCGCGTTAGTTGGGGGGTGGGGGGTGGTGCATGACTTCACGGGCTCTTGTTTTACTCCGCATTTTTAAAAAAAGATCTTATCTCGATGCTGGGTAAATATAACCCGACACTGGCTGCTTTGTAGGCATGTGTAACTTTCTGAGGTTGCAAAACTGATTCAATAACAACCGACTTACTGGAAATGTATCCTATGACACCTCGTTACATTTGAACGGCCTCTGACCTACTTTTTAGGACCAAACGAGTTAAATCGATCACGCACACCCGGGGAAGCCAATCCCGCTCGCATATAAGCACACATCATTCATTTCTGTAGCATGTGTTTGGACGATGTAGATCTCATAAATTAGTTGGCTGCATGTGTCAGTAATCTTTAAATCCAACTGTGTGCATGTTGAACTCTGACAGTTACTATAGAGGCTGGATTAAGGGAGGCAGAGAAGAGGAGACTGAGTACATCAGAGAGACATATCGGGTGCTGGAAGGGCCCCGCGGACAGGCACAACCTTCTCATCCCAACAGCTGTCCGAGTCGTTTTTTTCTTTTTTTTGCAGCCCGAGGCTAAAATGTCCCGGGTTAGTCGGTTTTGCCGCGAGCTAATCTGCTATCCTGGCAATATGTAGGCGGTCAATATTATTTTGAATGCATGGCAACTTCCGTATGAATTAGGCCTAAAATGATCTCATATCTGCTTAATCTTGTTGGCCCCCATCGCAGGAGCCGTGACCGACATCCTAACATGCAGGATGTTTTCATTCGTTTCCAGCTTAAACAGCGTCTGACTGCAGCTGCCACCTGCGGCCAGAGTGGAGGGAAAAAAGCGAGTCGCCCCGATGATTGATACAACTATTCCCCCAAGACATCCCCGCTCAGCCCAGCAGCCCGTCGCGCGCACGAGGCAGGATCCCTGCATCCTATAGGCTCCCTTCCCTTTCAGGGAAAAAGCCCTCTCGCATTAGGCCTGGCCAGATGAACAGACGAACATTACATCAGCAGCAGACGAATGAAAAGTGTGAAAGGGAGTCAGCGAGGAGAAGCAGACAGACAGAGGAGAAAACAGTGCGGCGCTCTGTTCCGGCCCAGCGGGCCTCCACTCCTCCGCCGCGGAGCAGCCAGCCGTCCCTTCTGCTCCCCTTCGCTTCCTGTCTGCTGCTCGCCAGAGTTATGAGCCGGTGAGGTCACTGGTTGTAATGCCTCTCGCGCTGAATTGGACGAGTCTTTGACCGAGCGGAAGAGTGAGAGAAATCTCCCTGTGAAAACATGTTTTTCAGCCGTTTGGGACGGTACTGTAAAATGACCCGCCCTGGTTTGCCGTCTGACAGACTACTGAGCGCGGTCGGGTTTTAACAGCCACACGTTACAAAACAAATCCACGCTCACATGACAGCAGGATCAGTTTAAAGTTTTGCAATCAAAATCCTGGAACACCGAGCTCCACGAGAAAGAGATGCACAAAAGCTCACTTTAGTTAGAATCTGTCTTTATTCATATCAGTGGTACAAATTGAAGTCAGAAGGGTTGAGGGAAAAAAAATGGTGGAGGTCACTGCTAGAGAGGGACCAACTGCAGCAAACAGTGAAGGATTTTGGAGCTGGGCTGTGGACGTTTAAACTGCTCGGCATTTGGGGGGGTTGAAACAAACATGGGAGAGTTTGCACACAACTCTGTGATCCCGGGAGCTTTTCGGCTGCTGAACTGTCTGGAGACTCGGTTACACAATAAGTAAACACACACACACAGGATGTAAATTTATGGACCCTTCCTTCAAAATTACACCTTTACAGTTAAGTGCATGCTCTCTAGAACAAGGCGCATGTGGCACCTCCTGTTATGAGTTCGTAGACCACCACATTTAATTACGCTGCCTTAACATAATGAATAAAGTAAATACCAGCTCTAGCTGGCAAATATTATCCTTCCCGATAGGAAGAGGTTTCCCTGCCAGAGCACAGGTGTGCCACAGTCAAACCATCCACTAAACAAAACTATCTTCCTTGATAAAAGTATTCTCAACATCTCCACTAAAGAGCTCCAGAGAATCCACTCTTGGTCTGTGCGTTTTGCTTGTGGTGCCATTTGTGCTCGTCCAGGTCTGACCGAGGACGCTGACGGATTATTGCAGCTCTTGTTTAGTTCATGTGGGATGTATATGGGACAGCTGGCCGGGCCGTCATGAGACCTGCCCCCTTAAAAACGGGACGAAGACGGGCGGGAAGGACAACAGATGAGGTGGTGCTTCAGGTTACACGCACAGCTGTCACCTCCTGCTGAACCTCCTCTCAGCGAAAGTCTGCGCAAGCCCTGCCTATGCAGACCTGATTGGCCCAAAAGGTCGCCGCGCCAGCTGTTGAGGAAGAATGCGCGTAAGGAGAACAGAAACGGATCCGAGCGGACAAACAATGGCGGAAGAAAAATTCCTTCTATTTCCGTCCCAGTGAAAAAGAAAAACATCCAGCACTCAGAGCGTTTCTTCAAATGAATTATTCAAGGATGGAAGGATTAGATAAACGGGATCTTTTGCTGCTTTATGCACGCTGCTCTTTTCCAAATTAATGAGCACTAATTTTACTGCCCCTGTACCTAGAGGCTGGAACTGATGGAGCTGTACTTCTATAAACAGCAACTGTTCCCACATTGAAGCAGAACTTATGAAAAGCAGACAAACAGCCAGTACATTGTTTATAAGTGACTTCACCTGCGATGAGGCCTTATTGGTCCATAAAAATGACAACACTGGGAGTGAATAATTGCCTGCCTCGCGGTAGAATGACAAACGTGGAGGAGCTGGGCCAAGTTATCATTTCTCCACAGGCGAGGCCTGCTGTGGTGCAAGCCTGAGGCATGCGAGATAACCAGCAGGGAGAAAAACGGAGAGGAGAGAGAAGTTCAACAGGAAACAGTTAAGAGCTTAGTGAATTATTTATTCTCTCCATTGTAGTGGTTTCTTCCTGCTGGCCGGGCTCAGTTTTCAATAGGAATCCTCATTATATCCGTGGTTACCAACAAGCGGCTCAACAGGAAACTCCATGCTCCTCATCAGTCTGCTGCCGGACGGCAGAGGAATGGCAAGGGGTGGGGGGGTGGGGTGGTGGGGGGGGTATGGAACATGGTTAACAGCTGATTTAAGAAGCAGTGAAGGCAGAGGTCTAACTCCGGGCTTTACAAGCTGTGCGAGTATGCCGCAGAGAATGGAGTCCACTTAGTGACAGTAATGATGCTGCGTGCTCAGCTCAGTCATCATGTGCTGTATTTCATTCAGCAAATGAGACAAGAGGTAGTTTCTACATAGACAGGATCATTATTAATCCACTTTTTTAGCTGAAAGACTGATGAAACTGCTCCTAACTGTCGTCAGGGCTGGAGTCAGCCCTTCACTTTAGGCAGAATGTCCACCAGTGTCAGCATTTCATATCATCAACAAACATGCCCTTCAGTAAAGAAAAGCAGCAGCACCAGCAACGGGTCACTGGTCAGGAGTAAATACCAGCGGGGCGGTGGGGGCTGCATGGGAACAGCAAAGTCAATCTATAACGCACATCCATATTCCAAATGCCCAATCGGATCCATAGCAGCTCAGGGAGATGATGTTGGGTCATCCGCTTTTAGAGTTTGGCAGCATGAATACAGTCATAGGACGGGGAATAAAAAAAAAAACAACAACCAGCAAAAAAACAGGATTTACTTTGTGTTTTCGTGACATCTGTTTTCAAATTTAAGCAGACTGGTAAGTGAGAATACACCGATGAAGGAAAACTCCTGCTTTGTGAAGGGGAAATTATTGCCTTTATGACTCATATGATGGCACTTTGAGATAAAGAGAGTCATAAGAGTCATAAGTGCACCCTTTCTCGCCGTTTTGTTCCTTGGAGTTATTATTATGGCGTGCATAACTTCAGATAACCGACAATGAAACACTGTACGTGCATATAAAAACAAAAAACAGACTTAATTTTTTATTATGCATTCTGCTATGTACTCACTTACATCTTGCTTTGTGAAAATTGCTCATGTTTCTGTTTAATGACCCACTAAAATCCATTCA